CAATCACCCAGCATACCTTGGGGTATCCAACTGTGGGATTACGGAACCTACGATACCAGCTCGAGATGTACGGCGTTGGCTCTACACCCCTAGTGATGTTTGAGACTTTGTTTATTTATGATGTTGATAATGTATGTATCAAAACAGAAATTCTTAATACATACAGGGTATGAAAAGTTACGTACTATGAACATTTACTTTTTGCAGAAATGTGAAATTATTGAATAGCATTGAAGATAAATTGATATGTCTTGAGAATAATGTGTTGAAAAATCTGGAAATCTGTTTACTTAGGAGTTCAAGGTTTAAGGAGGACTTCAAAGAAAAAATCATTAAGGTTGTATTCACAAAGTAACAGACTTTTTAGCTAAGGGGAAAAAGAGTGAATTTTTTAAAATCTTACTCCTCCTGTAGGAATGAATGGATGTTTCCAAAATTTAGTCCGAGGTATTTTTGGATGAAGCAGAATCAATTGTGTATAAACAATAGATTCTTGCCCTAAGGGTGCGAGGGGAGGGGCCCAATTAGATAGAGAGATAAGGATATTGTGCAAGTTTTGTCTGAAGCAATTTTTATGAATAGTGAATCTGAACTCTGCTTGACCACAAGGGCAGGACTCGATAGAGAAATTATATCAGACATTATTTTTATAATTTTTTATTCAATGGCTGAATAGTCAGGAAAGCAATTCAGGCCCCTTGGGTCTCTTGTTTATCATTTTCATCCAGGTAGCAAACTCACAGAAGGGAGGTGGGCTTATCAATGGGCACTGATATAGCATTTTATGCATTTCTTTCAAAACTGCACTAGAGGCAGGTGTCAGATGAATATCGTATAACTTCACTAATCCTTTTGCATTTTGATAAAACTAATTCTGTTCGATATATTAATAATTTTTTGTTCATTGTACATGTAAATCAGAAGTATTTTGGAGCCCACCAATGACAGAGGAGTTTACCTGGAGTTAAACTATTGTCTGCAACGCTTATATCTGGTCACAGCCTATCAAAATCCAGGTTGAATGGGTGTTTTGTAAAAGGTACTTCAAATCAGTTTAACTGCATATCTATATACATATATACTAATCACATTTGTATGTATTTATATCTGGTCACTTGACAAATAGGGTGTTGTGTAATAAGATAGTGATTTGAAATCAAATTTTTTTCTATAATGCAAGGGCACTGTTAGTGTTACTCAAAGTTTGGATGGGCTTGTTAAAGGTCAGTGAAACAGAATTTGCTGGTTTTTCTACAGGATCACACTAGATATATGTGGGTGGGCTTATAACAGGACAACAAAATACATTTGTTGTTTTTGTTTTTATGGAACTGAAAAAGATGAGGATGCGTTTTTTACATGACAACAAAATACATGGACTTGTTTCGGGCCAATGAAAAGACTTTTCTTCTGAATTGCAATAGATATGGGTTCTTTTTCTTTGGTGTGGAGTTTTTTGCCCAGATAAGAAATATTGAATTTTAAGGTGTGTGTGAAGTGAATATTGACATCATTAGGATACTGATCTTGTGATAGATTATCAAGATAATTCACACTTTTTAATTTGATTCAGTCATGCACATAGGTTCAATCATTAGATGTTGTATTAGGAAGCAATACAACATAATACATACCTAGAAAATTATTTAGGTATGTATTTTTTCAGACACGTTTTGAAATAAAGTCATGATTTTGTATGCTTCATTACATGGTTTTAGATTTTATATCTCAAATTTAATCTCAGCAATTAAACTGTTCATAAAGATCAAATAAACGTAAAGTATCCGAGTTGTTATGATTAGGTAGTAAACTTGATATTTTGATAAAATTTATTTGCATAAATTTAGCTTACCAGACTGGGTTTAGATCACATAGCCACACTATGTGTAGATATAACATGAACTTAAAATTTAATCACTGTAATTATTAATATTAAAATCATATTTATTTTTTTATGCAATTGCCATTTTAGCTAGCAGGGCATATGGTGTTTATGCAAAAGTAGGTCAAGGTTACTGTTAACGTTACTATCTTTAGAAATTTGTCATATATTGATACTTGTATATGTCCAGTGAGTGGTGACATCTTCAGACATTTTATAGTTTTCCTCTCAGTTAACATAATATTTGTTAACATTGAGCAGCAATCCAGAACTATTTGCCATACTGTAAAGGAGATGTGTATTTAGCATTGAAATCCCTACACATTTAATTTACTGTTGATGTTATAAACAGTGCTTTTTGACATGTACCACTGTTGATGTTATAAACAGTGCTTGTACCAATGACTTTTTTTATTTATGAGGATTTTTGTTGTAATGTGTACATTTATTCAGAGTTTTTTTTCTGGTTTTATTAACATGATAACATTTCACATATTTACATCTCTTAATTGATATTTATATTATTATACATTGAATGTATGAAATGTACATAATATTCCATTAATATCCCTCTGGACTTGAGAACCTTGCATGTATATCACTAACTGTTCATCTTTTCCACAAAATATATTGTACAATAAATTGTATATATATTGATTGCAGTGGACCTTTTCCAGATTATGTATACAAAGATGAAATCCTAAACAAACAAGAAATGATGATAAATTTTAATACTCAAAGCACATAATGAAAAACAAAAGGATTCAAAGATTTCCACTTTTGTTGGAATTCAAACCCAATTAACAGCCGAAAAATTGCACTGAATTTTCACATGTCACCGAAGGAAAGTTTATACACTATGTCTTTATACCAATAGTCTTAACCAATAAACATGTATTTACTGGAAACCAATTACATTCTAGGGCAAGATTTTCACAACGTAGTTATTTAGTGTGTTATAGATCTGTGATCTGATGAAGTACAGATATACAAAATCTTACTACTTGTACCTCTCTACCTGTACTTTTAGTGTAACTTGTCCAGACTAGACTAGAGATATCAAGTGTTTATAATATACTTGTGTAATGATAGACAAAATCTTACTACTTGTACCTCTCTACCTGTACTTTTAGTGTAACTTGTCCAGACTAGACTAGAGATATCAAGTGTTTATAATATACTTGTGTAACCTCAGTAATTCAATCATATCAGAGATTCTTAACAACATTATTGTATCTATCCCACAATAAGCCCAAAGGACAACATATTATGTCTTGTTCAGTGTCAACGGGTGGGCTTATTAAAGGATATCTATATAGTTTTACTAAAGGATATGGGCGATCTTATTATCAGGAATAGGCTTATTGTGAGATAAATAAAGTAAATGCATTTGTTACACTCCTTTATGTAAAATAAGCACTATAGATTTATCATGTTATCTAATCGTTGTTGGAATTTAGAAGAAAAATTTTTAATGCATGTTGAGACACAATGATCTTGTAATGATCATGTAAATATTATTGCACTTGAACTCCATGTTTTATCTCTTACAATATAAATATCCTGTTTTGTTGATTTTATACACAATCCTAGTTTGTTACTGTATTAAAATTTTAAAATCCAGGACTCATTTTGTGTTTTTATTTTCAACCTGTCACACCTTACAATCTCTCCAATGAGCAATGGTGATAGCTGTTTGTTTGTTATAATACTTCAACAGCTTAAAATCATTCAAACCAGTTCAAAGTCTGACTGAATTGTGAATTTTGCACTATTCACTCCCCAGCGAAAAAAGTTTGCCAGACAGGCTGAAATTTTCCACTAATTTGTTTTCTTGAGACCAAGATACGCTTGAATGAAAAAAGTTTGACAACAGAAAAGGAGCTATTTTGAAGTAGCAATTTTCTTTAATCCTTTATCTTTTGTATCCCTTTGGAAAATATCACTGTTGATTTTTATTCATCTGTCTGCCTCAATGGCATGTAAGTTTATACAGTGATGTAACATCTAACATCCATTTAGTATCAATGTTTACCTCTGAACAATGTTCAATATAGGCTGCTGATAGTTTACCAGCAGCATGGTGAATGACCCTGACCCTCTTTTAAGATTAAAAGAATCCAAATTTGTAAATTTTTTATATAGACTTTTAATGTGGAGCCATGGGTTAAAATAAAGGCCAGAAGCAGGGAATTTCAAGTTCAGTTAATGAGACAGGAGTCATAAGGGCGACCATATCTATTTAAAAGAATGGCTATGACTCCCATTCGAGGTCATATTGTCAAAAATGCATTAAAATTCAATTGCATCTTAATTTTCCTTCCATTTCTGTGAACTACACTCAGCTATGAATGGAGAAGAGTGCAACTGACAGAACTAGAGCACAGATCAAAATATTAATTTTAACTAGAGTTCATTAATTTTTTTTCCAAGTAACCAAAAGGAAAAGATTAATTGTATTGGACCAGTAGTTGACTTGATGAACCTGGAGGCAAACTAGTTAAAGATTTAAGATATTAATTTTAACTTAATCTGAACAGTAATTCTGCAGAAACAGAAGTCTCACCATCCCTACCTCAGCGATGAGACCAAAAATTGCATACTAATAAAATGAGCTAAAAACCTGTATCATGTTAAAGAATGTAATACACACTACAAATTCTGCTTTACACCTGTTTCCTGTTAGTGTTAGTTGGAAGAGGGCTACATTAGTTCAGCCTGTACAGCATTAGACTTCTGCTGAAGATTACAAATGTGCTGGTCAAGGATCCCTACTCTGGGCGATTGTTTTCGCCGGAAGCTGAAATCCCAGACTGTACTATGTGTATCCGGGAAATATGCTTTACCCTGAATATGTTTTGGATAGCATGTACATACCTCCTGCATGGTATTCAGTGAGGTAGCCACCAGCTTCTACAAAGAGACTCTGCCCCAACCTTCATCTTTCTATATATAGGGTGATAAACCCAGTAACAAACACCAACCCACGAGGGGAGCACCAAACCTCATGTTGCCAGAGAATCGCCTCACATCAATTGGACAATGCCCGCGATGAGCAGAGTCACGGAGACGATAAACCACCACCATCATCATCATCATCATCAGTAACAAACACACATTTTGAGCTGACTTTCAACCATTATTTTATCTAAAAGATGTCATTTTAAACATTGCTTTAAATGTGGTTAGATACTGTGGCATGTTTCCCTCTTTTATTAAGTTCAGCAACAGCTGATTTACTTAGGTAAGTACTCATTACAATAAAGAAACATTCATCATATCGAAGCCAAGCATCACCAGATTTGTGGAAAAATTGCAACAAAACTTCCATACTCATATCAAGCAGTCTTATTAAGTCTTTCAAGGTTTTTTTTCACATGCCAGTCAGCCTTCACCATGTAGAATTTTCATATTCACTTCGTGCTCAATTTCTTGTAAACTGTTCCTCAAAACTTCATCATCACCATCATTTATTATTTCAAAATCAAAGCTGACGTTATCTAGTCCACACTCAGATTCAGCATCATCCACCCCTACAGAAAAAGAAAATAAATAAATAAAAAAAATATACAGTTTAAGTGCCACATAGTGTAAGTATCTGGTGTATTATTATTTGCATGAAGTGTGAAAGAACAGATGATAACTAAAAGTTTACATGGTTTGATAATTATACAATTGGTAACAATTGTTCAAACAACATACTTTTGAGAACTTATTTATGAACTTAATGAAGCACACTAAAACATAGAAGAAATAATACCTGTAGTGAAAATGAAACCTCTACTTTCTCTAGTACTTTTCGAGGCTGCTACTCGTACTGTCTTTGTGATGTCTGGGAAGTGTTCTTTGAAATACTCTATATCAGTTTTCCTTCTAGCATCACTGACAATCCACAGTGGCTTTTTGACCTCATTTCCTGATGTTGCCACACGACAGAAAAACCCTGGGTCCTGGTTTCGTTTTTCCTCACCCCAGTGAATCATATCTGAACGATATTGTTCCTTGTAACTTGTAGAATCCAGTAAGCGCTCAAAATCCAAATTCTTTTCCTGAAAGTAAATACAGAATACAAAAAATTAAGTCATACTCAATGAATTGAAATTACATGTATTAATCAGATTTTTTATTTTCAAACTTTATCATGATTTGAACAACTTCAAATACAATGATTAATATGACAATTTTCATATTCAGACTATACTGAAACGAGCATTGTCTACCCCTGCAAATTACTCTATATCCAACCAAAAGCAAGAAAAAAAGGTTTTTGACAGAAAAAAAAACAAAGATCTTTTCATAACTTACAAGTGCATATTGCTTCTTAAGAGGTTCCGACAATCTGATGATTTCACAAATTTCTGTTCCAAATCTGCAAATGAAATATGTTTACCTATTTCACAGACAAATCAAAAGTCTGACCACAGTTGCTATTTTATCTGGAATATAACATATAGATATAATATTTTATATAAAAAATAGAATTATTAAATTATCAATAACATTTGATATTTGTTAATGTGAAACAATTTGCTACAGCTTATGGAGCCGTAGATGATGTCCTGATCTTTCTAGATGTGTGAAGAATATCAAAAATGTTTGTGAATTTTTTAAAACACTGTACCAAAAGTTATATATATGCCTTAAAATATAAGTTCAGCAACAATTTATTTAAATCCAGCAATCGTTTTTATTTCTTTACCTCTCCATCAAACGTTCTGTGACGAAGTCTTTTCCAGATTTCCTCTTCCCGCTAAACACTAAAACAGCTGTGGGAAACGTTTCCATGATCCCTCTCAAAGCAGAAAATGCATTTTTGAGCCAAAACACTCTATAGATTTGTATCAAACGACATAAATCTTCAGGTGCTAAACCAATCATACGAGACACTATTTTACCGGAAGTTGATTTTTGATAACACACGTGCTTCCGGTTCATATTTGTTTACAATGCAGAGATAACACCCAGGAAAGATTCTTTTGCAATGGAACGCTCTGAAAAATCCAGCAGTGACATATCGGAGTGTCCATCGGACTCAGTAAGTAGATGATCATATAACATGAGAATAAATCTAAGATAATTGTAGTTAAGGCTACTGTCCGGTAGCACATAGCAGAAACCATATATATTGTGTATAAGCAAATTGGCATCCTCGATACACGAGGGGTTACAATCACTTTCTCTCTCTGCAACCCTGGAAAAAATCATGACAAAATTGATGGTTCTATATCTGACACCTAGTGGTTGAGAAGAAAAGACTTTTTTATCCTTTGATGTACATCAAACAAATCTCTAGGTCGCCTTACAGTATATTATAATGGCTTTAAAGTTGAGTTTAGCTCCTTTGCAATCTTCAAAAATGGAACATATCAGCTTGTGATTGGTGAGTTTTTTTCTACTAGAACCAATCAAATGTGCCTTCAAAATATGCCATGACATGTTGCAGGGGTACAGAGAGCGAAAAAAAAAATTAAAATAGTACATGACATCAGGTTCAGTTATGCTTCCATTTACTATTTGCTTATTTTGTGTATAGGCTGAGGCTGGAAAGGCAAGTGTGTGTGAAGGATGTCCGGGACAGGCCTACTGCCAATCACAAAGTGCGTAAAAACAAACATGAAGATGTAGTTTTGACATAAGCATGTTCATGATTTGAATCTATATCAGCAGTGTCTGAAATCTTAAGATTTGAATCTTCATTTAATTGACCTATAGATGTGCTTCATCATGTTGAAGATTAATTCTGACAGTTGAGAGACAGTTGACTTTACCAGTTATATTACTGCATATAATGTTGGTTTTCGTCATTGTTTTTCTTTTTGCACAATAATTTATAACCAATACATACACTTTCATATATTATATATGCAGATGGAGTAGACCCAGACCAGGAAGGGATAGATCTACGTATGGGAGCAGTCAGGCACAAGGTACTGGTGCTCTCAGGGAAAGGAGGTAACTGTTATTTGTTTTCTACTTCAACTTCATCTAGCAGAAAACAATGTCAACAGAGGAGAAAGCGGAGGGAATATAGGAGTAATGTTATTTAATTGTTTAATGTGGGATAGAATAAAAGTTGTAGAGAGCAGTTTTGTAAGAATCATTTGTGGAACAGGAGACAACATCTGATGGAAGCTTATTCTACTTAGCTGTAGTTTAAGGAAAAAAGATGTCAATTTAAAAAGAAAAATTTTTTATTTTTTTGATAAATGGATTGATCTTTAATATTACCTTGTCAGTCCGTTTGATATACAGTTTTCATACGAAACAAAATTTCGCAGTTCAAAAAATCTATTCATACATTAAAAAACTTAATAATGCAAAAAGCTATCTAAAAAGCTGCAATATCAGAAAAATTATTGTAGAATTAAAACGGGGATATAATTTCAAAGATAAACAGAGTTAAAACGGAACACTTTGCTTATTCCACAGGTGTAGGGAAATCAACAGTGGCATCTCTGTTGGCTGAGGCTCTTGCTTCAAAGTCACAGAAAGTAGGTGTCATTGACTTGGATATATGTGGACCCAGCATCCCTAAACTACTGGGTGTGGAAGGAAAAGCTATTATCAATTCACAGTATGGATGGAAACCTCTGATGTAAGTAGAAACAAAACTATGTATAAAGAAAAGATAATAAAACTGCTAAGGCTTCCTTATATATGTTATAATTTGTATTTGTATGCCAGTATACTTTGTACATGTTATGAATGTTATTTCCTGAGAATTGGTCCTATCACTCTCCAAGTTCAGTATGTTATGGCTCTTTTTATACATAGTCAAACATGTTATCTATTCTTGTCCAGAGATCTCTTCCCACAATTCCAAATTGATCTGATTATAATTTGTCTGCTTTTAGATGAGTTACTGCCCTTTGTTTTTTCATAATCTAATCCTTTTCTGAATATCCCTGTTCAAAGTTACCATTTGATCTCTTTCGTGCTGTTTGGCTTAAAAATCAGGCCTGGAAGTTATGTTTTTTTGAACAGCATTTGGATTAAATAGTTTTTGAAAGCCTTATTGTCCTTTGTTTTGTTCAGCATTTCAATCTTGTCTGGAGGTTCAGTCACTCATAACTATCTGTTATGGTGTGCTTTTACTGTTGAAATACATAACACTATTTTCCATCATTCCTTTTTAACTTTGTAATTTTCAGAAGAAAACATTGTCGTTTGTTTCCTTCTTTGAAACCAATTTTTCTCAAATTTGGCAGCTAGACTTGATTATAATAACATGAAATCGTGCTTTCTCATTGGCATTTAGATCGACCGTTATTGTTTCATTTGTTGGTATTCATTAGCTAATCATGGACTATCTCTTATCTTTAAAGGTAAAGAATATAAAAATACTTAAATTATTTTCTAAAAAAAAATCAATAATTGATCCAGCTGAATTAAAAGGTATTTGTTTTGGTGTCAGTTTAGTGTTACCATCCTTGACTTTGTTAAATAGGTATAAATTCAAGACTTTTCTGTGTGTAGATTGAAAATTTCTTGCTTTATTTAATCGCTTATAAGGATATATATATATATATATATAAGTCCTATATTAGGTATACAGGTATGATCAGTAGAACAATTACAATTATAACAGTGAAAATTGTTATATAGATTGGCTGTATTCTAATGTGTAGATCACAGCAAATTCATAAATTTAAAATCTAATACAACACTCTTTATTGCAATTCAGATCTCCCCATTACAACATCAAAGTGATGTCTGTTGGATCACTCTTGTCATCTGATACCAACTCTGTAGTGTTTCGAGGACCTCGCAAATCAGGTGTGTGTACTGCATGCCAGAAGTATAGCTAGATGGTTGCAGCAAGCAAGGTATGCCTTATTAGGTAGTTGTGTGTTACAGTAACTAGAAGTCAGATACTTGTATGTCTTACTGTGTGTTACAGCAGACACACACTAGGTATGTCTTGTTGTGTGTTACAGTAGCTACAAGTCCGTTTTGTCTTACTGTGTGTTATTGTAACTACAAGTCAGCTTTGTCTTACTGTGTTACAGTAGCTACATGTCAGTTTTGTCTTACTGTGTGTTACATTAGCTACAAGTCAGTTATGTCTTACTGCATGCTACTGTAGCTACAAGTCAGTTCTGTCTTACAGTGTGTTACAGTAGTTACAAGTCTGTTATGTCTTACTGTTTGTAACATTAGCTACAAGTCAGTTTTGTCTTACTGTGTGTTACATTAGCTACAAGTAAGTTTTGTCTTACTGTGTGTTACATTAGCTACAAGTCAGTTTTGTCTTACTGTGTGTTACATTAGCTACAAGTCTGTTTTGTCTTACTGTGTGTTACATTAGCTACAAGTCAGTTTTGTCTTACTGTGTGTTACATTAGCTACAAGTCAGTTTTGTCTTACTGTGTGTTACATTAGCTACAAGTCAGTTTTGTCTTACTGTGTGTTACAGTAGTTACAAGTCAGTTTTGTCTTACTGTGTGTTACAGTAGTTACAAGTCAATTTTTTTCTACTGTGTGTTACATTAGCTACATGTGTTTTGACATGTGTGTTGCTGTGTAATAGTTATGTAACTGTGTGTTCATTACAAATATGATGTGTATCAATTTAAAGTCAGTTTTGTCTTACTGTGTGTTACAGTAGTTACAAGTCAGCTATGTCTTGTTGTTTGGTACTGTTGACATGGCTTGCTGTGTAATAATATGTAACAGTATCATACAAATATGATTATATCAATTTAAACCATTCTTATGTGATTATGTGGTTGCCCTATAAATATCACAGTTTTATGTTTTCGTAGAACGATCAACAGTGTCACAATTATACAGAAAAGGTATTCATGGAAAGGTAGCTTTTGTATTTCATAAATTATTCTACAATGAATTATCATTAATATTGATATTTATAAAATGAAAGAAAAAGAAAAATGGCAAGAGAACTTAAAATTTTAAAGCCTATGATGCATGATCAGGTAAGATGATTAGTATATTATGGTAAACAAATGTGTTTTCCATCATGATTTCAGTAGAATATTTGCTATTTGAGTATTTTATGATTTTTTTTAAAACATTATGTATGTATTTTTGTGTTGTTTGAAATCTGTTAGGTTTGATAAAGAGGTTCATCAAGGATACATTCTGGGGAAGACTTGACTACCTCATCTGTGGTAGGTATATAAGTAAGAACAACTGAAACCTGGATACACTGGAATTATTGTAAATCATTGTATCTCTGTAAATCATTGTGTCTCTGTAAATCATTGTGTCTCTGTAAATCATTGTGTCTCTGTAAATCATTGTGTCTCTGTAAATCCTTGTGTCTCTGTAAATCATTGTGTCTCTGTAAATCATTGTGTCTCTGAATCATTGTGTCTCTGTGAATCATTGTGTCTCTGTAAATCATTGTGTCTCTGTAAATCATTGTGTCTCTGTAAATCATTGTGTCTCTGAATCATTGTGTCTCTGTGAATCATTGTGTCTCTGTGAATCATTGTGTCTCTGTAAATCATTGTGTCTGTAAATCATTGTATCTCTGTAAATCATTGTGTCTCTGTGAATCATTGTGTCTCTGAATCATTGTGTCTCTGTGAATCATTGTGTCTCTGTGAATCATTGTGTCTCTGTGAATCATTGTGTCTCTGTAAATCATTGTGTCTCTGTAAATCATTGTATCTCTGTAAACAATATCTATATTCTGATAACCTTTCTATATACTCATACTTATGTTTAGTTTTAAGGATTTCAGTGTACTTGCTTTCATATTTTTAGCCCACCATCATGAGATGGTGGGGTATTCAAATCGCCCTGCGTCCGTGGTCCGTCCGTCCGTCCGTCCGTAAACAATTCTTGTTACCGCTATTTCTGGAAAAGTACTGGATGGATCTTTCTCAAATTTCATATGCAGGTTCCCCTTGGTCCCTAGTTGTGCACTGTACCTTTTTTGGATTGATTCCAATTCAAGATGGCCGACAGGTGGCCATCTTGGATTTTGGAAGTAAAAGTTTGTTACCGCTATTTCTGAGAAAGTACTGGATGGATCGTTCTCAAATTTCATATGCAGTTTCCCCTTGGTCCCTAGTTGTGCATTGTACCTTTTTTGGACTGATTCGAATTCAAGATGGCCGACAGGTGGCCATCTTGGATTTTGGATGTAAAAGTTTGTTACCACTATTTCTTGGAAAGTACTGGATGGATCTTTCTCAAATTTCATATGCAGTTTCCCCTTGGTCCCTAGTTGTGCATTGTACCTTTTTGGGACTGATTCGAATTCAAGATGGCCGACAGGTGGCCATCTTGGATTTTGGAAGTAAAAGTTTGTTACCGCTATTTCTGAGAAAGTACTGGATGGATCTTTCTCAAATTTCATATGCAGTATCCCCTTGGTCCCTGGTTTTGCATTGTTCCTTTTCGGGACTGATTCGAAATCATGATGGCCGACAGATGGCCATCTTGGATTTTGGATGTAAAAGTTTGTTACCACTATTTCTTGGAAAGTACTGGATGGATCTTTCTCAAATTTCATATACAGGTTCCCTTTGGTTCCAAGTTGTGCATTGTACCTTTTTGGACTGATCCGAAATCAAGATGGCTGACAGGCAGCCATCTTGGATTTTGAGAGTAAAATCTTGTTACTGCTATATCTGAGGAAGTACTGAATGGATCCTTCTGATATTTCATAGATATTGGTTTCCCTTGGTGCCTAGTTGGGATCTTTTTTGGACTGATTTGAAATCAAGGTGGCCCACAGGCCACCATCTTGGATGTCGACAGTAATACAGCACAAACATATTGTCCATTATCCACCTGTAACTGACTGCTATCTAATAATACTTTGGGATCTTTTTCAAATGATATTTGCTAATAAGTGCTTAATAAAAATATCTTGTGCCATCATTGAGAACATTCAATGAAGAACAGTTCATGAACATTTACAACACCTGTAACAAACAACAAAAAAAACCCCAAATCTTCAAGAACTGAAAATAGATCCTCAAATGGTGGGCGCCAAGATCACTCTGGGATCTCTTGTTTTTGTTAACAGAAAATGCACAGAAACATCTATACTCCTTTCATATGATAAGTTTCACTCCAATGCTTTTTTAATATTTATCTAAGGTAAAAAAATAAGAAGAGAAAAGAGATAAGATATGTAAGTTCGGCAAATTGTGAATACTTTTAATATGGCACTGTACAACAGATTCTTGTAATATGTCACACCTTTTCTATTGACTGACAGAAGTTAAACGTTTTACTGATTCAGATATTCTATTTTTGTACTTTTTAATTACGCAGAATTGTTGCTACTATGGGTTCAGTTTTGTTACAGATACACCTCCAGGGACAAGTGATGAACATTTAACTGTTATAAAAGTGCTAAGAAATGTGAAGCCAGATGGAGCCATTATTGTCACAACACCACAGGCTGTTGCCTTGGCAACCATTCGTAAAGAAATTAATTTCTGCAAAAAGATGGGTGTTCGGATACTAGGCTTGGTCGGAAACATGGAGAGTTACACTTGTCCATGCTGTGGAGTAAGTGCTTTATAATTTCTAAACCATCCAAAAAATTGTGAAAAATAAAGCATTTTCTTGTAGAGATTCTACAGTATATCACATGTTACCTCTTACTCAAAGCTGTGAGGTGGGCTTATTACATGATAAGGAAACAGCACCTATTGACGATAATTCTTAACAGTAATTTTGTTTGGGTGGGCTTATTACCAGGTGCATGATAATGAAATAGCACTTATTGATGATTTTACTGATCAGTAATTTTGTTTGGATGGGCTTATTACCAGGTCCATGATAATGTGATAATGAAATAACACTTATTGATAATTCTACTGAACAGTAATTTTGTTTGGGTGGGCTTATTACCAGGTACATGATAATGTGGTAATGAAATAACACTTATTGATAATTCTACTGAACAGTAATTTTGTTTGGGTGGGCTTATTACCAGGTACATGATAATGTGGTAATGAAATAACACTTATTGATAATTCTACTGAACAGTAATTTTGTTTGGGTGGGCTTATTACCAGGTACATGATAATGTGGTAATGAAATAACACTTATTGATAATTCTACTGAACAGTAATTTTGTTTGGGTGGGCTTATTACCAGGTACATGATAATGTGGTAATGAAATAACACTTATTGATAATTCTACTGAACAGTAATTTTGTTTGGGTGGGCTTATTACCAGGTACATGATAATGTGGTAATGAAATAACACTTATTGATAATTCTACTGAACAGTAATTTTGTTTGGGTGGGCTTATTACCAGGTACATGATAATGTGGTAATGAAATAACACTTATTGATAATTCTACTGAACAGTAATTTTGTTTGGGTGGGCTTATTACCAGGTACATGATAATGTGATAATGAAATAACACTTATTGATAATTCTACTGAACAGTAATTTTGTTTGGGTGGGCTTATTACCAGGTACATGATAATGTGGTAATGAAATAACACTTATTGATAATTCTACTGAACAGTAATTTTGTTTGGGTGGGCTTATTACCAGGTACATGATAATGTGATAATGAAATAACACTTATTGATAATTCTCCTGAACAGTAACACGGTTTGAGTGGGCTTATTACCAGGCATGCTCTTACTGATAGATCAATAAAGGTTGTTTTTCTTGATGGTTCAAATTTTCTGTTTTATGCAAGTTTGATGCAAAAATAACATCATTGTTTTCCGGAAGTCATGAAATGGATGATAGTTTCTTCATTGATTTATTTTCAAAGTATCTCTCAAAGTTTTACTCTATCAACAAAAAATAGTGGGAAATAGATACCCTTAAAAATAATATTAACCTTTACTGTTATCAAAGATTTTGTATCTGTTAACAAAGCATTGTGTTTACTGACAGGAAGTGAGTGAGCTATTTCCATCTGAAGGTCTCGACAACCTGGCTGCTGAGTTCAATATTCCAATAATAGGCAGACTTCCTTTGGATCAGGTACAATATTTTACTGACAAAAAATTACCTCATTCAATGATATGTTTTCTTTCAATACATCCATCATTATACAATGCATATAATAGACAACTAACAAGAAAATTAAAAGTGATCAGTACTCATGTCTCATCTGACTTGGATATCTCTATATCCTCTGGTTTGAAATAAACCCTGTTCAGAGAAATAGGTTCTGTAAGTATTCAATACAATCATTCGTCTATCAAATAAGTATTTGCAAGAGATTTAAATGTGTAATTGAATATCCTTACATATGAATTTAAGGCAGAAGACTGCTGAAGCAAAGACATGACAGTGCTGCTTATTATTAAATGAAGGAACACTTTGTGAGACAACCATCAAAAGCTATCGTTACAACATTACTGAGAAATTCATATAACAATTCATGATGTGTACATTTTATCTGTTACAATGTCTATGATCCAGACAACTATAATGAAATAATATTCCTGATTTAATTTTTCAGGAGGTCACCAAGTGTTGTGAGATGGGTAGCAACGTTGTAGCAGATATGCAAACATCACCAGTCACCATCAGAATGCTGAACATGGCAGAGAGTATTAATTCTATTGTGGATAATATTTCATAGAAAATAGATGTATAGATATACTGATTTATTGTAAGGACAATTCACAAAATATAGTTATTGCCCTTCATTCACATTATGTAGAATTATTGCCCTTCATTCACATTATGTAGAGTTATTGCCCTTCATTCACAGCATGTAGAGTTATGGTCTTTCATTCACATTATGTAGAGTTATTGCCCTTCATTCACATTATGTAGAGTTATTGCCCTTCATTCACATTATGTAGAGTTATTGCCCTTAATTCACAGCATGTAGAGTTATGGTCCTTCATTCACATTATGTAAAGTTATTGCCCTTCATTCACATTATGTAGAGTTATTGCCCTTCATTCACATTATGTAGAGTTATGGTCCTTCATTCACATTATGTAGAGTTATTGCCCTTCATTCACATTATGTAGAGTTATGGTCCTTCATTCACATTATGTAGAGTTATTGCCCTTCATTCACAGCATGTAGAGTTATGGTCCTTCATTCACATTATGTAGAGTTATTGCCCTTCATTCACATTATGTAGAGTTATGGTCCTTCATTCACATTATGTAGAGTTATTGCCCTTCATTCACATTATGTAGAGTTATGGTCCTTCATTCACATTATGTAGAGTTATTGCCCTTCATTCACATTATGTAGAGTTATTGCCCTTCATTCACATTATGTAGAGTTATTGCCCTTAATTCACAGCATGTAGAGTTATGGTCCTTCATTCACATTATGTAAAGTTATTGCCCTTCATTCACATTATGTAGAGTAATTGCCCTTCATTCACATTATGTAGAGTTATGGTCCTTCATTCACATTATGTAGAGTTATTGCCCTTCATTCACATTATGTAGAGTTATGGTCCTTCATTCACATTATGTAGAGTTATTGCCCTTCATTCACAGCATGTAGAGTTATGGTCCTTCATTCACATTATGTAGAGTTATTGCCCTTCATTCACAGCATGTAGAGTTATGGTCCTTCATTCACATTATGTAAAGTTATTGCCCTTCATTCACATTATGTAGAGTAATTGCCCTTCATTCACATTATGTAGAGTTATGGTCCTTCATTCACATTATGTAGAGTTATGGTCCTTCATTCACATTATGTAGAGTTATTGCCCTACATTCACATTATGTAGAGTTATGGTCCTTCATTCACATTATGTAGAGTTATTGCCCTTCATTCACAGCATGTAGAGTTATGGTCCTTCATTCACATTATGTAGAGTTATTGCCCTTCATTCACAGCATGTAGAGTTATGGTCCTTCATTCACATTATGTAAAGTTATTGCCCTTCATTCACATTATGTAGAGTTATTGCCCTTCATTCACATTATGTAGAGTTATGGTCCTTCATTCACATTATGTAGAGTTATTGCCCTTCATTCACAGCATGTAGAGTTATTGCCCTTCATTCACAGCATGTAGAGTTATTGCCCTTCATTTACATTTTGTAGAGTTATGGTCCTTCATTCTTAGTATATATAGGGTTTTGGTCCTTTATTCAAAAGACCTTCTTATTAATATTGCTGAGTGACCAATCATTTGTTATCTTTTTATGTAAAGTTTGAAGTGCATGGAATTCATTTAAACCCCATACCGAGCATGTTTCCAGTCACTGATTTGGCTACAACAGGTGAGCTTACCGAAGGATGCTAGAGGGACATAGGTGAATAGGGATTGTTTATAGTCTAGAAAAACTGTAAACAGTATAAAGTACAGTACCCAGAGGAAGAAAACAGGCTATTTAAAAATCCTATTCATTAGACGTTTGGTGTTTTTGTTTAGATAGCAATGTGAAGGTCAGTCACAATTAAGGATGACTCAGTCAAAGATTCAAACATGTTACAGATCTCTACTGGGTGGTTTCATTAACCAAACATGTTACAGATCTCTACTGGGTGGTTTCATTAACCAAACATGTTACAGATCTCTACTGGGTGGTTTCATTAACCAAACATGTTACAGATCTCTACTGGGTGGTTTCATTAACCAAACATGTTACAGATCTCTACTGGGTGGTTTCATTAACCAAACATGTTACAGATCTCTACTGGGTGGTTTCATTAACCAAACATGTTACAGATCTCTGTGGTTTCATTAACCAAACATGTTACAGATCTCTACTGGGTGGTTTCATTAACCAAACATGTTACAGATCTCTACTGGGTGGTTTCATTAACCAAACATGTTACAGATCTCTACTGGGTGGTTTCATTAACCAAACATGTTACAGATCTCTACTGGGTGGTTTCATTAACCAAACATGTTACAGATCTCTACTGGGTGGTTTCATTAACCAAACATGTTACAGATCTCTACTGGGTGGTTTCATTAACCAAACATGTTACAGATCTCTACTGGGTGGTTTCATTAACCAAACATGTTACAGATCTCTACTGGGTGGTTTCATTAACCAAACATGTTACAGATCTCTACTGGGTGGTTTCATTAACCAAACATGTTACAGATCTCTACTGGGTGGTTTCATTAACCAAACATGAACTCCGCAGAATCAAAAACTCAAGGGGGATAAATTGTCCTTGACACTGTATTTTACCCATAGATTTACAAACATAGCTTTATGTACTATACACATAGATTCATGAACAATGGAATTAAATCACATACAACAGAAAGTTCACTTACAGTATCAGAATATGTATATCTAATTATATACAAAATGTAGTTGATGGTAGTATTACACAATCATTATACTACAGTCAATATCGTTATTACATAGAGATGTCAATAATTGCACTCATTTTCTAATTATCAGATTTAATGTGATTGATATTTTATTATTACAAATGTATTATTAGCCTTGTAGTTATGTTAATTGTGTCATCGTGACATGTTTAGGTATTTATCTTGCAATAAGCCCATGCCTGGTAATAAGCCCACTTACATATATTGCAATTTAACAGGAAATACCAACAAACGCTATATAACATTGCTGTATTGTAGCCCTAGATGTACTTTCAGACAGATATTGTGTATTGGCATATGGGCTTATTGATAAATGAATATAACAGTTAGTAAGAAGTTGAATGTGTGTGTCTGTGATATATATCAGTCCCAAGTGGCCTGTTGCATTTGCCATTTATCGGTGGTTGAACATCCATAGATATTTTTAACTTCTTCTTTAAAACCCTGAACCAAATTTATCGATATATCCAGAAACCTTCAATGACCACATGTGAACCAAAATTGAATTATATGGTCCCCACCCTGAGGGATCTAAGGGGCAGGGTCCAAAAAGGTTAAATTGACTGAAGTTTATGTAAGAATATCATATTTTTCGGCATAGTATGTTAAATTTACTCAAACTTATTAGTATAGAATTATATTTTCCCCTGAGGCAAGCCTAAAGTTTACTGTAGGTAAAATTTACTTTCATATACATTTCAAGTCACAACAAAACTAATATTGTAATATTTATAGAACTATGGTGACTGTCAAAAGCCTTTGGCCTCTTATTTGTCTTCACCTTGGGTATCAATCTCAAGGTCAAGGTCACCAATGCCTTATGGACTGTCAAATATCTATGAATATGATATGATTTCATTAATATGTTGGACCAGTTTATTTGGAACAAAGTGATCAAAATAAACATCAGTATTTTTAGATATTTGTTTTGTGTTATTTATTAAGGATATATGAACATTTAACTGATAGTAGGGTATAATTTTAGAAAAATTCCAATTGAATATTGTAGACTTTTACATTTTGATATACTTTGGTACATCTAGTTGTACTTTTTCTCCTAAAGAGCAGCACTTAATATGGCTTTCTGTATATTTTTTCTGTTGTTTACAGTTTGTGACGGCGTAGATGATGTCATGATTCAGTATTCAGTATCCACAATTTCAATGTTTTTTTTTTCGTTATTAGAGTACTTCTCTTAGAGTATAACTATGGAAGTTTTGGGCAGAAATCAAGTTTGGAAGAATTATCACTACAAATCATCACTTTGAAATACAAGACTTGGTTGATCATTTTTCTTCAATTTTGTGACCCAAAAATGAATGTTTCAGTATGTTTCTTGATTTCTGAAAAAAGGAAAAACCAACCAGACACTTTGATGAAAAATACAAAAAGAAAAAAATAAGAACAGTGACTATGAAAACAATTCCCTAATTTTTTTCTATCAAAGCATAAAATCTCAAAAAGTTTAATTTCAGAAGATTGTTAAGTGTAGGATTTAAACAATTTTTTAAAATGTTCATTTTTTATTTGCTATATAGATTAGCAGCTGTCAAATCTATATATAGCAGCTGTCAAATCATTCTATTGCATTTAAATGAAAAAATTGATTTGCTGGAAACAAATATTACCTTGAAAATAACCAAGAATATTTGTTGATAATGAAAAATTAACGAAAATGAGCAAAATTGTTTTTCACATACTCTTTCAGCAGTGAAAGAAGTACACCAACATATAGGTTTTTTTGTTTGTGTGGTTTTTTTTTTGTTTTTTGTTTTAGATCACTTTCTGTCATCCAAACTTTCAAAAAATCGTTACTGGAATAAAAGTTAAATATTAGAAATTTTAGAAATTTGGGGTATCTGAGTTTCATACATCCTTATTATATAAGCAAGTCAACAAAGGACATTGAGCACTGAATTTCAGAAAGGCATGGAGAAAACTTAAAACTATAAATAAATATAATAAAACAAAGTACTGAGGGAGGCTTTGGTTGTAATAGACCTTACTTCAACTGAGATCTTCTTGATATAAGGCTGCATTAGTTTAACAATTTCATCAAAATCTGTTCATATTTACTCAAATAATCGTGTTCATAAGGTTCAGTGATAAACACAATTGCAAAGGGCCATAACTCTGTAAGTTAAATTGAATTAGTCCCATTGCAAAACTCGTCTGAAATCTTATTGATATAAGACTGTATCCCAAGTTTCATGGCAATCTATTCATATTTACTAAAGTTATTGTGTTCACAGAGTCAAAGTTAATAAAACTGAAATGGCCCATAAATCTACAAAACAAAATAAAATTGCCAGGCTCTGTGGGATATTTCTAATACAAGAGGCCAAGCAGTCTAGATGGTCTTTCAAGTGTCATGAAATAAAAATTGTGATATTGATGATAGTGAGCCAGTGTCACTAGATACCATCAAAATTGCCATACCATATATAATACTAATAAATCTTTAAAAGTTATTTCCAATGGGAAATAAATGTTTTACACAAAAATGCAATTTTCTATAAAAATCATAGTAAACTTAACCTCTTCCCAAAGAAATGTTAGATCCATAATGGTAAAGCACCTTCAAATGTTTCCATCAATAAAGAGCATTTGACATATTTGGGTGTTGAGAAGAAGATTTTGAAATCTGAGTCAATTTGACCACTTTTGGCCCCGCCCATCAGCCCCAGAGGGTCAACCAGGATCAATATGGGCATACCATCAAGCAGTCATCCTTTGTTCTTAATTCTAACCAAGTTTAAAATATTTCCAATGAAAATTAAACAAATAATGCTCAAAAATCAATTTTTCCAATATAAATTATAAAAATTGTCTCCCATTAATGTAATAGCCTGGGGCTGGGAAATTCATGATTCTAGTTGAGCACCGTAAGACACTTCAATCCATAAAAAGCATTTGATTCTACTGTATCTGGGTGTTGAGAGGAGGATTTTTGAAATCTGAGCCAATTTGACCATTTTGACCCTGTCCTTAGGCCCATGTGGGGTTGGGACAATATAATTAGATAAGTTCGTTTATCTTAGGCCAGGAAAGATTTCTGCAAAATTTCATTTCAATTGGTTCAGAGGTTTTGAGAAGTTGAAAATGTCAAAAGTTTACGGATGCATGATGCTGGACAAGGTGATCACAATAGGTCACCACAAGACTCTGTCTTAGGTGACTTAATAAGGCTGCTACCATGTTTCATCAAAATCTGTTCATATGTATTCAAGTTATCCTGTTAACAAGTTCCATGGTAATAAAACAGCAAAGGGCCATAACTCTGTAAATTATCATTGAATTAATCCCATTGTTCAGCTCACCTGAGATTTTATTAATATAAGGCTGCGTACCAAGTTTCATCACAATTGGTTCATATTTGCTTAAGTTATGCTGTTCTCAATGTCCAAGGGTAATAACACTTTAAAGAGCCATGACCCTGTAAACTATCATAAACTCAGTCCCAATGTTGAACTTACCCAAGATCTCATTATTGTAAGACTTCATACCAAGTTTCATCAATACTGGTTTACATTTACTCAAGTTATTGTGTTCACAAGAAAAATGTACAGCACAAAACTACGGACAAACAACAATAGCTGTAGATCACCATGACCTTGGCAATGATTACATTTAACGATTATAAATGTAGAAGTTGTGAATACAAAGACAACACATTAGTTTTACAAATGTTTTATTGAATAAGCAAAACACATATAAACTCTTCTATCATATAAATGCTTATAGATTCAAATACTTATCACTGCTAATTCAGTCTATTAATAAGAAAATCTCTTACACTCAGCTGAGTTTGAAGATGGAAAATAGAAAAGTTGCGATATTGTAATGTAATGTAAAAACTAATATCAAAATGGTGAAGGATCCAAACAAATTAAACCGATCCTTATAAATAATACTATGTCCATAGTGTATGATTCTAGTTCAAAATTTGTACACAAAATGTGTACATGTATGTTTCTGACTGATACCTGTAAATGTTTTCAGTTAGGATCTGTTCTAGACTTCCTGCCATGCTGTTACAATTACTGGGAACCAATCTTTGTATGAGGCATCAAGTTAATATTAGTCTGCATGACCAAAAATCCCCCTGCTCCAAGTATCAACATATGATGAATTTGCTGAAGTTGTCAAATGTCCTTTACACTGATTAGTACGGCTACTTTTAATATTGCCACAGATGTAGAACATGATGTTATGACACTTCAGCGGTCTGACCCATATATCATTAATTTGAAACAGGATATGGCAGGGCAGACAAATTAACTAACACTATATGCTTCTGATAAAATAATGAGGCTATAAACATGACAGAATTTCTTGCACGGTGCCAACTGAAATCTGTCACTGTAAGTATCAACTTTCAAAAAAAACAAGTGAATGTTTTCATGATTTTGAAAAAAATGGTTGTTTAAAAGATGTATCTATAGACTTAATAAAAACACCCAGGTAAGTGAATCGTGACACTGATTTCCTCCAATATGTTAGATACCGATATACCATGAAAAATGTTGAATTATAGTTACATGCATTACATATCATCAACACAGTCAAATGATGCATTTTCGTCATTATTTGCGTACCTATACATAATATAATGGGCAAAGTGAGAGCTCATCAGAAAAAAATAATCTTTAAGACAAAAAGGAATTTACTTACAGTATGATAAACAATGTCAAAGGCTAATAGCAGCTTGAATAATTATCACTGGTATACATATGGAGAACCCTACAAAATTAAAACCAACAATCAACAATATTTTAAATGTATTAAAACAATTAACCAAAAATATTTGTTTGTTTGTTTTGGGTTTATTGCCAAGTCAACAGGCAGGGTCATTTTGAGACCGGGTCTCCCTGTAGTAGCTGGTGGCTATCTCAGTGAACAGGAAGCAAGTTGTATATCATCCAGTGTTTGAGCTAAACTATCTTATCAAAGGACACAGTAACACAAACTGCCAGGGTTAGGGGCCATCAAACCACACACCTGCAGTTGAGTAGGCCAGCACTCTATCACCTGAGCTATCACAGCCCCAAAAAAATGATCACATCAATCAAAATATAGATATTCTTAATAAAGACTCCTTAGGATCACAGATAATTTCTGACAACATCTAACATCCTATCTATGTATGAATAACATTTGTATATAAGACTTAACCCCTTCGTTTAAAGTAACTGATATAGATCAGAACTTCCATATTGCACTTAGAATATAGTAAATTTTGTTATAACCTACTGAATACTTGTCATGTATAGATACTGGATAATTCAGGATTAACTATCAAATGTTTGAAAACAAGACTTTCACTTTGATACTTTCCTAATAATGAATTAATTTTAGCCTGTGTAAATGAGGTACCAGTACTGGTAACTCTGACATGAGTTACACACGTGTACGCCTTGGTCATTGATCTGGCAGTGCCCACTATGACTGCACACAACCTCTAGTGGTACGCTGTATACCTGTGCCACAGTTTACTTAACACAACAAATTTACTTCACAAGGTAAAAAAAAAAAAAAAAAGGCCAGACTTAGGATTATTACATCGAAACCCAGAAATCCTGACTTTACAAGAATTGACTGCAGTGTGTTTCATCATATCTTATCCTCTGCATACAACTGCCCTACATACCTACAGTATCCTCTGCAACATCCAGGGACAGCAGAAGGAACATCTTGGCACACTTGTATTGGTTCCAAACTTCAAATTTAGTTTTTTGGAGAATCTAACATAATTAGATGGAAGTGAAAACAATAAACTAATCAAAATCTTACATTCAGCAGAACCATATGATTCCATTATTCAAATGCAATATATTTGGTATCTACAAACATGATTCACACTTTTTATGTGAATACAGTTCCACTTAATATCACATTTTTATGCTGTCATTACTAATTACATCAGTTTTAAATAAAATGTATTTTCACTTTGTATGATGTATATAAGGTAGCAAATCCTCTGTTGAAAGTCACTTTAAATCATAACATTTTCATCACTATCACGTATACATTAAAAAATAAGGTACAGACTTAAAGCTTCAACAGTCTTGTATCTCACAGTCATAGTCTACCTCAATGTATGTTGTAAACAAAATCCTACTATTAAAATCTAGGCATCAGTTGCATTTTTATGAAAAAAGCAATGTTGGACAACACTCTGGTTATCAGCTATACTATATAAAAAGATTGGTCTGTAAGCATGAGGCTGTTCTCTGCCAATTTTACAGTTCACCTGAGGCTGTAAGGTGAAAAACTTGATCAATAATTGTAAATGTTTTACTCAGGAAATTCCTCAGAAGGGTTATGAATATTTCTTGGAATGCTTCGATTTCTTTCTACGTAAACAACAGGTTACCATGTCATCTTCAACTAGACCGTCAGCTTGGTCAACACCTATATCCAAATCTAGTGAGCCCCCTTTGGATGTAGCTTTACCTCTATCTTTGTACTGCCCTATGTTCTTGTGGAAAGTTTGGTTACGGACACTGAAGGGTGCACCACTATGTTCAAGCTCACGTAAGAGTCTCTTCGATCGCCAGACTTTTATTTTCCTGTCGTCGCCAAGAGTAATGAGTACTTCCTCTGAATGAGGATGAAATGCTGTAGCGTTGACACCTCCGTTTCCTGGTTGTGCTGCATGCTCCAGTTCTCCTAGAATGTTGCCAAAATGCCTATCCCACAAAAAGCCTCTCTCCATTTCACTCCCACTAGAACATGAATTACATGTATAAAATAACAAAATATTTTCATCACTTCGTCTAGGGTTATCAAATATGTAAACAGTCCATAGTCCTGAACCTTTTGTTTTTTTTTTTATTCAAGTTTTTCTTCATAATCACATACATCAAAATTTCACTTACATGATTACTATACTGTATTTCATTCTACAACACAATATCAATTATAATTATATAGTATTAGCGTACACATAGCCCTGAAACTTTAGTGTCCATTATAAACTGAACATGTCCTCCTTGCAGAATCCAATACCAAGATTCAAGAAATAAGTTACATGACTATGAAATGGCCCTGGATTGCCAGAAATAACATCAGCTGACTATATTATGATCTCAGATTGGCTATGTAGTGATCTAAGACAACTAGGAATAACTTATTAGGCTAAAAAGTTGTCCATGACTGCTAGGAATAATTATCTGGCCATGAAGTGGTCTGACACTACAAGGAATAACTTATCTGGTCATGAAGTGGTCTGACACTGCTGGGAATAACTTACCTGGCTATGTAGTGGTCTGATACTGCTAGGAATAATTATCTGGCCATGAAGTGGTCTGACACTACAAGGAATAACTTACCTGGCTATGTAGTGTTCTGACACTGCTGGGAATAACTTACCTGGCTATGTAGTGGTCTGAAACTGCTAGGAATAACTTACCTGGCTATGTAGTGGTCTGAAACTGCTAGGAATAACTTACCTGGCTATGTAGTGGTCTGAAACTGCTAGGAATAACTTACCTGGCTATGTAGTGGTCTGACACTACAAGGAATAACTTACCTGGCTATGTAGTGGTCTGACACTGCTGGGAATAACTTACCTGGCTATGTAGTGGTCTGACACTATAAGGAATAATTATCTGGCCATGAAGTGGTCTGACACTACAAGGAATAACTTACCTGACTATGTAGTGGTCTGACACTACAAGGAATAACTTACCTGGCTATGTAGTGGTCTGACACTGCTGGGAATAACTTACCTGGCTATGTAGTGGTCTGACACTACAAGGAATAACTTACCTGGCTATGTAGTGGTCTGACACTACAAGGAATAACTTACCTGACTATGTAGTGGTCTGATACTGCTGGGAATAACTTACCTGGCTATGTAGTGGTCTGACACTACAAGGAATAACTTACCTGGCTATGTAGTGGTCTGAAACTGCTAGGAATAACTTACCTGGCTATGTAGTGGTCTGACACTGCTAGGAATAACTTACCTGGCTATGTAGTGGTCTGAAACTGCTAGGAATAACTTACCTGGCTATGTAGTGGTCTGACACTGCTAGGAATAACTTACCTGGCTATGTAGTGGTCTGACACTGCTGGGAATAACTTACCTGGCTATGTAGTGGTCTGACACTACAAGGAATAACTTACCTGACTATGTAGTGGTCTGACACTATAAGGAATACCGGTAACTTACCTGACTATGTAGTGGTCTGATTCTGCTAGGAATAACTTACCTGACTATGTAGTGGTCTGACACTACAAGGAATAACTTACCTGGCTATGTAGTGGTCTGACACTACAAGGAATAACTTACCTGGCTATGTAGTGGTCTGACACTACAAGGAATAACTTACCTGGCTATGTAGTGGTCTGACACTGCTGGGAATATATAACTCAAGTGATCCTCTGAGGTGGCTGAGTGTCCCTTGTAGACGATGTCGGTAAAACACATATTGTATAGATCAAACACCTTGAGGTCAATATTCTTGACATAGCAGCCATGGTCATATTCTCCATCTTCCATGTTACAGCTTCTATAGTTGAATGCTATATATCTACAATATAAGTGTTTTACAACTTCAAAACTGCAAACCATTAAATATTCATGAATAATCAATTTTTTGCAATACATGTTTTTGTATAACAAAATATCTGCAGGAATTAAATGCCATAAACTTATCTGTGAAATAGTCTAGGTGTGAATTATCATGAAAATTAGATTTACTTTTTTCAGATGCAAAAATTACCTGCGACATTATGTAGGTGTGCACATTATGCAGGTTTTTAATGGCATATCAAAATATTTGTTATAAAAAAATAAAACACTGATCAGAACTTAAGAAATATTAAGATTAAGATCAGGTGAATTGCAGGAAAAAAAGAAATCAAATCTGGAAACTAAAACTCACCGCTTATCAGATGACAGTCGCATACCAACTAAACCACCTGGACTATCAGCATCTGCGCTGTTGAACTTTTTACAAACTTCAAGACTTGGCTCTGTCATTTCAGGCACTATATAAAAACTTAAAAATCCTGTTGAAGGATATTCCTCTGTGTTATTTGCCAGAATCAAAACAGGTGTGAAATCTTCATGTGCTGAACTGCTGGCCTGAGAGTCGAAGTCCTGGCTGGACCCAGGCTTTATCTCTCCATCATCAGATTCTAAAATTGTTTCACTATTCTCATCTGGCCCTTCTGAGTCAATGTATTGAAACTGTTCACTTAAAGGTGATATTGTTTTTGCAGAAGGTGTCATGGGTTGCTGCACGCAGTGGGTAGGGAGATAGGCAATTCTAGCGAAGTCATTATTCCTGCAGTATGGATCAAGTATCATGATATCCTGTCCTTTACCATCCATTCTTTTTATCAATGCTTGTATTTTCTGATCTGATTTCCTACGTTCTGTTACCTGAAAAGGAATTTTTAAAGTGCTTTCATTACAAATTCTTTAAGGATTAATTCCAAATTAATATATATATTGTAATACACAGCACGATAAACACCATTTCCATCTCCAATTTTTTTAGAAAGATCATTGAATAATTGAGCTGTTTCAGATTTGCTTTCCATTCTCAAATTTAAGAAGAGATCCCAGAGGGATCTTGGCGCCCACCATTTGAGGATCTGTTTTCAGTTCTTGAAGATTTGTTTATTTTTTTTTGTTTGTTACAGGTGTTGTAAATGTTCATGAACTGGTCTTCATTGAATGTACTCAATGATGGCACAAGATATTTTTATTAAGCACTTATTAGCAAATATCATTTGAAAAAGATCCCAAAGTATAATTAGATAGCAGTCAGTTACAGGTGGATAATGGACAATATGCTTGTGCTGTATTACTGTCGACATCCAAGATGGCTGCCTGTGGGCCACCTTGAATTCGGATCAGTCCAAAAAAGGTACAATACACAACTAGGGACTAAGGGGAAACTGCATATGAAATTTGAGGAAGATCCATCCAGTACTTTCCAAGAAACAGCAGTAACAAACTTTTACATCCAAAATCCAAGATGGCCACCTGTCGGCCATCTTGAATTTGAATCAGTCCAAAAAAGGTACAATGCACAACTAGGGACAAAGGGGAAACTGCATATGAAATTTGAGAAAGATCCATCCAGTACTTTCCAAGAAATAGCAGTAACAAACTTTTACTTCCAAAATCCAAGATGGCTGCCTGTCGGCCATCTTGAATTCGAATCAGTCCAAAAAATGTACAATGCACAACTAGGGACCAACGGAAAACTGCATATGAAATTTGAGGAAGATCCATCCAGTACTTTCTCAGAAATAGCAGTAACAAACTTTTACTTCCAAAATCCAAGATGGCCACCTGTCGGCCATCTTGAATTCGAATCAGTCCAAAAAAGGTACAATGCACAACTAGGGACCAAGGGGAAACTGCATATGAAATTTGAGAAAGATCCATCCAGTACTTTTCCAGAAATAGCGGTAACAAGAATTGTTTATGGACGGACCACGGACCACGGACGCAGGGCGATTTGAATAACAGATGGTGGGCTAATAAAAAACTTAAATTCAAAAATTTTAATTTTTATGAAGTATTTATGTTTCTTGCCACTGAATATAGAATAAGAGGATCTTAGTAAAAAGAATACTGACTCAAGTTCTAACTACATGTATTAGGTAATGTCATACATACGGTGTGTTTCTTTATGAGAAAGCACCTATGTCCTGGAGGCATAAACTCGTGACTCCCATTCAGAAAAGATGTGTCATCAAGCCAGCAGCCTCGGAAGTTGGCATTAGATCCAGATACTGCATACAGAATTTCCAAACCTGCTTTACACAAATACAAAAGTATTTACTTTTATTCAAATCTTTCGAGAGGAGGAAATCAAATGGCAAAACAAAAAAAAATAAAAAAACAAGAAAAAAAAAAGAATAACATATGATTGTACAAATGGCAAATTTAGAGGGAGACACAGTAGAGCCAAACATTGAACTGTATCATACAAATGTTTTATCCTTCTAAAACTCTTGTCAGTGATGCTAAGGGCCTATAATTTGAAGCCTAGAAGGTGACAGAGAAACATCCAATGTGATCAAAAGATAAGCCAAAAACTAGATTAGGAGGTGCACTAGCTTCAAAAAGCAATAAATTTTGTAATTTTCATATATCTGATAATCAAAAAACTAGTAGGGGAGATACATTGGGTGTCTTCTTTTTCTCATTGTATTGATGAATGGCCTCAGCTCCTTTTGCCAAAGTACATGCGAAAGTAGCTGTAGTCTTACAAGGAAAAATGCAAACCTTTCAATGAAAGTATGAGAGTGCAACTGTCAGCCCCCATGATGTAGCTTGCAATTCCAGCCACCAAAAGTAGAGTTTCGGATTCGTTAAAGTCGGAAAATCGAGTGTACACCAGAATGGAGTCCAGATCTGTATTCTCAGCATACAAGGTACATGGGTAACCAAATTTCCATACCTACAGGTCAGCAGAATTAACTTGTTTAACATCAAAACATACAATTATTTGTATACACTTAATGTCTCACTGCACGGCAAGCATGTTCATAAAAATTATATCACATTATTTCATTGACAAAGCAATCTTTTCTTTTTCCATCATACAAAAATCTTAAATCACAAGTTACATAATAATTTGTTATCATTGAAAGCTTTGGTTTCTTGCAATAATCACGAACTTATTATTCAGCTTACCCTCACTGAGGCGTCGCGGCCTGTGGTAGAGAAAAAATTTCCACTGGGTGAGAAATTGATATGATAAATCTCATCTGTGTGTCCTTCTAGAGTTTCACTGAGGACAAGAGGTGCCTCGTCCTCCATTCTAACAAACTCATCCTTCCAGGTCCTAAAACGTTCTCCATGTTTTAACTCTTCTTTAGCCCTATCAAGGACTCGTTTCTGTAAGTCTTTTGAGGCCACCTTATTGAAAACCAAAACTTTCCACAGGGAGTTATCATGTGCTATTCTGTACCAGTGCTGAAAACAAAGAAAAAAAACCCAGCTTTTTAATGAAATCAGAATGCAGTAGTTATGTAAATATCTACATCATAAAAGTGTTTTTAGTTTCCACAGTCTAATTATGGCTCAAACGACTTGCATAGAAGTTGCTCCCTCAAACAGTCTCTTGGAGTTTATTCTAGAATTTCAATGTCAATGTTAATCCATGATTGGGTAAGATAATTTAGTTAATGGTGCTACAGAGCTCTATCTTCACAGTCCTTGGATACAAGCCTGATCAGATGATGTTTTGGACCAACAGCTCAACTGTCACAATTATAAAGAGTCATATTGTTGATATTTATCCCACAATAAGATACAAACATTTCATAACAATTGTAAAACAAGTTATTTCAAACTTGTTGGCTCAGATGAAAGCACACGAGGGGTCTTACTTGGGAAGGAAACGAGAGTATTCTGGGAAAACTTACATGCCCATTTTGGAATCAGTCCAAGAAACTAAGACAGAATCTGACCCCAAGTAGGAAGATCAGCTAGGTACAGGACACGTTGTTTTGTTGGTTACTCACAAAAATTACCGAAAGAATAGTAAATTATCATAATAAAGTTGACCAGCTCTGGGTATACAATGCTTCCATTTGATCTTTGAAATGTTATTGAATGTTACTGACTCCCAAAAATAAGCTTCAACACTTGACTTTAAAAGATATGTCTGTATGACATTAGTTTTGAAACTATTCAGTGTTGGAACAAATGGCAATGCGGATCTTGATTATAGTCAGCAGTCAAGTGAAAGTCCTTATAGTGTAGCTCCTATGTAATCTTCAAACGACAAGCTTCAGTCTTGGAAAGATTTTGATGTCATTTAAAATCATTGTTCAGACAAGATATAGGTAAATACCATACCCTTTGGCTTTGAAAAGCGGTATCATTGATTTTATGAATATTTTCATGGAATCCTATTTATTTTCAGAACGTTGAGACTAATACAAGTGAAATCAGGGTCAAGTAGGTAAAAATGTCAACATAAGCAATCACAATATTTAGTCATTAGGATTCCTTACCTTACATGTTTCAGCTGCAGACATGAGACTTTTGGCATCAAGGTAGGACATGATTACCAACAGAATTCCATCCGTTAGCAGTCCCCATGGTAATTCATCTACCATCGCGTCCATGCTAGATGTCTCCATTGTCAAATTCAACAGAATTACCTTACGAAGGCTCCCTGAATAACAGAAAAACAGTCTACATAGAATTATGTACCTAGCAGGTGGTTTTTCATGATGATGTTAGAACCTTAAAACTGTAACAAAACAGATAACTTAAAGATATTACATTTGCTATTACCAGTGTTGTCAGTGTTGCCTGTGGTTGAAATCCTATTTAAATAAGATCTTTCTATGAAATATTCTGGAATGAAATAGTAGTGATGTTAAATAGACTGAATGAAATCTCATGTAGATCAAGAGCATTAACATGGATAATGGAGGAAGCAAATGGTATGAGTCAAGGCAGTCATTTATCTATTAACACCAACTACAAACCTAACCTACCACCTAAGACATGCACAAACCTAACCTTCCACCCATACCACACACAAACCTACGCTACCACTCAAGACACATAACCTAACCTAAGACACAAACAAACCTAAAGTACCACTCAAGACACGCAAACCTAACCTACCACTCAAGACACACACAAACCTAACCTACCACCTAAGACACATACAAACCCAACCTACCACCTAAGACACATACAAACCTAACCTACCACATAAGTCAGAAGGTAACTTTTACCATATGCCTTCAAATGTGTAACCTATCTGGCACCAAACACTGAACAGCCAGGGTTCAAAGTTCATAGTTATTACAACATTACAAGAAGAATCAGGGACACCATTTTTGAAAAGAACTTTGCTTAAATCTGTCCCCGTCAAAGACAGAATTCATATTGACCTACTTCGTAGTTCACTTCTATAATTCAGCCGAGAAAAGAGTTTACTTCTATAATTCAGATGAGAAAACTGTTTACTTCTATAATTCAGATGAGAAAACTGTTTACTTCTATAATTCAGATGAGATAACAGCTTACTTCTATAATTCAGATGAGATATCAGTTTACTTCTTTAATTCAGCTGAGATAACTGTTAATTTTTCTCATATTCCACTTTTGGACACAAATATGGGAGGAGTTTTAGATACTGTAGGAGACAACAGGAGTTCTCTTGCACAACCTATGTGGTCAGGCAGGTGACCCCTTACCTTTTTATATCTCTATTCTGGACCGCTAGGTGAAAGGCAAGTGTGTTTCTACTGCATCACCCAAGGATTACCAAATTTAGGACATACTACTGCATCACCCGAGGATTACCAAATGTAAGACATACTACTGCATCACCCAAAGATCACCCAATTAAAGTCACTCATGAATCAGCATTAAAACTTTTATTTATTAGTAGTGACTAAAGCTTTGTGTAGGGGAAGGTCTTGTATGATATCTGTGCAGTTCATTACAGTATAGAACCCCAGTGATAATTTGCTCATGGAGAAAGGGTTATAATCAAAGCTAAGATTTGAACCAAGATTCTGAAAATGATGAACCTGTGCAACAAGCACTGAAAGTACAATGATGTGGTCATACATTCAAGTGATCACCATTTTTATCCTTGCTTAACTTGGTACATGGCAACAACTTTCAACCGCAGAGTCACAAAAGTGAGCTATTGGACTATGCAACAGAAATGCCCATATACATGAACCATACCAAAATCCCCATGCATATGACCTTCATCCTGAGGAAGCTTTCTTATGAGTTCAAACTGGCATCCCCATCATATCTAACTGTTGTTCTTTTTGCTACAGCAACAAGCCTCAAGGAACATTGTGATTCCTATGCTATCTGAAGACACCCTTCAGGATAACATGCCCTCTTGCCACCACTAAATGTAAACATGTACTTGGATACAATGAAGCAGTAACCTATGCCAGCAATGACCACGCTTGATGTTGTGTAACTTAGACACATGGACATAACATTCAACTGTTCAGTCATCAAAGCTAACTATAAGTCTGTGCAACTGAAATGCTCACGTCCATTAATTGTAGCATTACCCCAATGATACCGCCTTAGAACTGGAACCCAAAGACACCGACAAGTCTTCAGGAACATTGTCTTCCCATGCTATCTGAGAACATGCTCCAACATAACCAGGACCACTTGCCACCCCCAATTATTCATTCACAGTTGGTACACCCTAGTAGTCACCCATCCAAGCCATGACCATGCTCAATGTTGCTTTATTTTGTTTGGTAAAAAGACACAACACTCAACCACCAGGTCCTCAATGCATGTGTGTCCTACATATATACACTCCTGATTGCTCCTCAATTTATTTTCTGAATCTCTGCCCTTACAAACAAGATCACTGTAATCATCATAAACACCATACACCACTTGAAACAAGGACATTATTGTATGATTGATATCAGTCAGATTTCTATTTGAAGGTACAGAAGGACAGCCATTTTAGAATAAAATACTAAAACCACTCAGGTATATCAGTAATATCGCGTAAATGAAATCAAATTTCATCATTATATGCATTTCTGACTAAAGTGTAAAATGCTTCACTGAAGTGTTGATGAAATTCGTTTCGTTATCGTTGCACTGATGTGCAAAAGATGTCAACACAATATTAATTCTGCTATACACATTTGAAGCTGAATATGACAGATCTTCTGAAATCAATATTATCCAAAACGTCTAAAATAATTTACAAGACATTATACACAAATTAGAGACCATTTTCATTCATAAATAATATATATATATATTGCTGACCTTCAATCAAAGTTCATAATCAGACAACTTGGCGTTTTACTTGGCTGCCAAGACAAGCCTGTAGTTGCGACTTTCAATGCAGGTTGCCAGATCTATTTTTTTTACTCGTTGCGATTTGTATTTGTTTGCATGCATGTCACTTGATCTGCAATCCGTGTATCAATTGAAGAAAACGTGTATCCGCTCCAGAATGTCAAAGTGACTATTCCTGACGTTGGAATTATTCTGAGTGATGTATAAGGTTTGTTTACTAAAAAAGAAATGACGGTAATATAACTTCCGCTTTATTCTAAGCGGTTGCTGTCCGCACGCTCAATACTCGGAATACCTCAGTGTTTAGTGTTGATTACGCGTTGAAGGTTGATTATTGTTGTGAATCTGTTATAAAAACCTGTTAATTCTTACCGTATGGTATAGTAAGCGGTGGAGCCTTTCAGTTAACCAATTACTGTATCAATATAATGATAACATGTTAATTGTAGACTTCAATCTGTCCGAAGATCTGTCCCTTCGGTACGGCCGCACTATTTCAACATTGGCCGTTTTGTGCTTAGGTAGGCTATATACGAACGAGTTGATTTTAAAAACAAAATTAACATAAGATAGCGTTAACATTTATCTGATTATCTTTAAACTGTATAAGGCTTATCAGAATCACGATGATTGAAGTCTTCACCTCTCTTTACAGGTAAGTAACACTATTATCAGTCACTACGTCATGTTTTACTTTCACTTTAGATAGATCATTGCCTGGTAAGTCAAGTAACATGACAGGATGTACGTGGTTACATAAAATCTAGTTAAAAAGATAAGAAATAATGTAAATATATCCAAGTTTACATATATTTATTAATAATTTGAAGATAAATAACAAGTATAAATTGCTCAATATTGTTGATAAAAATGTCATTTTACCTGAGATCTGGGGTGACCCATCAAAACCTAAAAATGCTTAGTTCCATTGGGGTCCCCGATGATTGTTTAAGATTAAGATTGACAAACTTAATTTGAATTGTAAACCTGCTTTTGATTTAGTTTACTAAATAATGTTTTGAGGCTTTGCCTCCAAAACAGTAAGGCCTATTAGAGGTACCCTTTAATAATTGTATCTTGGAATTGAATACTTCAAGGGTTATGAAGAAGTTATAGGAGATAGAGATGCCTCCTTTTAGATATCAAGTCTGTTTTGTTGTTGTCTTCGAGGTCTAAAACTGTGGGAAGGGAGTAGCGTAGAAGTTTAGAGTAGAGGTCCCTTACTTGCCTTGGCTGGTGGGAATTTCCCATTGCTTGAGTGGAGGCATGTTGGGCTAGATACTGAATGGTTGCTAGTTCAAACCCCAGTGGTGGCAGGTTGTCTTTGTTACTCCTTCCTATAACACATCAGTATTTTCCCGAAAGATATCCACAGGTGTGACCTAAAAATTGCTCACTTGAAATGACAGACATGCATATCAGAAGTGGTAGCTTCTGTTTATGGTGACATCACTGAATCACAGAGATGCTTGAGTTAGCCTAACTGTGGCCACAAAGTTTTACATTTATAAAATCATCATTTCAAAAAGGAATGACATTTTGATGAGAAAAAAGCAAATTGTAATCATGTTAAGAAAATAGTGGATGACTGTGTCTATGTCGTTTTGTTTTTAACTCAAATGTGTCACATTACTTACCACACCACAAACTTTTCAAATAAGATTAATTTTCATGTGCCAATCTACAACTCACTTGTTCATTCAAATCAAAAAGCAGTCTCACTACAATCGATCATTTTAAAATCATCATTTTTCCAATACAACATATGCATGTTTGGACTTCCATGGCAAACAATGGAAAGGAGGCAGGGCCTGTTATTCATTGATGATTTTTATTCACTTGATAGATGACAACAAAATATCGGCATCAGAGGATGGTTTAATGATTTATGATATCTGGGAGGATGTTTGACATGTAAAAATGTTTATTGTGAAAAAGTATCCTAATTTGCCAATGAGATGAATGCTCATAATAATTCATGATTTATGGATTTAATCACAGTTTTTTTTCTCACAGAAAGCGTCGGATGTTTCTGTAACTAAAATTACCTGGGTTCTCGGTCATGTAGGTCATTAGTTCATGTATAATACAGTTCAACAAATTACTTATACCAAGGGTGGAGACATGTATGTTGTACAAGATACATGTACCAGGTAGACATATTAAAATTTTAATTTCTAGGTTAGAAAATGACTTTGATATGTCAAAGTAGAAGATTTTATCAGGATAAGCGTGACATTTACATACCGATATCAATTAAAGCAGCATATATGGTTACCTGTCATGAGGCTGAAACTGCCTGTCATTTCAATGAATGCCCAGTGTAAACAATGGGAACAATTATCTGGCAGAATTATTGTTACTGTCATTGGGATATCTTGTTCATTAATCATAACACCTGTATAACATTTGTAATTACACTTAATTTCTGAATATCATAAATAATAAAAAGGATTGTGACCTGACCATTTGTATCCACATATGATGAGACTAAGGAAAGGGATATAAGGATGTTCCTATATATATAGATATATACCTACATACATAGGTAACGCTATCATTTGTTAGTGGTTAACATCTTACACTGGAATAAGGACCATTATGTTTTGGACCAATTTCAGGGTTCTAGGGTCAAGGTCAAGGTCACTTTCTATTTTTAGAAAATCTATTTTAGTACTCTAGCTACTTCATTTTTGTTAAGGATTTCAATTAAACTTCAAACATTTATAAAGTCCTAGTATATCTCAGAGGAGTTCAAATTTCAGGGTTTTAGTGTGAAAATTTTTAGGTCAAGATGGTTTTTACCTTTTTACTCTTTAAGGGGTTTTGAACAAATTTTACACACTTAGCCATCTTCTGTATTACACATGATTAAATTAAAATGGAAATGTAAGGAGATTTGTTTGTCATGTTTTCTGTGTCTTTTTCCAGATGTAAATAGATGCATGTTTTGAAGAAACCTTTGAACTATAATGTCAAAACGTGGAAAGCAAGGGGTGTCCCTTCCCAGCAATACTGGACATGGATTTAGCCGTTTGAGCACAGATAATGGCTGGGAAGCACAGGTCAGTAAAACAGATTTTTAATGTCCACAAAAACAAAACAACCAAAAAAAACTACTTAATATTTCAACTATTTATAGGAGTAAGTACTTATCAAACAGTTGCCTTACACTAAAATACCATAGGTACAAGTGAATACCTGTGAACACTACCTCATACATACTAAATAAGCACACATACGTCTGTGGCAGGGTCAGCAAAAATGGCAACAAATGCTACATCATTGTCCTGTAATAAGAGCCTGTCTCACTGCTTTTTAGTCCGATTTAATGTGTTGGCCTCTCAGACTTGTTTGAGGATAGATGCAGTGATTAGGCAACATAGTCAGAAGTGCCCAGGGTTTAAGTGCCACTGTGATGGAGAGATGGTAGAGGAAAAGAGCTTGATCAATGTTTTTATTTCACTTTAGGTTTGCATACTGATTGAAACACAGATCTTTGTGTAAATAATATTTAACTTATATCTAACCCAAGGAGCCAAATTTTGTTTGAAGTCAAAGGATGGTCTCATTGCGGGGCAATGAAATATTGATAACTATACTACAGCAAAGCAATAGCTATGGTTGGGGTTGATATCGTTATGCTCGTTAGATAAGTAGTTGTAATTAAACATGGAATAAATCACATGTTAACCCATTGTCATTTATCATTGTAGGGAGGGTACATGGCCGCCAAGAAGCAGAAACTTCAGAATCAGTATGAAGCAGACATTGGGTCTGAGGGAAACACTAGGAACATATTCAAAGGAGTAGCAATCTTTGTGAATGGATACACAAGTAAGTTCTTCTGTGTCTTGTTTCAGAATCCTGTTACCCTAGGACAAATTAAACCCTGAAACTTCACTGCTAATTAAGAAATGGGGGCTCATTACAGAACAATGAAAGACAATTGTTGGTAATTCTAACAAACAGCAATAAAAATGGATGCATTTAATACAAGATATGAACTTATTGAAATATGAGTATGATAAAAAGACAGATGTTTAATTTGACACAGAGCCATCATCAGACGAGCTGAAGCGTCTTGTAGTGTCACATGGAGGTCAATATGAACACTACCTGTACAAGACACGGGTGACACATATCATTGCTACTAACCTAACCAACAGTAAGATCAAGGACCTGATGAAGAATGGGAAGGTAGTCCACCCAGAATGGATCACAGACAGGTAATGTGCTGTTGATTCAATTGACCAGCATAGGAATAGAAATCCATGTATGTTGTTCTAGAATCTGAAAAGAGTTAAAAACATCCTATCAAATGGTCTGTTCTTATTAGCAGATGTTAATCAGAAGTTTGTATGTGTCTTTTAATGTTTGGTATTTCAGTGTCAAGGCCAGTCGTTTGTTGCCTTACTCAAAGTATCTACTGTACACGGCCAAGGGAGGTAAGCAACATGGTCTTGAAACCTTCTCCACTCACACAGTCACTCGTCACAGCAGCACATCATCTAATGCCACTATGGACATGGATACATCTCATTTTGATAAAAGAGAAAAGTCATCGGATGACAGCATTCCTCAAGGTAACAATTTAGATCATACATCACAGGAAACACAAGATTCAGTGGCATCTTTTCATGAATCAGAAAGACAATTCATTCATTGTAATGAGGAAGAAAACATGATTGAGGAAGACAGCGATGAATCATCCCTTTTTGGGAACCAAAGTTTCAAAGCACAACAACAAGCAACTAACATGGTTATTAGTCAAAAAGTAAGCCATGTGATGCCAGATGAGCATGAAATCCAAGCAGATAATGGTATCAGAGTTATTTCCCCTGGAAAAGTCCATCAAGCTGCTGCAGTGAATGGCCATGGGACATCAGGCTCAAAACGAACTGGGATGGCGACAGCAGGAGAACCAGCATTTCTGAATGAGTTCTATTCCAATTCTCGACTTCATCATCTTTCAACCTGGAAGTCAGAATGGCGTGCCTATGTGAAGATGCTACAAAGTCAGAGTCAAGATTTTCCTGGCAGAACCAAACTGATGGAGGTAGCCAGCAAAAGGTGCCAGGATATGAAAAGCATGTTAAGTAATAAAATTAATTTGGGACAAAACCAGAGTGCCAAGCCATCCCGTATCATTATGCATGTTGACATGGACTGTTTCTTTGTGTCTGTTGGTTTAAGGAAAAGGCCAGATCTAAGAGGTAAGAACATAATCTGTAGATAACACTGTGTATGATAAAGACAGCACAAGGAAAGACAGGGTTGGGCACATAATCTCAGACTTGTGATATCTGCAACACATATATGTCAGCTTATTATTGATGATGGACTTATCGCTACATAATTCAAAAATTTATTATAATGAAACGTTTTCATTCAAGACAAATTTTTAACCACAAGATGATTATATTTGACTTATCATTAATATAGTTTTGAGTTAGTTATCCATTATTATAAACACATATATTACACTTCATTGGTTACAATTGATATAATTCATACTTTTTAGGGAAACCAGTAGCTGTCACTCACTCCAGAGGTCAAGGTATGAAGGCCCCTTTACAGGGGTCAAACCCTGCCTATGAACGACAGCAGTGGGAACTTAAGCGTAACCAGGGTGGAAAGAAGGGTAGGAAGCTTCAGCTTCCCACACGACAACCACTAATAGATGAAGGTATTGAGGAGGATGATGAAGAAGATGATAGCAATGATGGGATAGATAGGCCTGAAGCAGCTCCAGAGATTTCTGAGTCCTTTCACTCCATGGCTGAAATTGCTTCATGTAGTTATGAAGCTAGACAGGTGAACTGATTATTCTTTGAAAAATATTTTTATCTTCTAAAGTAATTTTGTCAAAAAAAAAGCAATGAAAATGAAAATTCACTGAAAAAAACAATTTTTATAAGTAAATCTCATCGAAGGTTTTAAAACAGTTAAGAATTTTTAAAATTAACTACAGCTTTTAATGATAAATCATTTATGTAATGAAGGATCAAAGTCCACGATATGTTATATTTTGCTAATACAAAAAAAATAGTCCAAAGAGAACTGGTCTTTAACTAAATTAAACCTGTTGGAAAATACTTTTGACATTTTGTTTATTACAGTCAGGCGTTCGGAATGGAATGTTCATGGGGAAGGCCAAACAGCTGTGTCCAGAACTACTGACCATTCCATATGACTTTGATGGCTACCAGGAAGTGTCCAAAACACTGTATGACACTGTTGCCAGGTATAACTGTAACCTTTGATTTTGACGATGAAATGGCTCACATGTGGCTGTCTTGGATTTGACTGTAGTTTGTTATAACTGTCTCCTGAAATGTACAGTATGGATCTTTCTCAAATTGTATATAAAGGTTCCTCTCGGTTTCTAGTGTGGCTCATTTCATTTTCAGACTGATTCAAATAATTGGTTGGCTGAAAGATGGCCATCTCTGATTTTATAATGTTGTTTTGTTGTTGCTATTTCAAGAGAATTACTGAATGGATCTTTCTCAAATTTCTTTTGAAGATACCATTGATCTAAAATAGTGCACTTTCAATTTTGGAAATGATGAGAAAAAACAAATGGAAGGCTAGTGGTCACATTGAATTTTGACAATCGCTATTTCTTGAGAAGTACAGGATGGATCTTCCATTTTTCATTGGAAGGTTATCCTTAGGTGAAGTTCCTAGTCATTTTAATTGTTGGAAAGATGAGAAAAACAACATTGCTGACAGGCTGCCATATTTAATTTTGACAATGAATGTTTGTTACTTTCAGTTCCTGTGCAGAACAGGATGGGTGTTTCTCAGATTTTGTTTTAAGCCATTATTGCTTTTTCTGAAGGAGAATTCTCAAATTTCATATGATTAAGAGCAAATAAGAAAGAAGAAAAAAGATCCAATTGAAGAACACATAAAGATCATAAAAATGGATGAATAATTTGACTTTTATTCAAATTTTTGTTTGTGATTAAACTAGATAGTTGTCTGTTGCATGTTGATGTGAATGACTCCCATTATTCAAAAACATTTTTACCTAACTTTGAAAATCAGAGCAGTGAAATATATCTGATAGCAGCTTTGAATAACACATTTTGAGGTCTCATGTTCTTGATTCTTTAAGTCGACAAGCTTCAGCAAGATATTCTATTTTATACTTCATAAGTCATCTCAAACACTTTTAAGTTGTGCAATAGTTAGTTATTCATTTATCACCCATAGTATTTTCGACCACATGTGAGAAGAGTCTTTGACTCCATGTGTAATCGAATTGAAATAAAGTCTATTATTATTATTATTATTATAGTTAAAAAACAGCATGTAAAATCCATCTTTTTTCAAGATCATTTAAATATGGCATATTTTCATATTTTCCTAGAAAATAATTCTGTATCCTGCAATATACCCAGTGGCCCAACATCATTTATAACTTCAGTGTATGGAGGTAATTGCACATTGAAACAGTTTTTGGGTTCATCTCTTCTTACATTCCAGTATTTGGGGGTGGGCTTATTACCAGGCAGTGTAATAATGTTAATCTTTATTTTGAGGTTAGATATACTCATGACATTGAGGCGGTCAGTTGTGATGAGATGTTAGTGGACTGTACTGACCTTCTGGCCATGACCGGAGCTGAACCACTTGAGTTTGCATCACTCCTTCGACAGGAACTTATGGACAAGACTGGCTGTCCTGCTTCAGCTGGCATGGGTAAAGTGAGATTAGTGGCATAAATTTTGTTCTGGCCTTATGATTTATAAAGTAGAATCCTTGAACTTCCATGGGTTAATATCACTTAGTTATCCTCACAGAAGAGTGTCATATTAAATACTCTTGGCTTTCAAAGATGATGAAGAAGCTGAATTAGTTAACTTTTGCCAAATTAACAAATTAAAGCTGATATTCGTTCCTTGTCATAATGTAATTGATGTCAACATTGTCCTCTACATACTCTCCTCAGCTCATGATAAATGATACCTATCGTCAAAAAACTGTTAACTGAGAAAAGTTTGTCACAAGAAAGTCTTGTTATTTAAGACAATTTTATTATTAGTGGTCAATGTTTTATGTGATGATTTTGTCACTTTGTCACTAGGGCACACTCTTGTTTATAATGATTTTTACACTAGGGTTCACTGTTATACAAGATGGTCTGGTCACTAGGGGACACTGTTGTTTGTAATGATTTTTACACTAGGGGGCACTATTATACAAAATGGTCTGGTCACTAGGAGACACTGTTGTTTGTAATGATTTTTACACTAGGGGGCACTGTTATACAAGATGGTCTGGTCACTAGGGGACACTGTTGTTTGTAATGATTTTTTCACTTGGAGGCACTGTCTCTGATGATTTTGTCATGGTTAGGGGGCACTGTTTGTGATGATTTGTCACTAGGGGGCACTGTCTGTGATGATGCTTCCATGGTTGGGGGCACTGTTTGTGATGATTTTGTCACAAGGGGGCACTCTGTTATATGTTATGATTATGTCACTAGGTGGCACTGTTGTTTGTGATGATTTTGTCATGGCTAGGGGGCACTGTTTGTGATGATTTTGTCACTAGGCACTAGGGGGCACTGTCTGTGATGATTTTGTCATGGCTAGGAGGCACTGTTTGTGATGATTTTGTCACTTGGGGGCACTGTCTTTGATGATGTTTCCATGGTTGGGGGCACTGTTTGTGATGATTTTGTCACTTGGGGGCACTGTCTTTGATGATGTTTCCATGGTTGGGGCACTGTTTGTGATGATTTTGTCACTAGGGGGCACTGTCTGTGATGATGCTTCCATGGTTGGGGGCACTGTTTGTGATGATTTTGTCACCAGGGGGCACTCTGTTATATGTTATGATTTTGTCACTAGGTGGCACTGTTGTTTGTGATGATTTTGTCACTGAAGAGGAGGTGTGGGCATATTAGTATAAATTGTTGGTATACTGTAATTCTCAACAAAACTAACAATCTCCATATTTGTAGGATCCAACATCCTACTGGCCAAGATGGCGACAAGGAAAGCCAAACCAAATGGCCAGTATTTTCTTCAGTCAGATGATGTGCTGGACTTCATCAGCGATCAGACAATTCAGAACATTCCAGGTAAATCCTCAGCTTTGTTTAAAAAAAAAATCCTTGAGACAATGTTTAACATTCAACATGATACAATTTAATTCTCAATCTCTTCCTAAATAGATAAGAACTTTTTTCTCAAAAGTAAACAGATTGCATCAAACTGGCTTAAAGGGAATTTTCTCTTCTTATTTGAAGTTGTGTTAAATACCCATTTTTCAGAACAAAAAAAAAATGTACATGCATGTTGTGAATTCCATCTTTTAAGGAGTTGGATGGTCTATGTCCAAAAAATTAAAAACCATGAACATTGAGAAATGTGGAGATCTACAAAAGGTGTCGCTAAGTGTCCTCCAAAAGGAGTTTGGACCCAAAACTGGCCAATCACTATACAGATACTGTCGTGGAGAAGATGATCGACCAATCAAAATTGAACAGGAAAGGAAATCTGTTTCTGCAGAAATAAATTATGGTATTCGCTTCAAACATGTAAGTTGATAATAAATCCATTTTTAATTCCCTTCTGTTTTTGTTTGTGTGCATAACTGCTTATCTTTGTATCGTCTGACCTGTCACGTCATGCTTTGAATTATATCATAACTCTAGTGCATCCATTTCTTATGAGATTATGTAAATTTTATGTAAATGTCAACTATAACAGTACCTCAGACTCCGCCCTGTTTTTGAGTCTAGATCAAGGTTGTCATTATATTTATTGAAATTTATCAAACAGGTGACGCCGTGTTAATACACTATGAAATGGTTACAGATTAGAAACCAACTGAAAGTCTCTGAGAAAGATAATGCCACAGTTTACATCACATTTGTAAACTCCACTTTGTTGTATATATTTCTTATTATTGAATGTAAACTATTTATCTTTAAACAAGCCCAGGGGACCAATGAATTACCACTGTGAGAGATGCGCTTATTACAGGACAGTGATATAGCATTTGTTGCCATTTCTACTGAAAAAACTGAAAATGTGGGATGTTTAGTCTTATTGCAAGACTATACATTGATAAAACAAAGGGAGGTAAGAGAGAAGTTTTAGATTGGTCCTATATTTCACTTCTCAATCCACAGAATGGTGAAGCAGAGAAATTTCTATCAGATTTGTCGGAGGAAGTTCATACCCGTCTGAAGAGCATAGACAGGAAGGGCAAGACAATAACTCTCAAAGTGATGGTGAGACGCGAGGATGCTCCAGTGGAAACATCAAAATTCATGGGTAAATTTTTGTTTATTGTCCAGGTGACTAAAATAACATGAAAGACAAGAACATTATACTTTTAACTACAAGGTGAACTGACAATTTCTGGCTTCAGTCGTCAAATAATTTTCCATATTTATCCAAATAGAATTTCTCATTTTTCACCATGAATGCCTATTTACATGTACAACTTCAAATGATATCGGCATTGTTTTTGCCTAAAGTTTTAAAACAGATTGTTAAATCTATCGATTCAATATCAATTTATTTCCTGATGTTTTCAGTCCACCATCAGATGGTGGGCTGTACAAATTGCCTAATTGGCTGTGATCTGCAATCTGTCTGTTGTCAATTCATCTGTTCTTAAAAAGATATAGTTGACACTGGTATTAGACAGATTATTCACAAATTTCATATGTAGCAAGGGGTTTCCTTTGTCCCTCCTTGTCATTATTTCACTTTGGAACTGATTGGAAATTTCAAAATTGCCGAGAGGCGGTCATTTTGGAATTTGATCACAGACCATTTTCATATTTTACATGTAGGTATCCGTTGGTTCTTAGTGGTGCATATTTGATTTTGGGACAAATGAGGGGGAAATCATGCAATGGTGGGCACCACAATCCCTCTAGAATCATGTCTGTATACATTTCAGTGTTGATAAATGACAGCTTACTCTTGCAGGCAAATGTCTGTTATTAGTAACACTGTTTCTCCTTTTTATTTTCCAGCTGACTTGTAGTGAAAAAATATCTCAACATCCTCCTTTTTACATTTTTTCTTTTCAAATCATTACAGCTGCCATTTACAATGATCATAGCAAACTTTCACTTGACCCAGTCATTTTTTATATGTAGGTCATGGCATCTGCAACAACCTATCCAAATCAGTCACATTGCCTATGGCAACAGATGACCCCAAAGTTATCTGTCGAGAGTGCATTGGTATATTAAACCATATGAAGGTTAAGGCGAGTGACCTTCGTGGCATTGGTATTCAGCTGCAGAGACTAGAGCCCAGCGTCCTTGGGGGCCATAAGTCAAACAAAGGAGCTCAGAGCATCCTTAATTTTACTGTTTCTAAACAAGGTAATGAATTTAGTTTATGTTTTGTATCAGTGTACATTACCAAATTTCCAGATAGAGCAACATGTAAGGTAAAAAAATCGAATTTGCACATAAACATAATTTGTACTTTTTGGAGGTGACATTGCTGAAAAAATTCTGGGTTAAAATTTGTAAAAATGATAAGTTGATACTTCTGTATCAAACTGTATTGATCTGGCAATGCTATTGATCTGTAATAAGCCAATTTTCCTACCTCGAGTCAGAGATCATGACTTATTTTTTTCTATGTTAAACATGTAATGATGCCTCAAATTCTTCTTTTCAGCATTACTAAATAAAAGTTCCTCTAAATCTCCAAACACTTCAGCAGCCTCATTGTTACCTCTCTCTGTTGACCTTGACATTGAAACATGCGCTGAAGGTCAAACAAGTGAAGCGAGACAGGAAGGAGATGAGATGGAGAGTTTTATTGACTTACCTAACCAAACAGATCGTGAACTGGTGCATAAATCTGAAGATGAAAGTAACGACTTTTTAGGGGGATACTGTCATAACATTGTGGACGAGTTGTCCAGGTAATCCCACAGTTTTATATTGTATATATATTCATATCGTGAGTTATTAAATGTAAAATAAATATTTACATGACTGATAACAGCAAGAGATATCTAATATTTTGCATCAATTCAGGTAAATCAAAATTTTGTCATCCCTATGATTGCTAAATTTTATATGCCAGTATCTCTAGGGATGGCACATATTGCTTAACTTTGTAGAGTTATGTCCCTTCCTTTGATTTTTGATACAAAGATGTAGCTATAGGTTGGGAACTTCAGATAGCTTGAACTGTCCTGCCAAGTTTTCTTTCTTTATTGTTTTCATGGCAAACAAGTTACTTGTTTTTGTCTCTCTAACCACACCAACATATGCCTTTTGATATTATACTTATGGGCCATTCAGACTATAGATAAGCTGTGTTTATTTACCCAGGAGAAAGACAGCAAAAAGGTTTCTTCCTCCTCTACCTTCACTGCCCGACCTATCTGGGTCCCCAGAGCTGACAGCTGGCGGTGGGGATAGGAGCACATCTGGAATCGAGGATTACTTCCCTTCTCCTTCTCAGGTTTGTGTTCAACATCAGTGGGTTGCAGTTTCACCTTGATTGAAACGGTTTGTCCAACTGAACCTGCAAGATAATGTGAGATACCTATCTGGACTTAGGCTGGATGACAGAATATTTTGCTTGTGTACTTTGAAGGGACCAACTGTAGCTTTCTGAAACTAACTGGCTATCACAAAGTTTCAGAAGTAGGGCATAACCCAGGGCTGATCACACATATTTCAAAGTGAAAGATTTCGTTACAGGTTTGAAGGCAATACATTTATTTATAGTTTATTGTTTTATTATTGGCGGAAAATGCAGACAGTGTGTAAAAATAAGCATTTTCAAAATCAGGTACAGGTGGATTTGTTTATTGTGGAATATATACGAGTTGCCTGAACTGTTTCACCCTGTTTATATGACAGCAGCTTTGCTGCATTTACAGCACTAGGCAAATATTGAAGGGGCAATGACTTAATACTAGGTCCCTGTCACTTACACTTTAACCTCGATTTTTAAAATTTGGGATGTTTATTTGTAAAACTGTTACATGGAAACAAAGCTTGATATAATTTTCACATGTTTATCTTGAAGGTTAAATCTTTGTTCAGGTTCTGTGTACAAATGAATTCCTACCTTTCCAAATTGTCCAAAAGTAAACTGAAGATGTACCTTTATAAAAAAAAACAAATTGAAAGAAATTTGTGGACTTTCAACATCAAGATTGATCTCAACATAAAAAAGGAAGTAGTACCAGTTTTCATAGTTAGGCCTGTCTTGTTAAATCATTATCTATACACTCTGTACTGAGGTCAGTTTATAAACCATGTTGTCTTTATTTCTTAATTACAGATAGATCCAAGTGTACTTAATGAATTACCTCCAGACATTCGCTCACAAATTGAGAAAGAAATGATTTCCAGAAGAGTAAAAGGTAGTCACAGCCATCAATCTAATCACAGCACACCCAGTACTAGTAGAACTCATAGGACAAGAGTGGTTGTTGATGAAAGACCTGGATGCTCTCATTGGTCAGAAAACTTAGATTCAGCCAATCAAAATGGGTCAGCTAAAAGTTCCTTGGAAGCTGCAGATCTCATGCCATCACCTTCACAGGTACTTTGTGAAATGAGGAAAAAATTTTTATGTATTTGTGAATTCATTTAAAAATGTTAAGAAAATTATCATTCTTTATTGTGTCGAACAACCATGTTGATAACAAGTTGATATTGGACCATAAGTTCAACAATCACTCTGACATAATGCTGATAGTTGTAAAAGTACAGAGGAAAAAGACTTTATATATAGGTACTCTTATCACCTTACAAATAAGAGGTGGGTATAGCTAGCAATTAATGTAATCATCCCAATTATATTTTCTAGTATGTTAGATGCAGCAAGTTATTCTGATCTGATTCTGCTTGCTTGTGAAACCTATGTCCCAGATTTTAAGTAGCTCTTCTGAAGAGAGATTGTAGCCTTGTCCCAACATATAGCTATGGTATGGCTGTTTATAACTTTTTGAACTTAGATGATAGTGTAAATGATCCTCAAAGATTTTGGTCTGTGCCAGGAAGTCTTGCAAACAGAAAACAGAATATCTCCTGTGGGGATTTCAGACTGATCCTGTAATAGTAGGAGAATGCGTAGCTTTCCTGAAACAGAAGACCTTGTCCATTATCTGTTTCCTTGATGTTTGTTCAAATTTATTGTTGGAGAATTAATTAAGAAAGAGCTATGAACCTCAATTACAGATAGATCCCAGCGTGTTGAGGGAATTGCCCCCAGACATCCGCAAACAAGTTGAAAATGACATTGTTAGCAAAAAACGGCAGGGCAGCCATTCCACCCTGGGGGTAAACCATTCACTCGTTGTGAAAAAACATCCAGTTGTTGAAAATATCTCCAGAGAATCCGCTGTATCTGGATATTCACATCAGTCAGGACAACAGACTAATAGAGACGACACCCACAACGATAACACAGTAGTGCCTTTACCTTCATTATCTCAGGTAGGAATAATTGTAACACAAGGTATAAAGCCTTTGGGATGTTGGTAGATTGTGACTCTTTAACAATTTTCTGCCTTAGTGAAAGTTGTGATGTTAATCTGTCATATGTTCTACTTATTATTTTTAGCAGATATCTTGTTCTAGAAAGATTTTGTGAGATTATCGATATGAAGGAACCATCAGGTAGAAAGCGTGTTGTTTTATTGTTCCTGTCAATGTTTGTTTTTACTGTTAACAAATTTTTGCAATTTTACCAAAAGCACAAAGTGAATAAAATTGATTTTTCGCAGAAGTTGTCATGAAATGGTCTATTACTTTCTATATTTGTTTAATTTTTCCAGGTGTCAAATTTTCGATGATTCTACTTCATCCTTAAAATTGGCAAAATGTAGAACCTGTAAATTCAACAAGATAAATAGTACATGTAAAATAATCATGTAAATAAAGCAAGAAAGTTAAGTATCGTTAAAAAAGAGTTTAAACAGATGAGAAATTCTTGATATAGAAATTGTCAATTATTTTCCTTGAAATCAGGATTCTTGTTACCTTAAGATTTATAAAAAGTATTTTATTTACCAGTTAGATGAGAGTTGTTTGAATGCCCTACCGGAGGAGTTACAGGATGAGATTCGTGAAGCCTATGTAAGACAGGAGAGTGAAGAAATCACAAAACCATCCTCTTTTCATGCTATACCTATGCTTAGCCTTCAGCAAGCTTCATCCCCATCCAAACGGTCACCTGGAAAGACCTGTTCTCCGACAAAATCACGCTCACCAAGGAGAAGCCCCAACTTTAAAATTCCAAGGGGTAAACCAAGAAGAGGTAGACCAAAAAAACTTGAATTCCAAAGTCGGCGCCAACCAAAAATAACAGCAACAGTTAGCAGCAAGCAGGTGATGTATTATAATCTAGGAGTTTTCCTCTAATGGCAGAACCTAGGGTTTACATTGTTTTGTGACCCCAGGAATGGAATACGTTTTTCTCAACATCTGCCTACTGAATAGTTCTTTACTTGTGGAGGGCTAATATTTAGTGGTAGTTTCATTTTGGGCTAGTTCAGGGGTATTCAATTTTGTATGTGTCTATGAACAGGTATCCAGGTATACAGGTATAAGAAATATTTTTCAAAATTTTCATTCACTGTAGATTTGAGTTCAAAACCTCAAGGAAGCCTTAACACTATGATAGAGTCATATCACATGTCACAAATCTGTTTTCTGTACATTACTATGCAACAATTATGACATGACTGATTGGCTGTTGATCTTATCAAATTACATAATAGGAGAGCATAAATACAAGCATTTTAATGTAAATAATCAAAAGTCAATACATGTATTAAATGGGCACTTGTGTTTAAACTTGACAGTCAGTAGTTTAAGACTACAAGTAACATGCCAGTTATTCTGGTTCAGATCTCTAATGTTTGAAAATCAAGAAAGGATTTTTTCATATAGAAACATTTATAAATATGTGTTTTTACAATCCCCTCCCCCTCCCTCCCCTCTTCCTACCTAAAAAACCCCTGTAAAATCTGTCATTTTAGAAACAATTTAGGCAACTGTTCTTGTGAAAAAAAACATTTCTTTTTAAAAAAACATAGCGTAATGATTACATATAAAATCAGAATGCCTGATACCAGTCCGGCATCTTTGTGCGTTAAAACTTGGAGAGTATATTAAAGAAAATTTTATTTTCCATCTTAGCAAGAATCCAGAGTCGACACATTTAAAGACAATGTCTGTAAACTAGATGCTATTATAGTGGATCAACCAGCAGAAGAGGCTAACCCAGGTACCCTCATCGATGGTACAGTTAACGAAACTGCTGGATCCATTACTGATAGGATACCATCGTCCAGTCAGAGAGCTGTCAACTTATGTGGTGCTGTGACTATCACAGAAGTCCGTACTCTGCTGAGAGAGTGGCTGAGTTCTGCCCAAGGTATAACTTTCATTTCTGGATAGTCTTACTTTTTTTTTTTTTTTTTAAACTTTACTCAAAATATTAGCTTGGCTTCTCCGAGCTGTATACAAGTTGATATCATTGATGTTGGCTTGAGAAAAAGACATGTTGGTGGATTTATCGTTAAAATGAGGAATTAAGAATGATTCTAACTTTGTAAACATTCAACATATTTTCCAGAGAATGATTAAAAACCAAAATTGTATTTTGTATTTTACATTTTCAACTAGGAATTAATTCCCCACACAGTTATCTCTTCTGTTGTGTTACAGTGCCAGAGCAGGAGGATGAGGAGGTGATGCTAACTTACCTGCAGGACCTGGTTTTAGACAAGAATCTGGAACAAGTTGACTTAGTCATCAGGTTCCTAAACAGGTAAAATCTGCCCTGGTATTGCTGTAATTATGATTGTCTAGGGACTGGAAAAAAATTAATCTGAGTCAAAACCCAAATAACATATCTCTGATCCAAGGGTGTAGAATTATGGTCATAAATATTTCATGTGTGAAAAGTGATCAACATTCAATGTACATATACCATGGGAATGCTAAATGTAGCAATCTGTCTGCAGTGGGAAAGTCACCCATGCAAGCCTGAGAGGGGGCAGCACTTTTTTTACTACTCCTTTCTGTTACACAACAGGTATCTATAAGTGGGTTTTTTTTTTCAGAACAGTTCACCGAGATCTTTTCTGTATACAGAGTTGTAGTACTTTTTGCAGGTCTTTCTTTGTATATTGAGTGATGTAGCAATTATTCTGGTATCCTGGATCACAAAAAGCTCCATCATAACATTTACTTGGGTATATAAAGGAAAACATTTGTACTTCCCTGGTAATTATTTACCTGTTGGGTACAGACTCTATTCAATTATTTCTTCAGAGGTGCTGATAAGTTGCTAACACTTAGTCAGGATACCTCTTTTTTTATTTTGAATATATTGTCATTTTGTATATAAACAGAAAATATCACCTTGACATATTTGTTTCGCTAACTTTTTTGAGGTTTTAGCTCTCTTCCGGCAATTTGTTTTGTTTTATTTGAAATTGATAAACAAATCATCTGAAGAGAGCTAACAGGGTTTGAAACAAATACTTGGTCCTGCTGTTTTCACTTTATATATTTGGATGATACACAATGTGAGGAGAAGTTATTTAAATGTATTATTTTACATTTGAACATGGTAACATAACTAATGAAAGAAGACAATTTTTGAATTGTGCCAAATCAGGGCCTCAAAATTACAATTATTATATATTATCATATATTTATATACAGTCTGTACAAGAACAACCAGTAAAAACTGCTGTTAAGTGTTCATCCCTATAATTAAATACATCATCAATTTTTTTCTGTAAATTTTCAGGCATATCCAATGCTTACAGAATGACCTATGGAAAGAGACATTTGAGCGTATTGTTCAGCATATCCAATGTGTTGTACAATCCACCTATGGCAGCAAACTAAAGCTTCACAATGGATCAAATCAGCCTATAAGCTGACACTTTTAGCCTGTGATATACCAGTCTATACTTTACAACAGATGTTGTGCACTCAAATTGACTTTTGTTTCCATACTACTCCATTGTTAAGTGTACTTAACTATTTTATATTTTTGTTTCAAAATAAAAAAAATCAGATTTTCAGTATTATCTCTCCATGTGACTAGTTTGAATTTGTACATTTAACTTCATATGATTCTCATGGATTAAACTTGTGTCTAAAGATTATTCGATTTAGCTGTCAAAATGTTTTTACTCTGTCCAGAAATGTGTGGCAGGGTTTGATGTTTTATATATTTATATATATTTATCTGACTTGCATTAAAATTATTTGTTTGAAGTGATGCATATATGTTTTTATGTATACCTATGATGGATTTCATGGGAGTAATAACACAGAGCAGTGATTGCTGGGTGTGTCATCCTGTGAAGAGCCATACAGAGAGGAATAAGGGTAAAGTGTCTTGTCAAAAACACAACTACATCAACAAAGACCGGTCTGTTTCCAAGATTCCTGAGGAACAAACTGTCCTGGGTAGTTGACCTGGCACCATTCCTCTCCACCTTCACCCTAGATTACTGGTGTCAACATTGTGGCTGAGCTTGCCCACTATCAAAGAGCAATATTTTGTCCAAGATTTGGATTAATGATGGGATCTGACCAGATGTAAATTACAGGATAATTGAGTTTATTTTGGAAATTACAGCCTTGGAACAGTGACTACATTTAGATACCAACAGAAAAGGAAGCTTCACAGGATCACATTAAACATCATTCATTTCAGCAAAGAGCAAAAAGTACAGATTTGATAAATATACTGATAAAATCAACAACACAGAAATAGATATTAAAAGATATTTTATTCCTCAAGAAGACCACAGCAGTTCTCTCGATAAAGAACAGAATGACCTACAAGTATTTCTCATCGTTTTTTCCCTTAGCACAAATAATTGAGGCAAAAAAATATGACTGTACATGAAAATGAATTAAATAACAAATCTTACTAGAGACTCTGATTTCGACAATCTTAAATTTCCATCAAGATAATCAACGACAATTGGCTCCTCTTACATCCACACTCAGTCATACTCAAATCATGATAACAATAATTAGTTTGATCAATTACATCAGCATACATGCAAACCTTGTTCCCATAGCTGAAAATATTCGCCGACTTTCAATAGTTGCAAAATAGTTTCTCTTATTTTTTGTTTATTAACACCAGTTTACAAACAATAATTGATCAATGCTACGACGAAATGTGATGCAAATTATTAAGATCTGTCATCAAATTTTACCTACACATCTGAAGAAGTAATATTGACACAGATGTTTATCTGTAATCTCACAATAACCTTTAAGTGAATCTATGGTGACAATACTGATATTCCATTAAAAAAACCTTTATCCAGGTTTACAAAAGTAATGCGGAACCATTTAATGATTCAGCAAAGTATATTGTCCCAATTGCAGACAACTTATTGCCCTATCTTTGAATTTTTTGTGCTAGAGTGGAAAAGAGGTAACTCTCATCGGTATACTGCAATACCCTGGAGGCAAATTACAGAGAAGCAGTGGAATATGTGTCTGAAAGAAGAAAAATTAATTCTTTGAACTTCTTACAGATTCTCATAAAGAAAAGGTACCTCACTGCAGCAAGATGGTAAAGCTGAAATGACAATCTCCAAAGCTGAAGTAAAAGGATTTGGTATTTGTCACTTCCTGATGCTTACTACCAGCTTAAATCTCCATTTACAGCATCTTTTCCTAAAACTCGGGCACATAGGAAGAAATTGTGATAATGATGAGATCGTTAAACACAGGACAGTAGTTGGATGTTTGCCACCATGTTTACTTGATATCTACTTGGTGAAATGGTTTGAGATCAATCCTGCATGAAGATGTGAAATATAATTATGCTTTCTTCCACCCATTTCTAATAAACAAGCCAAATTGTGTGACTAATTTTATCTTCCATGTTATCATAGGTTTTCCTGTTAACATCCCCATTTATGAAAGACAATCGATAAGTTTCCTACAATAAAACTTTTCTTAGAAAGGAGATTTCACATAGGTTTCTTATTTCCTAAAAAACACCAAAAAAACAGACTTTTGATGGCAATGATGACCTGTCTATATATTAAAAAGTACAAAACACATAGCAATGACTAAAGGTTCTATAGAGTGATTAATCCAAAATTAAAATACACCAGTAACTACAGTTAAAATCATTCATCCAACCTCATGTTGACAAAGATATGTTTGTACATGTATACATATTGTAATTTTGAGTTGGTCAATCCATACCTGTGTAATGAGAGCTGCTCTCGCCTAACTCACAGACAGGAATTAGAATCAGTTATACACCATTTCATCATCATCATCAAGTTTCTTGTACTAACAGCATTTTAAATTTTGGGCAAAAAATGTTAAAAGATGAGTCCAATTGAAGAGAATATTTACATGTTGCAGTGCTATGTAAACAAGTCACTAAACTTCCTCACAACTGCCATTTCATATGACCATACAATTACTGTGTACAGGAAAACATTCACCCAGGGTTATTTTTGCCCCCCTCCCAAAATAGCATATATATTTCAGCCTTAATGTAAAATTTATTCACAGTTTTATTTTCATCCTCTTTACAAAAGGAAGACATGAGCTAAACCTCAACTGTAGCGAATGTTTCCCCAAATACAGTATTAATACATAGTAACTCAAAATATGTGTACGATATCCAGGTACACATGCAAATTATCACTTAAAGGTATTTTCACTAAACAAAAAAATTATAGGTCAACAGAAGCTTTGATGGGATATTTTCACTCTTATGTACATCAAATTAAAAATTGTACAGAAATTCTTGTCTACATTTTTTTAACCTTCAGGTGTCCATCAGGACTGGCATTTTCAAAACGCAGACAGGTCACTGAAAGACATGCACTTAGTTTTTACTTGCAGCTTTTCATTGGCACATGTAATGAAAACAGTAACCACCATCGTTGTTCCATCAGTTACTGCTGGTAAAGGTTTCTGTTCCCGTGTCATTCTCTCATCCTGATTGAGACAGGTCAACAATTCCAATGTCCCATCCAAAATTTCCTTACACAGTTTGATGATTTGTGGTTAGTAAATAAAACATTTGTTCTGCTGAGTATATGACAAATTCTGATGTAGTCTTGGTGCACAAGATAGTGTTCACCTATATCAAATACCACTTTGGACTAGCTTTTTCTCGAATCAGCCTGAACAACAGACACCTTGAACTTGTGTTGGACCAAAGAAACACGCTGTGAGACGATCATCAAGGGAAAAAAAAGAAAGTGGCAAGTACACACAAGTACACACAATCCTGGCCTCATGACAGTTCTGAAATTTTCGATGAGACGTTGCGTCATGATACAGTTTCCCTCCAACGTAACATTGTGGAAATTTTGTAATCACTTTTTGTGGGATTTTTTTCTCTCCTTTTCACACAATATAATTTCCTGGACTTGATGTACATCTACGTAAACACGAGTATATATATATATTATGTACAATATACAAGGAATCATTACTTGTGACATACATTACCAAATTAAAACAATGAAAAAAAAAAATCAGCAAATGCTGCATTTGTTGATGTATATTTGGAACAAACCCTATACGTTCTGTAACCTGTATCATCCAGTTTAACTACAGTGTGACGGTGACCACAGATGTATTACTGGACATTTATAGGGTATCAAGGGTGACAGGCTATGTTAGACCAGATTGTTGATGCCACTTTCATCAGTATCAACCATGTGAAATGATATGCTATATAATAATCATCAGTTACACATCAGTGATTCACTCTCAACAAGCATTGACTGCCACATGTTCCCAATAAAACAATATCATATATTTTCCTGTTTAAGATGATACAAATGAAATATACAATGATTTCATTCTAAAGAGGAATATATAATTACAACATGTTGTGTAAGTCAAATAATGAAATTTGTACAAGATGGATGCCTGGTTACAAAGGGGTAGGTTTTCGGCACAGGAAAGCCTTTTGAAGATGCCAGTGACCTACACACACAACACGATTCCCAAACCAGGGACTTGCCGCAATCCGGACAAAGGGAGGCTATCTTGGGTATGCCAGATTAAAGGGGAGGGAACTGTCACACAGACAATGCTTATCTGGTGAAAATGGCACCAAAACAAGTAAGATCATTTCCAATTTATTCATATCAGTGCACATGTTGTTTGAAGTTGTCAAGGAAATATCATGATACTGGATTTTGCACAAATTATGGAATATGGAATGCCAGCTTTTACAATTATTAAAAAACTACACTGTACAGAATTGTACATGTTTCATGTACTGCTTGTGTACACACCCAGGACCATGTCTTATGACTATATAAGAATAGCACTTAACCAATCCCTATTTGTCATTACCACAGAACTGTGTGACCTGTGCCCCTGTTATTGGCCAGTAAACCAGCCATTACGAAAACTCTTCCATGTCAGTCAAGCAGATCAGATAATACTTATAGATTTTCATCTGTCCTATTTTCACTCCATACCAGTCATCATCTTGTTCTCTCTCTCTCTCTCTATCCATGCACACTTGGAAATCTGTTGAAACAGAACTTTACTTTGAACAGATGAAAATCTATGAGAATTCCTGCATTTGACAGACAACTGAACAATCAAACTGTTAGTCCACCCTTTTTTCAGCTTTTTGGTTCATCATAAAACAGATAAAAAAAAATGCTAATAACAAAAGATCCACTAAACAAATAACACCTATATATGTGCTATAAACAAAGGAACACCCCCCCCCCCTTCCCAGCCTTTCAATCAAATTTTTTCCTAGTTGATTAACCAAAATACAAAATCCGTGGAACCCAACCTGCAATATTTAAGTCTCACATCCTGGTGTAATATAAAGCCTCCTATTGAAAAAATCTGAGTCAGAGGAAAGTCTGATGGGTATATGGGTAGTGAACCACCAAACAATGACTACATCTTAAGTCTACTGTATTTACCCAAACACCATCACGAAGTCTATAGCTATCAGATTTAAATTTACCAGGGTATAAATGACAAAGCTCTTCTTGCAATGCCTTACATTATTACTGAGTAATCAGTTTAACAAAGAGTTACATTCTGATGAAAGTCCTTGCTCCTTGTTGAAAACCATGAGGTTTTCCAACCTAATCCCATTGAATATATAGTCACTGACTCAAAAGATTAGAACAAATGATTTAAGCCTCTGGTTTCCAGAAGCAATGCATGGCAGTATCCATTCACAGTATTGAAATCACAGAAGTCTGCCCTATACAATCAAGTAGCAGTTTGTGTACAATATATACCTTTTTATATTGATAACAGCTATCTTTATTCTAAACTTCCAAACTTTCATAAAAGTGCTCATGAATCAACTTTTCAATACTAAACAGACTAAAATTGGTAAAGAAGAAATTTCATAATCAGCAACTATAGTATTAAAGAACTCAAACAGAGAGCTATGATTATGTCTTAATTGTCATGCAAATTTAAAATTTCTTCATCAATTTTACTAACTCATCAGCTTAATAACCTAATCAATTATCCACATTAATTAAAATCATTCACATAACAAATTAAACGAAGTAAAGGTGAAGAAAACTGGCATTAAAACTGATTATCAACGTTCAAGAAAGACTGATTTAGGTATGCCAGTTGTACTCGCGGTGTGACGGAGCGCACTGAGGGACCTAGGTCAAACGTTGCAATGTCATCTTCCTGAGGGAAATTCAATGGCACAGTATCAAGGCCATGGTCCTGGGCCGCATGTCATTTCCGCCTTTTTTCTTTCCGACGTTTTTTCGAACGGGTGAAACAGCAACATCTGCGACAGAAAAGCAGGAGATTGCAGCCATTGTTTTCCTTCCTTAACTGTAGCGAAAACTTTGAGGGCCTAGCTCTGTCCAACTCTAACCAGCTGTGGTGTGTAACATAATGGATAAAAGCACAAATTCAAAACCCCTAGGCATGGTTTGAATTACAGTTTAGTCATGTCCCTACGTCGAGTTTCAGCATAGCGAAAATGTTCCAAAAGCGAAAAGAAACTTGTTTTGGTTGCATACATAAAATTTAAGGAAGGCTCAACTTGTAAACAGAGAGTGGCTTCCTTAGGGCCGTATGTATGTGTGAAAAAGTGGGTCTTTTTGGTACGTTATGCATCAAGTCTATGATCGACGCGTCTTCTTTTTCTTGCGCCTTTTGAAGAAACAGCATCTGCAAGCAACAAAGTGGGAAGCTGTGCTAGCAGAATTGATAAAATGTATAGATAGAAACAAATAAAATTCAGAGAAACCAAGACACCAAACCAAATACATGTTTTACTGAAAATGGACAATTCTACAGATACTTCAGGCAGAGGTGTATGTACTTTTCCTTATTTGTTTTCCTGCAAATGTTTTAACCTTCTATAATTGTCATACACATCACTCTACAAAATGTACTGAAAACATCACAGAAGTTGTCAACAAATTCATCCTATGATTATCAATATAGTGGACCTGTGATAATCTGGATACAACTAGTCCTGAAAGCTTACAATCTGGCTGGAAATATTGGAGAACAGATTTCCCTAATGTTACTTGTACTCACCAGTCAAGAAATTCAAATTCTGGTTCAAGAAATACTATCTGGGAATGGAATGGACTTTTCATTTAAATATTCCAGTGTTTTTGTAACCATGTGCAATCACCTGTGCCACAGGTGAGCAACACACTGCTAACCATTTTGTAGTCATGGTGATTGCAGCCAGATCATTGCCTGAGGTGTTCACTCATTGAACTCCTGTCAGTTTACAAAATACTTCTACACTGGACAAAAATGAATTATTTGTAAAGAAAATACCAAACAGAAAAGAAAAGTCTTGGTCTGGTCTTGTTTTCAAACTAATTAATTCTAAATTTGTCTATAAATATACCTGGCAACTTCAATACAGAGAGAAATGTTGTTCTATATTGTGCATGATTTTGAAAGTAGATTAAATCCAGGATATCATGAAAGATTAAATGTAAGTAACACTCGATATAAATCATAAAATGCAATGTAAAATTTAAGTAATAAAAATGGAGCTATCGTCCCTCGATCTTAACACCAATATTGCTGATGCGTTAAACAGTTTAATGACAGATAAAAAAAAAAATTCAGATTTTAAGTTAAAGTAATTAATTGCTTTAAAATCTGCTATCATGCATTAAATGTCTACTGGACGTTTGCATGGTTGCTTTCGCCGATTCACTTGATTAAAAAAATAGAATAATACCAGACTACAATAAAATCGTCTAATTCATCGGGAAATTATTAGCCGAAATGTGTCAAAATGCACGTCACTAAACTGTATAAACTGCCAACATCATCATACTGACAACTTTAAATTTATGTATTCAAGGGAGAAAACTTAGTTACACATAAGCTTGTTGCCAAAACCGGACAGTTCAGTAAAAAAGGAATCTGGGCTGGAACCAAGGTATCCAGATTATCAAGGGTCCACTATATTTAGTAGTACTTTTCAGAGACACTGTTCATGCATGAATTTGAATAAAACATTCTTATGATGCAGTTCATTGCATAACCCTACTAACGTCATTTGCAAAGCTGTTGAAAGCCAATAGTAATATTAGAAGACACCTACCAAACCTAAACATCTTTTGTTATAATTCACAACCAGATATACTGGTCAGGGTAGAAACTTTCAATAATCAAAATAAAAACATCTTAATAGCCTGTTGTAGCAGTCACTTTCTTGTGATTTTCAGGAATTCAACTTTAAAATGACTGCATAATATACAAATTTACTCCCACGAGAAAAATGGCAGCAACTTGTACATAGTATATTGCTGCATCCTTTGGTACATTTCAATGTTTAAGTTTTTCTACCAAATACACCATTTAAAGGAAATCATTTAGCTAGTTCATCTAATTAACATTCTAAAATGAAATATCGTTAAGTTCTTGTTTCGCTGATAGTATTTGGCTAAAGTGTGACTGCCCTTACGATATGATGTTACAATGACAATAACTGTGGATGAGGGGATTCATTATTACACTAATTTACCAAAAAGGGATAATCCATTTTAATTTTACTGCATCAAAATAAGTATGTTAACGATTTATACAAGCAAGATTTCCCAATGTACATTCACACAAAAAGGTTTGTCTAATATACATTATATAACATACAAGATTGCTCAATACTAGTAAGAGTGCCTGAGATATCAACATGTTTATTACTCATCTACAGTGGCAAGCCAGCTTGAGACAAACTGATTTATCAGATATCCTAAGACATAAACATCCATTCAGGAGTGATCAACACACCAACATATCCACCCACACATTTGGTGGTTTAACTCTATATATAGATCAGATCCTTACTTAGGGATATGTATAGCCAAATGATATTGCTTCTCTATCAAAGTCGTTATATAACATAAATCTTTAACTCATCAACATCAGTCACTAGCAATTAACAATGGGAAAATGAGACCAAATATCAAAATCAACTTACAAACGTACCCTGAAGATGGAACAAGAAGCCACTGTAAAATGTTTTTTGTTGCCTAGGCTAAATTTTCGTGATTTAAAGAAAAGAAGCCCTGTTTTGTGGACTCTTGATGTTGTGGATAAATAGAGCTGAACATATATAATTTAAAAATTTTGTGGACATATGAATACATGGATTAAGAGTACCAATGAAGTCAGTTAAAATTAATTCTCCATGAAAATTAAGGATTTTACTATATGAAAAATTGTTCACTTAAAACCCTACAGCAATATTAAACATTATTCTTTTTGTAAATCTTAAGACTACTTTTCTTTCAAATTTTTGGAAATGACAGTTTGTGCCAGTAGCATGTGATTACACAGACGCCTTACTATTTAATAAACAATCATACCCATGAATCAATGAATGGTCTACAGAGACAGATAAAATGTACTCGACATCTATCCTCGGATTTCTAAGAAATGCCTTGCAGATGTACATCTGGTAATAGGAGACACAATCATGTCCTGAAGTATTAGCCAGACAGTCCTATATTACGTCATAGTTCTCGAACAGCACTCCCAACACGATTGTGCTATGACTGATCACCATGTAACATAGCTATCTATTTCAAAATCAAATTTTCCTCATTTATCTACATTGTTGATAACAACTAAGTTATCCTTTAAAAACTTATTAGTTGCAATGATTAAATAAAATAACTGAAATAAAAAAACATGAACTGAACATGTGAAGTAATTAGTTATGAAAAACACTGCCAACATTAAAAGTCTGTCAAGGACATTTGAATGGCAGCTTTTAAAATATCACAAGTCAGCAGAACTACGTTAGCTAAAAGTAATTATGCAATTATTGCAATTTTCTTCCTAAATTTAGAAATTCACAATATTCAGCGATGGTATTAAAATTAAAGAATTGAAGTTTCGACAATTAGACATGAGATGGGAGAGAGTAACTGGAAATGGTTTTTTGCTGATTACTGAAGTATGATAGATTGTCAGTACATCAAATAGTCAGTGTTGATCAATACCTCCTACTGTATATTGACCCACTCTGGTCCCAGTGCACAAACTCGAGGTTAGATCAATACCTACGTTAATAAAGGCATAGCCAACCCAACACCATTCTATTACACTATAAACAACCAATTCAAAATAAATAAACCCCATCCTACCTTTATCATAACAGACTTAAATATTCAAAACTATTTTCATTTCCCCTAGGAGAATAGTAGATCAGTAAACCTATCAATGTTAACTTGATTCCAATGATATTTTCTAGTCCTTTCTTTCTCATCACTGTTGGGTCCTTGCCTCTCCATCTATTATCAGTATGACCCACTGCCTTTCTGTAAGCTGTTTAAAGCAGGCCTCTCTCACTCCTATCCACTGCACATTTCCTCCACTAGCCATTGTTTCTCTAGTAGGTTAAGTGGAGATCATTTAAAGCAAAATGTGTCTGGATCTCAATGTGGTTGGATTACAAAGTGTACCAAAGGAAGGAAACAGCACTAAAGAATTTTGACAGAATTAAGTACCCGATATCAAGGTCATATATGGTCATCTAAAGTGACCTTGAGAAATGGGTAAGAAACATGACCATATGCCAGTGGTCATTTTCATTGAGCTGTTGAACAGTACGGACTTTAGCAACTTTGAGATGAGTAACAAACTATGAAGAAAATGGTCAATCTAGGATCATCTATGGTCAGTAAAGATTTAGTCACTACAACTGCACAAAATTGGGGCTATTCTGACATCACCATGTAGGCTTTAACCATTTGATGAAGACCATAAGAATGTAGCCTTATTCCATGATGACCACTGGTCAGTTTAAGGAATACATACTTTGTCTCACTCTTCTCCTCGTCTCGGTGAGCAGAGGGGTTATTGATGGGCGTGTTGGACTGTCCTGCCGTTGGGTCATCTGGTGCCAACTCTCCATTTGTAGAACTGACCACCTGGAATAAAACGAAGGCCTTGTTAAGATGTATTAATATGGGGGAGACAAGTGGTAGTGCTGGATACTGTAAAGCTCAATTCCCAATCATGGAGAACGGATGGCTTCAACAGCACAATCCATCATGAACAGCCAATTGTCTGCAATCCTCGCGTAGACAGGAGGTGCATTAAGACAGTCTGTGTAAATTTCATTAATAATTTGGGCTTTGATTTTTAACTCTTTTTTTGATCGGAAATCATACAAGAAATTAAATGTAATTTTTTCAAAAACATGCATTTTTCTTCCCATCCCCCTTTTTTTAAAATTATAATAATTCATTTGCAATAATCTATTAGTTATCTATTTAAAAAGTTCCAAAACAAGTGTAAATGTCATTTACAGCAGACTGGAGCTTACAGATGTTTCACATATGTAAAGATAAAAGATTTCTATGAAAACACCTACAAGAGTATGATGGAATAAAATTCATGACACAGTTACAATGAAATACTCAAATTTATCTCTGTGCTTACAAAAATTTCTAATTGTCTACTGAACCAAAATAGTGGATAATTTTTCACAAACTCACAAACTAAGTTTTCATTAAAACAAAAAGACTGCATCTACTACAAGCGAAAGCACCATTCCTGTTCTGAACTAAACAGTTCCAATATGCTGTTTTGAGCAACTATTCAATTCTACCAGCGTGCTTCAAAGCTGTGTACTGATGTTGAGCAGAAAAAGAAAAGGAATTATTATTTCATATAAAAGTACTTTGAAAACCTTTCAACTCTTTTCATTAAAAAGCATTGCAGAATTTGGAAGAAAAATCGGAGTTGACTAGCTTAATATGTGGTTAAGTTTCTTGTGGTGACACAGAGATGGCCTACTGTGCAAATTTTACAAAATTCAATTGAGCTTTCTTTAAATGAAATTTGCACCATTTAGACCTGAACCTGCAAGAATCATCACAGATTCAATAACATTAAGTCTTTTTGACACAAGAGACTGAATTATTGCATAATGTCACAAGTTGTTGGCAGTTTTAATTTTTGAATATATATATAGTTACACGAGTACAAACATACACTGTCCAACAGCACCTACAGAAGAAATTGTAAATAAGCTAAGCTTTATCAATAATGAGTACATCATTGTTAATACACGCTACTCCTGTTACCTAGCATTCAAACATTAACACAAATCTAAAGCAGGATGTCTCAAGTGTTCAGTAAAATTTAATTTTACTTCCTGGTTTGTTGGCGACAACAGCTTATAACCATAAATGCAAAATAAACACAACATACTTAAATTGTGCAATATCATCAACCAGGATATGATCATGAAATGAATCCATACCTAGTTTGCCAAAACTAAATTACATTTGCAAAAGCATTTCTATTCCATTGAAGCCCTTCAGCGTTTGATGAGACAATAACATGTCATTCAACTAAGTGTGTGACCTTGATTATAATGGCTAGAAATAACTCCTGTATCAGGTATGCCTGTGTCCTTGTGCCTTTTCTTGCCATAGGGTTAATTTCTTCTCTTTTTTTTCAATTTTGATTACCCAAACTTAATATAGTTAATCAGCAGTGTACTCTCCTCGATACTAATATACTTTCTTTGCCCTGGAACTGTTTCAGTATGAAGCTACTGTTGACCATCAATTTGTTTAAAGCGACAATTTTTTACTGAATCAGGAAGAGGAAGTCAAAGGCTGAACATTTTTCATCCGTTGTATCAGACAGTCCTCTAATGACAATGTTTCTGATGTACATTTACACATACCCCTGTATTAACTGATAATGTAGCCCTAGGGCACCAAAGTATGGTGAAAGAAAGGGAAACAAATTGAAACAGACACTGTCAGCATATCAGAGAAACTAGGGTGAGTGAAGACTTACAAAGGAGTAAAGTTCTGTTTTAACCAATATCATGCATTCGTATCCCTACTTGCAACATCCATTACAACCACGGCTGAGATAAAGACTTCAGGGACAGCTTTTAAGTTTTTGTACCAGATTCAAATACAATGTTAAGAGTCATGAAACTTCAAATTACTCCTAACATTATCCTATCCACAGATGTCAAAGACTGTTTGTCAGGTAATGGTAAACTATCAGATATCACTAAATTTCAATGACCTCGCCATCCTGTTATATAAGATGCAGTATGGAAATGACAAGTGGAGTAACAGTCCCTGATAATAAGGCTTGTGCCCATAGTAAACTCAAACAGGCACTAAGATACACTGCAACTATTGTGAGTTACTTAAGTTACAGAGGAAATTCCTTGGGTAAGAAACTACACACTATCAAACCCGCTTTAAGTCAAAGAATTGCTAAATAGAGTGAAAAAGTAACAAAATTCAGTGAAATATTTTTGACACAAAAAACAAGGTTATTATTTGAACAGATACAAACCACAAAACATGAATGAAAACCACTAGAAGGGACCATAAAAACTAAAATGATATAAAAAAAAAATTCCCGGAAGTAGGGAGAACATATTCCAGGAAACTTATGACTGATATTTAGGGCTAAAATTACACTTCGCCATTCAACTAAATTAAGCACATACCAGAGTTATAGAACCAGGACAACTGCCTCATTATAAACCATTGTTTACTGATACAGAAGCCATCAAGAACATTTATCTCTAGCCTTTTATAGTCAAAGTCACATCTTTTCTTCAGACAAATACTGTGATAAACCTAACACCAAGGGCTTGTATGTAATTAACAGGTTCTCTCTCATCCATCTAAGTGTGAGACTTGGATGAGGGGAGAGAATTTCTTAGTACAAAAATGACAGTATAGCACAGTTGTCACCAGCAAACATTCTGTTCACATCTCCTGATGTCCAGTTTTATTATGAAGATAATTTTATCCATATATTTTAATTGCTTTCTATTAACACTTCACACAATTATCTTCTACAAATAATCAGATCATAATCACTTCTAAATGCAAATAATGATATCAGAAAAGCAAATGACAAATATACAACAAAAAAAAAGGAATTTATTAGATGATGGGGAAAAAAACCATAAAACAAATGAATTTGATTTGACTGAACAGGAAAAGAAGAACTAAGTGCAGTGCCGATAGAGAGAAGCATTGTTACAGCAGAGGAAGACTGTTACTCCAAGTCTGGAGCACACCATGCATCATGTTAAGTGTCAGTGAATCACCCTCCAATGCTTCCAAGCAATTGAACGTAGCATGGAAAATGTTGCAATGGTGAAATATGTTCTGGTATTAAAACATATACTTACTAGAAATAAAGACATTTATATATATGGACTCAAATTCAAACTTTGTAGTATACTACATGGACTAAATTATTAGAAAATAGAAGGCAGCCAAAGTACATAAAAGAAAAGGAAAAAAATAATAAGTTTACTTAATTAATACATATTTAATACTAAAGTTAAGACAAAAAGGAGTCAAGTTCATCCAGGAGAGGTAAGTGATAGGAGAGACAGGTTTTAACAGCAGGTAGCTGCATGGTCGGCTGTCAGTCAAAGCAACAGACAGACAGCCAGGCGGGTCCGAGAGCAGGAGGGGGTGTGGCCTACCTGAACTGATCCCCCATGTCTATCTGCGGCAAGGTTGGACCCCAGATAGTTACCGGCGTGCCGGGGGGCCTCACCCCATGCATGCCCCCTTTGATTTGAACTTGGCTGAAAAAAGGTAAATTAGTGATAGAAAGAACCAGAGAGTGTTATTGCGCGACATATGACACGGTAAGGTATAACAAAGAAAAGTTGGTCACAGAGTTTTTTTTTCCTTCAAAAACCCCTATCTGACCTAAGATATTTTCTACAGAGAAACCTCAACAACCCTGCTATTTAATTGGACACTGTAAATAGCCCTAAGATTCTGCTCCTCCCTGTAACAGACTTTTGGAGAAGATGATCTGAGTGTCATTACTAACATCAGATTAACTGTTATATTGACACAATGACTCAGCCTAAACACATGTACTGAAGGCTCTGAGAGCTGTTGGCTCAACAGTAGTAGAGTTTGCCTTCATTATCTCAAGGAAGATTTGTGCCATAACCTTGACATTCTCTAGATGTATTTTATTTTGAAGGAGGAAAACATTTATACATATTAAGAGATAGAGGAATGTCCAAATGCAGGGGTGTTAAGGTTTGGAGATATGAGTTGAGTTTGAAATCCAAATGATCAGCTGTTACCAGTTACACAATCAATACAAAAAACCGTTACACTCACCAATGCTTTGTATTGTAAGCCAGACTGCACATTTTTCTGTTCACCGGAAATAAAAATGTTATAGAAACATCAGTCATCACTAATAAACAATCGCTTGTATTAGAACACCACAAACCACTAGATTAAGCTTGATAAGAATCCAAAAACACATTATGAAAAGGAAATGATGGGAGAGTCTTGTTAACAACACAATAACCCTACATCCTCTGTTCATTTCCCCCTTCACCTAAATTAAAATCTCCCTTATTCCACTCGAAACAATACTTACTCCTAATAATTACCCATCTAAAAATACACACCCATATGAATATCCACTATAATCAATACCTACCTTCTAATCAATACCTTCACCTCTAATCAATATCTTCCCTCTAATCAATACCTACCCTCTAATCAATACCTTCCCTCTAAACAATACCTTCCCTCTAATCAATATCTTCCCTCTAATCAATACCTACCCTGTAAACAATACCTTCACCTCTAATCAATGCCTACCCTCTAATCAATATCTTCCCTCTAATCAATACCTTCCCTGTAAACAATACCTTCACCTCTAATCAATATCTTCCCTCTAATCAATACCTTCCCTCTAATCAATACCTTCCCTCTAATCAATACCTTCCCTCTAATCAATACCTTCCCAGGAAACAGTACCTTCCCTCTAATCAATACCTTCCCTCTAATCAATACCCTAAACATACCTTCCCTCTAATCAATATCTTCCCTCTAATCAATACCTTCCCTCTAATCAATACCTTCACCTCTAATCAATATCTTCCCTCTAATCAATACCTACCCTCTAATCAATACCTTCACCTCTAATCAATATCTTCCCTCTAATCAATACCTTCCCTCTAATCAATACCTTCCCTGTAAACAATACCTTCCCTCTAATCAATACCTTCCCTGTAAACAATACCTTCACCTCTAATCAATACCTTCCCTTTAATCAATATCTTCCCTTTAATCAATACCTTCCCTCTAATCAATACCTACCCTGCAAACAATACCTTCACCTCTAATCAATACCTACCCTCTAATCAATACCTTCCCTCTAATCAATACCTTCTTTCTAATCAATACCTTCCCTCTAATCAATATCTTCCCTCTAATCAATAGCTTCCTTCTAATCAATATCTTCCCTCTAATCAATACCTACCCTCTAATCAATACCTTCCCTCTAATCAATATCTTCCCTCTAATCAATATCTTCCCTCTAATCAATATCTTCCCTCTAATCAATATCTTCACTTCTAATCAATATCTTGCCTCTAGACAATACCTTCCCTCTAATCAATACCTTCTTTCTAATCAATACCTTCCCTCTAATCAATATCTTCCCTCTAATCAATACCTTCACCTCTAATCAATACCTTCCCTCTAATCAATACCTACCCTCTAATCAATATCTTCCCTCTAATCAATACCTTCCCTCTAATCAATACCTTCACCTCTAATCAATACCTACCCTCTAAACAATACCTTCACCTCTAATCAATACCTTCCCTCTAATCAATACCTTCCCTCTAATCAATACCTTCCCTCTAATCAATACCTACCCTCTAATCAATATCTTCCCTCTAATCAATACCTTCCCTCTAATCAATGCCTACCCTCTAATCAATACCTTCCCTCTAATCAATACCTTCCTTCTAATCAATATCTTGCCTCTAAACAATACCTTCACTCTAATCAATACCTACCCTCTAAACAATACCTTCACCTCTAAACAATATCTTCCCTCTAATCAATACCTTCCCTCTAATCAATACCTTCCCTCTAATCAATACCTACCCTCTAATCAATATCTTCCCTCTAATCAATACCTACCCTGTAAACAATACCTTCACCTCTAATCAATGCCTACCCTCTAATCAATATCTTCCCTCTAATCAATACCTTCCCTCTAATCAATACCTTCCCTATAATCAATACCTTCACCTCTAATCAATACCTTCCCTCTAATTAATACCCTACCCAATATCTTCCCTCTAATCAATAATCAATATACCCTCACCCTCTAATCAATACCTTCCCTCTAATCAATATCTTCCCTTTAATCAATACCTTCCCTCTAATCAATACCTACCTAAACAATACCTTCCCTCTAATCAATTCCCTCTAATCAATACCTCTAATCAATACCTAATCCCTCTAATCAATACCTTAATCCCTCTAATCAAATCTGTAAACAAATACCTTTAATCAATACCTACCCTCTAATCAATATCTTCCCTCTAATCAATACCTACCCTGTAAACAATACCTTCACCTCTAATCAATACCTACCCTCTAAACAATATCTTCCCTCTAAACAATACCTTCCCTCTAATCAATACCTTACCTCTAATCAATACCTTCCTTCTAATCAATACCTACCCTCTAATCAATATCTTGCCTCTAATCAATACCTACCCTCTAATCAATATCTTCCCTCTAATCAATACCTACCCTCTAATCAATACCTTCCCTCTAATCAATACCTACCCTCTTATCAATACCTTCCTTCTAATCAATATCTTCACTTCTAATCAATACCTACCCTGTAAACAATATCTTCCCTCTAATCAATACATTTACCATCTAAATACATTCATGTGCCAGTGTGTAAACAAATCCCTTAAAACCTATATTTCTGACTTAACCCTTCATCACCTTGTATCATCCCTTTATATACTAAGATCCCGTTTCTCCCTTTCTTATCCACTTTTATTTTTGTGAATGTCTTCCTCCCTAAACCCATTCACCATCAAAACCTTTAACAAAATCTGTGAAAACTGTCTACCTATTGACAACCATCCTCATCTGTAGTAATCGATAATGATCTATTTGAGCAAAAAAAAAATACAGTTGTGATTTAAAGAATAATATCCCCAAATCCAAGACATATACAGTAGGATGTTTGTTTGGGAATAGTGCACTTCACCAAAAATTAAAGTACTAGGTGTGAATTGGCAGTCATCAACGAAACCCTTCTCAACAATGAAGTATAGCAAAATTCTTTATCCCAAAATGATACAGAAAAGGAAAGGAAATGTGTCCTTGCCCCTATCATGGAATGTAAAGTCCCAAACACATATCCATGAAGTAGAATGAATGTACCCCTACATGGGTATTTGTTATTTTCAACATGAGGTAACTTGTTATTGTTAGGATGAATGATGAACATGCAGAGAAAATGCAATACACCTTTGTTAAAACTTTTAACATGATTAAAGCAAAAATCGATGAAAACCTTTTCCAAAACAGAGAGAGTGAGAAAACAACATCAATGTTCATGACATTATAAAAGGACACTGTTGGTCAGAGTGACACTAATTGACCTATCCTACCACAGATTTAAAAGTGTAATAATTCTGGAAACATTACAACATTCACAACAACATATACCAATTATTACTCCATTTTTTTTACTGAAATAAACAGTTTCTCTTGATCAGTAATGTTTGTTTTTATCATTCAATAATGTTTCTTTTGTAAAATTTGCCATAATGACATTTGATGAAATATATTTTAGTGTTTTTACAATTCTGATTTTTTCCCAATAAAATCAAAACAGTATTAAGAGCAGAACAAAAGTAGAGATTGATGGGGCCCTTAATGGGTCCCTTAATATTGAATTAATGTGTTCAGTATCTTATTGATTTCTGAAAGAAGAATTCACCAGTAATGGTACCAGTAATTGACAATAAAATACAGATACTATGAACCTGACCATATTACTTCAATGTCTTGCAGCAGAAATATACATCATGACAAATCAATATCAAAACCCACTGAATAATCCTGCAAGAATTTAGAGTTCATAGCATTAATCAAAATAATAACTTAGTCATTGGAAGTGCGTGTAATTTGGATGTGATGCCTACAATATGAACAGAGGTTTCTCTCTAAAGAAAGGAGAGCCCAAGACTTGTTAAGTAGAGAAACAATGATAATAATGAATGAAAAAGTAATAATCCTGACAAAGGATGAACAACAGATGTATGGTGCATGTACATGAATGATAGTTGTATTATAATGAAGCAATATATAATGAACATGCATGACAATGATAGTGTGATAGAGGGCGGGGGAGTGGTGGGGAGAGGAGGGGGCAAACAGTAACAGCATAGGGGTTGGTGTGACACAGACCAGCTGATTCATATACAGGTGTCTTGTGAGACTTGGGGTTGAATTAGTTGTGAACAGTCTATTATCAACATACAACTTTAAACTAGTATTGTATGATAGGTTTTTATAACACTATGATGTAAGTATATATTTTAAACTAGCATCAGCCTGGAATCTACCAAGAACAAACTAGCTGATGAACAAATTCATCATCAAAAAGTTTACAATATCATAACAGCACTAAATCAATATACTTAGATCTCATCAGGTTGACAATACAAAGCATTGCTGAACGTATTGATTTGTATAATTAATTTATCAAACAAAACCTTAGTTAGGATTATGAGGGTAAACTATTGTTATGGGTGACCATCTTGATAATAAACACTTGAAACAACAAAGTTCATCAAAATTTCATAAAGTATCAAGACTTCTTTTGCAAACAACGAAAACATGTAAACTAGTACAAATTTTAAATAAAAACAAAACACATTTTCCTGTTAGTTCATTCCTGAGTAATGCTACTAAGGAAAATCTGTGGTACGTTTAAAATAACTCAAGGCTATTGTCAACATAGAAAAAATTGCCTTTAGAAAATCTGTTACATTTGGACACCACATTTTCTCAACAAATAAACAGATGTCCATGGTAAGTAAAATGGAATATGTAATAACAATTTGACATTTTTTATCACAAAAAATAGAGACCAAAAATGATATTCCAGGACGTATATCTGTTTTCTGTAATCCCATTTTATCTTGTGCAAAAACATTATGTAACAACAAAATGTCCATACTACTAGCAAATGTCAATGATCAATACATTGATATGTCTGATGTATTCCTTTCAGCATATGATGAGGAAACAACATTATTTTTAAGTTGCACTGTGCTGGTCATTAATCTGTGTTGAGTCAATACCTAAACATAGCTAGAATGCCTACCGGAGAACACAGTCCTTCGTTAAATGTTACTATATACGATAGGCCATCGGACCATAATTCTCCAATTGTAGAGACAGACTTATGAATAATTTAAAGTACCACTATCTTTTAATTCTATATATATCTAAGGCTTGTTTTGAGCACAAAAAAGTAAATGAAGAAATCAGTTGGGGCAGATTGTCTCCCTATAGAGATAGGACTGTCATGTCAGTTATAAAGATGTCTAAATGGCATCACTCTCTCCACACCCTAACGCTATACCATATATCACACATACATATACCAACATCATGCCTATCCTAGATTTGTTATAAACAAAACTTGAATGCGTCACAAACTTTTATTGACAGTAAACAATGCTTTATTAGCTTTATTTTACGTTCTGTACATTCCCAGAATTACAGATCTGTCTTTATAAAGAAGTTTCAGTACTAGATGAAAATAATGTCACCTTCAACTTGAGACAGAATATCTTTGATAACTTTATCAGATATATTCTACTCAATGCCTAAAGAAGTATTCAAGCAGTATTGAAAACAATCAGGTGAAGTAAAGTGAGCATGTTTTTTTTAAACCTCCATTCAAAATTTATCAATCTGTTTTGTGATTTTTAATGCAAATTTTTAAACATTGTGTTTTTTATTTGTTTTACATAATTTTTTCGTGATTTATATACTTGTTATCTTTCAGTGATTTTCTTTTCACCCTGTTCTCTTCTCACTTAGGACGACCCAAACATAAAGGAATTATACAAGACAAAACTGACATCTAGACTAGTCGGATCTACACAGCATGCCTTGATTCTCTTACTACAGTACAGTGATATCCTTAAATCTACTAAACACATGGTCATCTCATGACAAGTACAATGACCCATTCTTGGAATAACTGTGTTACCATAGCGATAGATCTCATAGAAGTGTCTTTGTTTTCCAGTTTTGTCACAGAGATTATGACTTCAATAAAACTCTTTGGAGGCAGTGAACTCCTACTTAAAATATTTACACTATCAAATACTTAATGACTTCTTTATCTAGTCATTCAACTGGTTTTATTCCCTATGGCTAATCTGCAAAGTCAATGACCACATGTCTTGCTCAAAAGATGACCACATTTGCTGATAATAGAATTTCAATGATTAGTGAATAAATTGTCACATGCACAAGGGAGATAAGAACATGCAAAATTTATCAAAATTAATTTCTAATAATCAAAATCCTTGATATGTGTTCTTTCAAACACCTGAATGACATCCATGGAATTCCAACTGTTAAAGACAATAAAATTTCTTATTCTTTCCTTATAATTGAGGACCATTGTGAAGAGTTGAAGATTGCAGGAAATGGATTCAAAATACATAGGGTGTTTTCAGACAATTTTTAAGGAAAAACATATATGCAAGGCAACAATACAAAATAGCACATGCAAGCATGCACACATCTCCAAGTGCAACACATCATAGCCTTATATCTAAACATGTTACTACAGGATATCAAATCAACACAAGGGGATTTCATTACAACAAAAAAGTTGATCTGTTAGTAATCAAAAACATCATCAGATATCAAAGACTTATTGGTAATAAGGGAAAGAGAAAGGCAAAATGACATTTTCTAAATCTATAATAACCTATCAAGAAAATGCCTACATCACTGACATTTTTGAGGATAGCCGGTGAAATTCTACACAACATCTGACCTATATCAACTTTAAGTATCAGACATGTTATACAACAATTTACACTGGAAATTTTTTTGTTTATATCCACCTGTCATCACCTAAGGGATACAGAACTGTTGGCCTCAGATAAAATATATAGCTCTAGTGAGCTCTACTAACGTGTTGAAAGACACCATCAACACATTCTCTCTTTTTTAGATCTGTGTCGTAACATTTTACATCTCATAAAAAAAGGCCATTTTGGAGAAATTAAGAGGAAACCTTGAAAAAAACAGGCTTGATATTAACTTATACAATATTTATGAATGTTTATACATACTTCTATTATATGTATAAATGTTGGAAGAGTGAAGTGTGAAATGTGATGATATTTAGTTGTACACAGGAGAGCTGGAGGCAACATATCAGTAAATAGTCAGTACTGACTCAATCCATCTTAGTATATTAATATGTAATGTCGACAGATAACATAGAAGCATTGTTAGACAGATAGACAATGTCTGTTACACAGTTTTGTACCCAGACTGGTCATAATAGGCCTTCATTTTACCTAGTAGAGGATGGGCTTATTATTGGACAATGAATAACATCAATTAGTATTTTCAAAGACAGGTTGGAGCCAGATACAGGCTGTTAACCAGATACATACAGTTAGTTAACTGTACCAAACATGCTATGATGCTGATAATTTCTAAGGAAAAGTAATCCAAATATATTTAAATTTTAGGTATATCAAATACTGTTTTTATCCTACTCCTATGTATGGCATGAAATTTGATCAATATCACCCATCCACCACATAATTTATTGATACTGAAAATTCTATTTTATGTCTTCAAAATATAAAGTTTTGACATTAGAAATACAAGCAACAAGCTAAGACTTGGATACCAATATCAAACAGGAACAAATGTGCTGTCAATACTTAACCCAAGACCAGTCAGGGTAATCGGAAAACTTTCATAAAGCTCAGGTAAAAATGTACAACATTCACAAGGACAAAATCACATACAGTTAGAGATGAAATTTTACAATAGTTTTATGAAACAATTTGGTTTCAAAAACCTAACAGAAAGACAATAGCACTTTTACCATTCACACAGCAAGTAATTACAATATAATAATCAAGCAGGATTGGGTCATTATTTTCTTTCTTTCTTAAGACCACTGACAGTTTCTTGTTCAAAGAACTAGTCCTAGATCTCTGTGGTTAATGTTGAGTCTCCAGCATTAATGCCAAACAAGACTTAAATGTGTCTGCTAACATTTAACTACATGCTCTACCAGTCATCCCAAAACCATTTACAACTTAATAATGGCAATTAGTACTTATTCATCATATGCATTGTTATACAGACAGCAGCTAAGCATTTTATCAAGTGTAACATATGCCGAAATATAGAATACATACTGTTCCTGTTAAATGAAATTATAATGAAGTCATACTCGTACTTTATAAAGGGGAGATAACTCACCTTATTTGCTTGTGCATGATGCCTCTCACGGCCATTGTGATCTTCACTCTTTGGTGGATTGTCTTGAGCATTGATTGATGGCTGATGGAAGGGCAGAAACAGATTAGTGATGGGAATATGCCTCTGGAATATCTTACAAGGATAAACTATGAGGTGAGGACTTTCATAATACAGTGACATTCCACAGGAATGCTGATTAATAAAAAAAGAAAAACTACTGCTGATTAATAATAATAAAAAAGAGAATTTTACAAACAAGACCCAAGTGTTAAAATTCTTCTATCACCTTATGACCTTCAAAATATCCTTCCATGGAATAAGCATCTAAAAGGCAAACACTATCTGATACAGATGATCATAGAAGACAAAGTTTCTACTGTCAAATAATTACAAAATCCCGGAGTTATCTTTTCCTGAATTCAAATGTTTGGAATAAATATTATAAAAATGAAAAAAATCCTATGCATATCTACTTAATATGACATGTTGATTCATATCTTTACATTCTTGTTTTAGAAAATGTACTTACACATAAGATCATTAACCTCCCATAGCAAAATACTTATCAAGTCGAAAGATATAATGTTAAAGTACAAAGGAATGATTTCAAACAGGTCTCAATAATTAGCTGGAGAACCTGTTTCGCAGGCATGTTCTTTTAACAAAAACTCAGCACATCAGACATGATCAATCAAGTTGTGTGAATTCTGTTCAACAAAAAGCATAAGCATATAGCAAGAAGCTGAGAAGGGGAGACCGTTATAGAAGTGTGTCAATGAGATGCTTGCAAACATGAGAGGATGATATGGTGACCAGAGACTGGTTGTTTCATTCTTAGCTAATATAACACCCAACGATGAATATCAATAAACCTAAGTTGTCTAGAATTGAAACTGCCAAAAAGATGATCATCATGATGATTTTGACAGTTTCAATGAAATGTTGTTCTTTTCCATGTTTTAAAGGCAGACTGTAATATTTTAAAATAAGCTTGTTTGTAACCATGATCAAAAGTGTTAAAATGACAGAAGACAGCATCTAGTATAAATGTATGAAGAAATTATGTAAAAATATGCAAAAAATAAAATCAGTTTTAAGCTGTAAGAAATATTCAAATATTCAAATGTATGTGCTTAATTTTATTGGGGTGTTCAGCTAAGACCCAAGAAAACAACCAGATCCCTGGGATGGTAGATTCTCCTACCTGTCGACCCGTCCAGTCGAAATCCCAATCGCAGTCATAGCTCATACGTGCCATGAGGTCTGTGAATAATTTCCTAAGGTAATCATAGTCTGGAGTCTCAAAGAAATCCAGCCTCCTCACATACCTTAAATATGTTGATAGCTCATCTGAAATAATTCAGTAGGCATTCATCTTTATAAGGTATTTATCATATATGCCTTTCAGAAGTTATGTTACAAGTATCTTCATAAAAACTTTCATCAGAAACAGATTCTTAACATTTCTATCAACAGAATGTGAACATTTGCTGAAGAAAACAAATATTTGTTGCAAAGAACAAACATCTGATTTTGAATAAAAATGAAAATTTTCATTTTCTAGCCTTGCAAATAATTAATTTCCTTGGTGGAGAAGCCAGACGAAGGAAAAATAATCAAATATTAAAATTTTTTTATGACAACGAAGAGTTTTAAATTGAAAGATTTAATGAAAATGTAATTCTGATATTCCATGTGCATCCTTCCTGTTCCAAGTACATCCGAAAACACAGTTGCATATAAACAAAAAGTTCCACAAGTTTTCCTTGAAACACAAAACACATTATTACACACTTCCAAGGCTTAGAATTACCTGGGAAATTTTCACATAACACTTCAATAGGTGTGGCCCTCTTTGTATCACCAATCTTTTGATATCTTTCTTTGAGAGTGTCGGCTTTTAAGCCCTGCCAGGGCAAACTTCCTCGGAGAAAATACATAAACATGTGCCCAAGAGCTTCCAAGTCATCCCGTCTACTTTGTTCTGTAAAAATATCATGGAATATAAGTTATAAATAAAAAAATAGGATTTTAATTTCACAAACAACAGAGTGGTGAAATAATATTTTATGAGAGGTAATACTATAAAACTATTTTATTTCAAATCCCAGAAAAATACTTCTTGTTTGTAAATTGTGTTGACACATATTATACCGAGTGAAAAGAATGACTGTCTTCTTAAGATTAAGGCTTATACTCGATGATTCTTTCGCTAAATTGTTGGTTATTTCTAAGTAAACATTTTACACAATACTATGACTTTACATTAGAATTTTTTTCAGTTACGTGATTATGTACAGTAGTTATTCCTTGCATGTTCCTTTTAAAGTCAACTGGTAATTTCATTTACGGCAAGTTCGTCATATTGAAAATAATCAAATCAAAAGGGTGCGTGTGTACTGCGAGGAGAAAAGTATCAGAACAAAACTTATTGATTGTTGCAGCACTATTCTATTGACAACATAAACACTGATTGCTATATCATTTTGAATTTATTGTGTTACATATGTAGACATCATTTATGAAATGATCTTATACCAAAAGTTTCAATTCCAGTGATTCTTGAAATCATGGGATAACCTTTCTCTTACCTTTTCCTAAATGTGTGTTGATGCTCATATAACGGGCTGTTCCTGTGAGGCTCTTATGTTCCCTGTAGGGGATGTGCTTGTGAGTCTCGGGATCAATATATTCCTTTGCTAAACCAAAGTCTATAATGTTTATGATATGCTGTTTTTTTGTTGATTGCCTTCCTATAAGAAAGTTTTCTGGTTTAATGTCTCTGTAGATCAGATGCTTTGAGTGAACATATTCCATTCTTGTAATCTGAAAACAATGAAGAAACAATGATATAAAAAAAACTTAACTAAGTCTTTAAACTAGATTAAAGTAAGTTTTTAAGTTGTGTATATGAACCACATTCCATCCTTTCCTTTTGAAGGTACATGTTTGTCATTCTGATATAGTTATTAAAACCAGATGTATAAGAACATACATGCATTTTTTCTGTCAACTTCAAATGATATTTTCATATATCTATTCATTGAGCTCAATCAGTCCATGCCTTGTAAGTTCTATGATGCCAACTTAAATATCTTGCTTTTCATTGAATTACAGACAATTGCTTTGTAATCAACCAATCTCAAGCTTTGAATTGGAGATAAAATATTACCCCCCTTTGGCTTATTGTTAGATAAATATGGTACACACTTTTCCTTATATAACTAATTAAACCATTCTCTCTTTACATAACAAGGTGCACATGAATCAGTATAGCTATATCAACATCCTGCACCTTAATTAATTAATACTTCTATCCAACACACCGCTACAAATAATAAAAAAGTGTGGACACTGAAACAGCTTCAGACTTAAGGACAACTACACTAGTGATTAAGAGAACTTATCATAAAGGAAACTACTGACTTCTGCTACATATGCTTTGTTTTAGAAATAACTCAATTGTTTATCCAGAATACTTAATTTTGATATTTTCTTTTCCATCACCCTAAATAAAAACCAAATATATGTTAAGACACCAACGTTCATGACAGGTAGTTGATATCATGTTTGAAACATTAGTCTATAGTTTTTGTTTTTTTTTTCAATCCGCATATTGGACAAGAGGCTGCTTATGAAAATTGACCAATGGTTTCTGTCCATCACAAAAGTATCAGATACAAATGAAACTGTAGATACTATAGACTGACCTGGAATTACAGTCACAATTAGAAAGAACACAATACAATACTTCTCCTATATTTAGTAATGCTATTCAGAACACCAACTATAAATATACTACAACATAAATGTGACAAACACCATTTTAGCATGTCCAATTAAATCCTATTACAGTTCTGGCCTTGAATTCTATGGCCTAACAACTATCATTCTGGCCTTAACAACTGTACCTATTTAAACATTATATAGTGAGTCATCTCACAAAGGTGTCTTTCCTTTAAAAATATTCAACTTAGGTTGTCAATGTCTGTTGTTGTCTAAAATTAAAAACTTTGGTGGTAAATGTCTAAGGTTTTTTTTATACAAACAAAATGAGCCATCATTTTAACACAACTAAATGTTCCGTTGATTATCAATGCTAAATTAAGGTTTAAATCCAAGGTCATCCAGAGAGAACTTCACTACTCTACAACTGAAAGTAATAATACACTTATCCTGAAATGATCACGGGGGACCAACAAAAATCTTCTGACTCAATTCAAGAGGTGAATTTTAAAGAGGACCGTGAGAAAATATTTGTTTATTCTCCTACCAACCAACAATGAATACAGGTGGGCTTACTGTCATATCAGGGTTTATTGACAAATAAATATGCAAATCAAGTAAATACATCAATATTGAAATTTCTGACGAAAATAACATCAAGGAGGGCATAAACATCAAAAGATGACTTTTTAATCTACTTCTCCATATATGGAAAGACATAGAAACCTTAATGAGTTGTGGCATAGCTAATGTCATTCTAGTATTTTTTTCAAACAGATTATATCTGAACTTGAAATTAAAAGTACTTTTTACAAGAACATATATTGAACTTGTCAATGAAGTACTTGAATATTGTGTTAGATCTTGAACATTAACAGCTTTAATACATGTAATCTATTTCTTTAGTATGTGTTATTGATGCTAGAAATATGACCTTTTGATTAATCCAAAATATTTCTTTTTCTTCAATGTTTGGACGTTCCATAAAACAGGGCAGATTTTTTTGGTAAGAAATAAAACATGACATTAAACTTAACCAAATACAGATTCCTATTATTGTTTATACTTACAAGTTGCACTGCTATCATAAGTACAGTTTTCAGAGAAAATTTCCTATCACAAAGGTCAAACAGATCCTCAAGACTTGGTCCAAGTAGCTCCAGCACCAGTGCGTTGTATTTCCCACATGGTCCAAAGTAGTAAACATTTGGCACACCCTCTGAAAAACCCAGTTGTAATATTTGTACAATGTAAAAAAGAACCAGAATTGGTACAACATCAAACTACATCAACAGTATGAAGATATCATTTAAACTTTGAATGGTCTGCACTATTGCAATTTGATGGGAAATTCATCATATCTAAAAATTTATTATAAATACACCTGAAACTGTCCACTTCTAAAATTTCATATGTATACAAAAGTCCCAAACTATGGAAACAATAAGGTTTGACCAAAAATACAAAATCCCACAGAAAGTTGTCGAATAATCTCTGTAAAATAAAAGTACAATAAACTGAACATCAGTCAAAGATACATTAGGTGATATGCTGTACAAAAAACATTTGATGACTCATCTTGTTCAAGCCCATGATGAGACAATCACATGAGACTAAAAGCGATTACAGCTCTAATCAAAATCCTACTCTCTAACATTTTTATTGAGTACACATTGTAATCATTACAGAAAAGGTTCACTCATTTTTTGTTTCTATTGTCTACCGAGACCTCTGCTCATTAACCAATTACACTTGCCCCTCACCACGGGACTAGTAAATTTGATGTAAAGGGTAATGAAAATTTTCAATAATTGCTATGAAATCTTGGTGGTTGGACTAGAAACTTTTTTCTAGATCTTCCTCAAGGAGAGAACTTCATGTATCATAATATGTTTCATTTTATCATTTCACAATTTTTTTTCAAGAAGGAGAAATAGGGTTTTCAAAACTTTGATACATGTACATAATCATTTCCTCAGTTCAAAATTGTAGATATTCCCTATAACAGTATAATACATCCAAGACAATTCTATCCTATATGAAGCTAGCATTATAGTTCTATTAAACAGCTTGAGCACTGCATAGGGAAAATTATACACTAGTTCTCCTGATTTGCTAGCACAGAAATCAAATCAAAGTAATGGCTTAACAATGTCCATTAAAATTTTTTTCAGCCTGTTTTATTTGTTTAAATCCAGAGACAGCATAGAGATCAAAAAACAAATAAAAGGTTTTATCAAAGTTGATCAGAAACTAGCTATGAAGGAAAATGCTTTAATAATGAGTGCAATTTAGTATTTAAACAACAAAGGTAGACTTCAGACATTTTGAACAAATGACAATAATTTTTCCAGTTGTACAAATCTTTCTGGTTCTTTTGTCTACTGATACACAAATTTGAATTTCTTCTAACTAACCATAACACAAGTATGAAATTCTTTTCAACACTGCCTTCCGGAATGTGTAATACACAATGATAACATTTAATACCACAGAACTGATTGTCCTAAGTATCCTACCACTAGTATAGAGAAGTTCAGTATATATGTATACACAAGATAGACAGGCCTTGATGACAAATATTTCCACTTAACAAACTATTACATTCATACACTACTAATGGCTGATAAAACAAAAACTGCTTGTGTGAAATACAATAACTAATACCATCCTTTTCAATTTCTGTGACTCAGAAGGCTATAGGGATAGCTTAAATGAAAAATCTGACAATCAAAAAGAATATTCCTGAAGTGACATAAGTATTTACTATTAAAGTAAATGGCAATGAGCCGATTTTCTATCTTTATCTGGAAGTAGTGATAGCATTAAGATTTTTCTGCAGTGTTAAAAAAGCTAGATGTATCAGTGCAACAAGAATATTTCTACCAATAACCATTTACCATGGAAATTCTTTCTGAATTAAATTTCAAGTGTCTGAACTGTGAAGTTGATTGGATCCAACTTATGGGCTAAATGACTAAAAGTAGAATTTTTCATTCTTTCCTAAGTGAAAGCATGATAATGGCGTCAAAGTTAGAAAAGAAGACCTTGTATTGATATTCAAATATTTTAATGGAATGGTTATTGGCTGTTTTTCTGGGAAATTAAGCAGGATGTAATCTCTAGTGAGACTAACCTACAATGGGTCTGGCCTTTTGACACAAACTAGTAAAACATTAATGATTGAGGTAAGGGGCTGCACTAGCTCAGTCAGTTAAGGCAATGGCATATGTAACATTGGGTGAAGATCTGAGGTGTGTGGTTCAACGCTTCCTACCTGTGGTGGCTTGTGCTTCTCAGAAAGCTAAGAAACAAATAAGTCTATGCTGATGTGGTGGTGTCCTTGGTCAAGACACCTAACCCTAATCACTCTGGATGGCATGCAACAGGCCTCCTGCATGCTGTTCAGTGAGGTAGCCATCAGCCACCACAAACAAACCCCACCTCAAAATGAACCTTGTTGTTCATGAGGTAATAAACCCAACTAACAAAACTTACAAATGTTGGGGTAGAGGTGGGGGATTCAATATGGGTGGGACAGGCTAGTGATCAGGGTTGTAATATGCTGGTCTACCACAATACATACCTGCTTGGCCTAGCTGTTTGTAAAACCTATACTCTAGATGTAACTGTGGTGCTCGGGATTTCATAGGTTCCTGTAGAAAAAGAAAAAACTGTACTACAATGTGAATTAAAAACATTTCTTTATTACTACACTGTTCCCATTTGCTTGCCAGCTGAAATTGCAATTGCATTAAGACTGTGGTAATAATCAAAAGCACACCAACCCACATAATGTAAAATCTGCCCAAGGTAGGTCTGGAGGAAAATTGCAAGTATTGTTCAAGAAATCACCTCTTCGTTCTTGTATGAGAGCCAACTAACCTGGAAATCATAAATACCTCACATTTTTGTCATCATTTGAAATGTTTGAATGTGTTAATACATTGAGCTGGAAACCAAACTACACTTCCTTATTTTAGTCTGTACTTAACGAGTTTGGCAAAACAACTGAAAATTTCACTCTCTGAATTAGAAAGACACTCACAAAACTTCAGGTATTTCTGTTGTAATGAAAAGAATAAAATAAAGGAAACTCTGAAACACAATATATAAAGAATGCAAGACTATAACAATCCTGTTCAGACTTTTCTGAGAGGCAAAGATTTGTTAGCAAATAATAAGGAATATTTCAACATACACTTTGTTTGAAGAATTTCATATTCTTCATCTTTAATCTTGTTACAATCACTCTTATATGCATGAATTATACAGTAGCAAAAATTCACAATGAATATACTTTTCTTCATTCCTTTTAAAGAACTTGTGGTTCCAATTAGATCATTCATATCAAATAAATAGAAATCTTAGCACAAAAAATATACATACTGAAAGTATTGCTGATAATTTCTCTCATTATGAAATCTTATGAGCTATTGGTCAAACATTCTTAACACATCACTCCAACAAATCTGTTTATACTTTTTCTAGTTATACAGTATGTCTATTGTAAATACTAAATGTATATAAATACATACTCAGCTTTCAGGCTGGGATAACGTATTTGTTAAACTCAGCTTTAACCAGGATAAGTATTTTCTATACAATAAGTGATGAATCATTGATTATAATACTCCCACATTGCCTGTCACATTCTGTAGCAGACTATCCCAACCAAATCACCAGACATACCAATTCTAATAACAATACTTTCATTACACATAGCCTGTTCTATGTACCATCCTCAATAGTCCTCCTGCAAAAATACCATCCCTATTCTCACACCATCTCAAGTTCTGTTTACCTTAGCATCTCTGATAAAAACACCAGTAAAACAAATGATGTTAATGTATATGAACACATCAAATCAGTAACCATATCCTCCCTATGAAAATCAGACATAATCACAAAGCCTACACAAACTATAGTTGATCTCCCTTTTTTTGTCAGACAAGATTTCAAGCTTTTGAAACAACAATCTTAAATGGTAGATATGAGATAAGACATCTAAGATGACAAAAGTGTAATCAGCATATATGTTTACTTAAGAATAAGGCATGAATATTTAGGTATGATAAGCAACAGAAACCCTAGAATGATCTAACTGAGATGTTTTGACACTTCCAATAGGAAATGACTAATATGACTTGTATATGACAAGAGAAATTTAACAAAATCAATGCAAGTTTATTGTGTGATTATACAATAAAAATCATTCCAAGGACATAAGGTGTTAGCTTTATGGCAAAATCATTGGTGCAGCCATTCATGTTGAGATAACGCCAAGTGGACTACCCAAACTAAAGCAACAATTCAAACGGGTAGTAAGTTGACCTTGCACCAATAAACCACAGCTTGATGAGACTTGAGAGAAGTTTCTTTAGTCCCATGACTACGTTTATTTGACACCCACAGAATTAGCCTCAGCGAGACTGGTGAGATGGCTCCTACAGACTCTGTCTGGATCAATACAAACAGGACAGAACTATAACAGATCTGTTTTTCAATGGATTGTCATAAGTCATGGTATTTTGTTTCTATCCACATCAACTCAGATTCAATCATACTAAATAAACCTTTCATAATACTCTAAGAGATATGCTCTCTGCATAATCATCGGTGGTGCACTCTCCACTCGGTAGGCATATTTCTTAAAAATAAAAGTAATGGTGGAAATTTATTTGTGAAGCTGAATTCAAAATATTGTTTTTAAACAACATAAGTTGAACATTTTGACCTATTTCTGTAAACTATTCATTGTCATCAATGTAAAATTCTACAATAGTCAAACCTTTCTTAAAGGTCATCTTTATAAAAATACAACCTGTATATAATGGTCACTTGTTTTGATCTCAGTGTAATACAATGCATAGTCATGGGACCTCTTTATACAGAAAACCTGTCAATAAAGGCCACGTTTCTGTGCTCCATTTGGTAGCTTTTATAAACAGGTTTTGCTTAATAACACACCACAATTTGAACCAAAGATCAGACATAGTTTAGTAAACAAAAAGTATCTTTGATTTAAAATGATGATAAAAACAGATGTTATTATCTAGGATATTTATTTAGTGCTAACAATGGAGATTTACAGTCATCTATACAATGAAGAAACCACTTTACATAGATTGATAAGTGGGTAGATTACGGTTATCACCGTTACAACACAGACCCACTATCAAATGTAGCTGCCTTTCCCCGCCAACAGACTGACACACTGTACAGAATTACTGAAGACCCTGTAGTGGTTAAAACACTATTGAGTTTGGAGAGAAAAGAAACTCTCACACACTTGTGTGACAGTTCCGCAAGTACTGGTGAGCACTTACACGTTCACTCCAGTGACAGGTCGTGAGGTGCACGAGTAAAAAGAAGCAGTACAAATTCTGGGATTGTACTACTTGTTGTTACTACAGCGGTTAGGGTAACATACTGGTGTACAACATGTCACACAGGGTTCCACTGATAACAAATATTTCCTAATAAACATTCATTAAGTCATTTCATCTCGATGAAGTGTGATATTTTCCTCTAGAAATCAGGAAAATCTTCAGATTATTTTATGGAAAATTAGAAATACTACCATATTTCATGACTTTTTGCTAGGATAGGCTGTTTTAAAAGAGGGTAGAAAGTGGAAATTGTGAATAAGGCATGAACATTCACTTCATACCAAAACTGGTGTCGTTGCCGGGCAAATTTCTATGAATAGTTACAGCTATATTAATCTTAGGGCACTGAAACATACTTATTCAAGGTATTCTCATAATGAAGTTAGAACACAATCCCTAAGAAATGAAGTATCTTCAATCAATGGTAACCTGAAACTTAACTCATAGAAGATATTTTCATACATAATCTTTGCATCCAGTTTGATCAAGATCAAATTCCTGAAGAAATGAAGAGACTAAGGTGATGCCACTGAATGAGTTGACCATTTTTTTTTTAAAAAGTAAGAATAGTGACCTTGGACTTGACCTTGGAACTATGAACGAGAACTCAGTTATACAGATAAACATAAAAAATGGCAAATCTTTATATCATATCACAATAATAATGCAGTTCCTGGACTGATGGCATTGAATGTGACCAGGTAGGGACAGACAGGTCTGTCTGCCCTACTTCGTACACATAAAATGATTGTACCTTAAAAAGAACGCTGACTGTATACAGTAAACTTCCCTCTAGTCCGAACAAAATCAAATGAATAATGTTGAACCATTTAAATCATGAAATTTTATACTTGTGAAAATAAGCACGAACTATCAGAGTCAACATTACCATAGATTTCAATGTTATTTAGATATAAAACATAAGAGCCCCAAAAATGCATGTCTGCTTGTGTATTGGCTGAAGTCAGCAGTAACATATCAGTATGCAGAGTGTGGAATGAGTTTAGGGCGACAGATCACCGATTATCAAAATCATCTCATTGGTGCTTCTGAAGCATATCTGTAAGTCTTACAACTGTTTATCTCACATAATAGATACAGATAGTCAAGGTGCAATTATTTCAACCAAAAAGGGATAGTGAAACACGGTTGCTCTTCCAAAAAACACATTCTGACCTCTATAGTCATTGCTTGTTATACAAATTAGGGCCTCAAGAGCTGTCAGCTGGCTCAAATATGACGCGACAACATAACAAGACATAACACTAAATCAAAGCTAATTAAGTGACATGTATGTGTGAACTGCTGGTATCAGTTATTTACAATGGTCATTTACTAGTGATGCGACGATTATCAGATACAATTAATTATTGGAACTGTTACATTTTCTTTTGTTTCAGCGAAAATAAAATTCATATGCATAATACAGATGCTTATTGTCAACAAATTCTTTCTTATTCAATTTCTAAGTAAATAAGATATTCAAAATTAAAGCAAATTTCCCATCACTATCAAATACAACCAGCTACCTACAGCATTCACTCCTGATTTCAATAGTGACCACATGGAGGGATTACTATGATGCCAACATCCCTATCAACAGTTAGGCAAACAATTCTAATTGTAAGTGAAACAAGAATACCGAAAGTCTGAAATATCACTAAACGGATCATTATTGTTTTTATTTTAAAAACGATGTGTTAGATTTACCCACTTATCAAACTTGACTGAAGGTTTATGGTATACAAAGTTAAACTTATAACTCATGGTGTCAGACCTCATATGATGCTTTATTTAGGATAAAGTGATCACATTGGTCTAAAGTTACAAGATCTTGCTATAAACTATATAAAGATAAGTTGATCATAACCAGTATTAAAATGCTTGTTGACTGAAATGTCCCTCTATATTACAGTCCTAAATCAAAGCTAGGAAAGTCAATAACTGCTTTACTTAATCATACTAAAAACCTCATCCAGGCATGTCTTAAAGCTTGCGAATATGTCAGCGTATAATGAAATATTCATTTTATCTACATATAACATCAATGATATACGGATGATCTGCACTGCCTGCAGGTCTGCATGCACATCTGTGCTTGCTTAATTTGTACAAAACAAATTGGCTAAGGTTTGGTCTAGGAAATGTACAACATACCCATGCTACTGGTGGTTACAGCATATTAACCCAATCTATTTACCCAGCGTGATTGACATTTATGCAACTTATACCCTTCTCTATATTATCAGAGGTATACCATGCATTGGCCAAGGAGGAGTGACCCGACCTGAGCTACTGGCAGCAGTTCTCTATTGCACAAAGCCCTGTTACCAGCCTAAATACAGCTCCCTCAGGAGTCATAGCCAGATAAGCCATCAGGAATATGACTACTGTTAGTTCTGGTTGTGGGACTCGTTGGTGGTGAGATACAGCATGTGGAACAGCTGCAGTCAAGTTACTGTTTCATAATGTCTCACAACACAGGTTCATTTTGAGAAAACAGACCTAGAGCTATGAGTCATTGTTTTAAGAAGAAACATATTTATGCTAATTATCCTGAGAATAATTTCAAAAATACACAGAAAAATAAAGCAATTTAAAAGAACATACCAATATGACTATGACTGTTACTAACAAGAAGCCCACAGAACTTCTCTTTTCTATGTGATATTACAAATTTTTCTATTATTGGCTTTGTCTCATGAATTTTTTTGACAGGGAGTGACATCATTCTTTTATAACAAACTGGGTCTTCTCCAACCAGGGTTATAGTGGCTTTATCTGTATGAAACTAGGTATTATAGGATTCAACCCAATTTTCGACCCTTGAGCTACAATGTCCCCTACTTCTATTGAATAAACTCTTCCATTTATGATAAAACATGAGTTACCTTCATCCATAGTGGCTAAAGATAAAATTGTACATTACAACATAAATAGAACTCACTTTGTATATTGAATACTTGACTAAGTAGACTTCTTCATACTGTAAATAATCTATATGTTACAGCAGATAGTATCTTTACAACATGAGAGAAAATAACTGGTAACTGAGGAAAAAAATTGTGCATTCGCTACTAAATATTATCTCAGTTACAAAATACTTCAATGTCGTCAACCCCAGATATTGTTGCTAAATTGTACAATATCGCTATACAATAAAGGTACTATACAACAATTTTTTCTGCTTTACATATTGGTATCAAAATCATTTCTCTTTATGATCACAATTCAGTTGAATCTAAAATTGTATTTTCTATTTTTCATTACTTGCTTCTAAATAACTAATATAATTTCTTCTATCATACGAAACTCTCTTTAAAATGACATGTTACGTTGTGGAGTTTGTACTTAACCACCTTAGACTAATGAACTGTATTAATTGCCTTATCTATGCAGCAGGTGGTATTGTTTTCATGACATGAACTTTTTCTCTCATCAACAAATTCCACTTTATATCACCAAGGACTGCCAGTTAGTTTTTCACTGTTTATAGGTAAATATAGATATAAGCTTTAGACTTACTCAGAGTATACACAGATTTATGTCACATGTCTGCATGCAATCAATATCTAAAAGTGTTATCTAAAACCACAGACTTTTCAACAACTATTGATTTCCTCTTTGACAAACAATCGTCTTCTGGTGCCTTGTTTTTGTTCCTTTTATCATTTTCTGCTTTGATGACCAAAAAAAAGAAAGAGTTATAGATCGTAAAACAAAATAACTTTTGATCAATTTACAAACTAACATCTTATGTTTTGTATTCAACTTACTACAAGATTTTTTTTTGTTTTAAAGTCAAAGAAATGTGATGTCTTATTTTTCCCTTATATGGTTGTATAGTGATTATGACCAATATATGCTTCTATTGCCAGAGATTCTGTCATGACAGAGCTAAAAATCAATAACTGAATACTAGCTAACTACAGCATACCTCTGCCACCGCTCAATGTATACAAAGATATATACCCTGTACGCTAGCCCCCTACCTGTTGTTATACACAAATCAATGAAGGTTCCAGTCTATCCAATACAAACTCCATGTTAAAGATTCATTATAAGATGTAACACAAAACAAATCCGTCCAATTTTACCAGATAATGTAATATTGGTATATCCCCAACCCATGATATAACAATGTTATTAATTGACTTTCCCCTAATGATGTGTGATGATGACAAATCTATGTGATGTCTTCAAAAACAAATGAAACACAAATTCTAGTTTTTTTCACTCCAATTTTGCATTTAACAAGTTTTCAGAACATCTAACCCAAAAAGGAAGCTTATTTTTTATCATATTATAAATTCCTTCGTAAGAACTTAGCTTTCCATACTCCGTATCAACAATTCATGCCAAATATTGACTGAAGATTGTTTCCTATGCATTTTTAACTGCGATAAAATGGTGTCACTAACTGTCTAGCTGGCTACAGACACAACTCAGCCATGTTGACAACAGTAGCTTCACAGTATGACCTACTCAAACTAAGATAGAGGTGAACCATTACAGAAAAGACATTCCAATGTATTTTCGTTTATTCTAAAAGAATTCCACCTTTTGACAATATCTCGGTCATTGGTGCAAAAGGATGAAATATTCTATGTCACTTTTTGTGATATCTGTGAGCAAAGTTCTTGTATCTCTGCACAGTCATTACTGGGTGTCCCATTGACAGATTATGTGTCATTCTATCTAATTACTGACAAATTTATTTCTTAAATTTGATACAAAATGATCTTTCGATGAGGCTTAAATTAAGACAAGTATTATTTTCTTAACTGTCCTTATAAAGGTGAACCTGAAAATCTTTCTCAATACTTGATCTCAAATCATGCTCAGTTTCATACCAGATTTTTTAATGTTGATTGATTCATCAAATGGAACAATACTGAATGTTGCTCTGCAGCATGCTCCTCATCCTCAATGTATAGCAATTAGACAAGGCACACTTGGATACAGTAACTCTTCATCATGCAACCATTTAAAGCATGTTTCCTATACTCAAAAAGATGAAAGTGACCTGATGAATGTTAAGTGTGATATTGTGTCACACACTATAGTATTTTCTCACCTTAGATTCAAAGAGGCACTTGCTAAGATTCAAATCATATATACAGCGCATGTAAGAATCTATATCAAAATTCAAGCATTTAAAAATTAACCATCCTAACTATAGTCTGAATTTGAAGTAGTCCAAGATTATAAGTTTGATTGCCTTGTAAAACAAGTTTATCAGTGTATTTCATAATGTACACCTAATTCTTTTTATTTTTCGTGTGCATCAAGAAGACTATTTTCAAAAATTTTGATGAGAAACAGTTTTCAAAATTTCAGCAAGTCTCAAAGGAAAAGCATAAGCCCAGGACTGAAATATTTGAGTCATAAAAATCACCATGTACATATAAATACATACATATGAATAATCCTAAGTTCTATTACAATAAAACATCATTTTATTTTATTTTATAGGTAGATGCCATGACAACCAATCTGGGACTTTCATCATTATCAGAAGAGCTTGGTTAAACATTTGTCCTTTATTGGCTTTCCCTGTACTTAGGAGATGTCAGGCAGAAACTAAAATAACTATGACCATAAAAGGATACATACACTTATAACACTCCAGGATAAATATAGATAATATATAGTTAGTTATATTTTAAGTACAACAACTCATTCAATAATCACTGCATCACACAGGATAGAGATGACTCAAGACTGCAAAAGGAAGGGTTCAAATGCAGGTCATTCAACCTACACAGTCTGCAAGTTCTACTGCAATGTCAATGCTATATATATATATATATACACACATACTTTTTTTTGTCATGAAGTTAATTTCCTTCATCATACATATTAGTGATGCATTGTATTTAGATTTCTAATGAAAATTTTACTTACCAACTTAATAGCGACATGCTCATTGTTGTACAGGTTCTTGCCTGAAATAAATAGAAAGATTGGTTAGAATTCATCACAGAATGAACACATTACTAATCTATGTTCTTCTATTACCTATCATACTAATTAGATAAGTACATAATTAAGTCAGTAATACTGATGATCATTTACCTACAACAGTACTATACCATGACAGGCATTAAGTACATATTGAAAACAAAGTTAATTGACAGTGATGTCATGGCATTGTTATTTTGCTAACGCCTATATAGTAAGCTTTCTGATACCAATCCTTACAATTTGAAATTCATAGTAAGATTATACAGCGATGATTAGATAATATCAATCATAATAACAATTCTCAGGTGCATGGCTTAGTTATGTAGCTCATGTCATACATCATGATATAATGTATACACATTGTACTCATCGTAGTTAAGGCAATACCACATAAAGTCTTTCTCTGGTGGGAATCGGCACAAAGCAATGGTTTGTGGTACAAACTGTGTGGTAAAGCGTTATTCAAGAGGCACCTTAGTTTGTTTTGTTTATCCATCAACAACCATGACAGAACTTGTCAAAACCAACAATAGACTTATTTCAACAATGAATGATCATGAATGCAGCTTTCATATACCTTGCTAAAGACCGAGTATGAAATTTGATTGGATCAACATGTCACTGTATTGTATACACCAGTCAAGCTAAAATTACTTAAAGTTTTTTAAACAGGTACCCAATCTACCACTCGATTACTTGAATTCATTTCTGCAGATTTTCTTTTTTTCCTTTAAATGCTGATGAACTTTGACCTGAATTTATTTCCAGAAAGGAGTATTCTAACAACCTCACAATAATCACATAATTATAACATGCAATGAACCTATGTCATAATTCAAAATATTTATCAATACAAAAGCACTACATGGATTTGAGCTTGGACCTATGGCTGTGACCTATGCATTAAAATCACAACCAATACATTGAGGTCACTCACAGTGTGCAGTATGCTTGAAACTTGTCTTGTCACAATACACTTTACGTCAGGGTCAGTATATAGGCCAGAAAAATATTTCAATATAGCATTATTTGACTTTTTTGTTTTAACGTGACCTTTTTAATGTCAATAACATAATACCAATATCACACATTCAGATTCAATGGTGCAGCAGCTATTAGGCAAGTGTTAAGTTTCATCAGGCAACAAAACAAAGACTGATATTATATATAGCGGCCTTATTAAATCTCTGTAGAAGATACATTTTTGAAAGAGTTATAAATTGACATCTACTTTACTAATCATTTAATACTACATTTAATTTTCTATTACAGAAGGTTTTGTATACATGTAGCGTACATATATTCTCTAGCTGTCACAGTATTATTTTCATTAGTTATTACTTAAAAGACGACCATCCGTATCAATAAGAATATTCTTCAAATAAAAAAAAAAAAAAAACAAAATCAATATAGTTTGGAAAAGATTCCTTGTGTATGGTTTATCTGAAGAAACATGTCTTTGCCATTTTGAAAGTTTCAACATTAATAATAGGAAATATATCTGCCAGGGGCTGACACTCAGGATTTTGATTTATGGACAAAATCAATAGTCTAGAATAGATAATATGAGGAGATCAATACATATCTCTATGTGCTCTTCAACTATCTTAGATCTAAATACAATGTAGCTATAGTAACAAAAAAAATATTTATACATTGTAGCCTAAACCATAAAATTAATCACATGTTTAGAAATACCCAATATATCAATATAAAATACTGCACCACCAAAATATATCAATCATACATCAGGATTATTAAATCAACTTCTTTCTGAATGGAAATTGTTGATACAAATACTTTAAATACATTTTAATGAGTGAAGCTGGAAACATTTTAGTCACTACCTTCCTCATATGCAATAATAATTTTTTATGATAGTGTCGGCCTGTGTGATTTATAATGATGTCTATTTGATCACTGCCACGCCCAGTTCATAACTTCTAAACTTTCAGAGAACAAAGCTACACTACATATATATTTCTGATTTCTACATTTGTCAAAGAAAATAAATTTTTATATTAGTTTCTCTACATACAACAATTTACAGAGAATAAGTGTTCTGCAAACTAATGTTAAATCAACATATTGTGTTTACAGGTAAAAAAAGACATTTAAGTTTAACCACACATTCTACCAGAACAAAACAAATTCAGCTTCAATGTGATGTAGATGTATCAATCATTATGTTACTTAATTACACTATATTTTAAATATGATTAAGCAAGGTCAAGGGGATGGAGTCTAATTTTAGCTTATATCACTAGCTTCTCCATGAATTCTGCCAAAGTTTATGTGCGATTTTTTGCCTGTTATTAATGCACTGGCATAAAAGAGTTCCAAATATATTACAATACCATTATCTTCACACTCCTCTGTTAATTGGAAGCTGCTCAGACTGCCAAAATCTGTATATGTGCCATGTCAAAAATCAGACCTAAGCATGATATGTGAATGTATATCTACACTACAACCCGTACATTTCTGTGTCATGATAAGGGAAATGATGATGCATACATTTGGTAGATCAGGATTAGGACCGTGACTAAAGTATTGTACAAAAAACTACCTACATGACAGAAGTTAATTACTGTTCATTTGAATATGTCAAACACTTTTTGAAGTCTGCATCTTTGTGAACAAAATTCAATCTGAATGTATTTTCAGGATTCACATACTAAAAATGAACTTGAGATATGAAGTTAGATTTGTTTGATGCTTGGTTTCCTTGTTATAACCCTGTCCTCATTTTGAGAACTTATGGTAACATTAACCAAGATTTTCATAACAGATGTCATCAATGAAACAAAATATGTTGGCCTCTCAAGAACACCAGGTTTTAATCTCCGTATCCATTTTCAAAGGTCTCCATGTAAATATATTCTTTTACTCATATTGCCTTAAAATGATAGAATAGCTACCTCACTGAACAGCCTACAGGAGGCCCTTTACATGCCATCCTTAGCATTTCAAGTAAAGTGTCCTACCAAAGGATACCACCATGACATCACAGACTAGTTCCTTTTTCAGCTTTCTGAGAAATGAAAATCACTACCCGTACAGAGAGTCAAGCAATGCATATTTGGTCATCCCCTGAGGTTGTATAGGCTAACCCTGCCTGATCTATCACTTTAGGTTTGAATTCCAGTCTTATTCCTTATGCATACAGAAGAGTTTTTAAGATTTACTTATATTTTGCCTATTGGACTCTTATTTGTTCTGGATAAATGTGTAATGATGCTCTGTGAAGAATTAAGAATCTGGACAAATTATTTGATTTAATTCTCGATTTGTTCTCGTGTAGTTCAGTTCAATACATCTTTTGAATTAACTATAGGGCAGAGCAACACAGTCAATCCTATTGACTTTTCACGTACTGTGGTTGTGCAATATAGCCAATCTATTCAACTGTATTCAAAAACCAATGTCTCTTAACACTGAAGTACTCCTACATGTTAAAAGATTTGATCTAATTGACTAACAGAAAAGGAACTCGAAAACACAAACAAAGGCCTTAAGTATCTACAGGACATAATTATAGCATTACTTTTTTTTTAATGTACCAAAAGGGTATTGATGGAAAAACACAGAATGTTTTTGGTTTCATAGGTGAGGATACGAACAAGCAAACTGTAAAATATCATTATATAATTATGACAGACATTGATAAAAGGACAGGAAATACAAGAAACATGATGTCTCTTCTTGAACAAAAACACAACGCTGACATTACAGTTACAGGTTCGAAAAAGATCATGTAAAATGACTGATCAGCAGTTGTTTGCTTATTTTTTTAACTGTATCAAATCTAAGCATATCAACTGAGATGTGTATCAAATCTAAATGTTAATGTCTTGTTTTACCAGAATCATTACTTATCAATCATTAATAATCAATGACATTTACAGTAAAAATCTGCATAATGTGTGCATCTACATGAAGTGCGCAGATACCTTTAGGGGCTGAAAATTGTAAATATGTTTCTACTTGAATAATGTGCACACCCCAAATTTAGTAAAATTGATCTGTGAAAGCAAAGAAATTGATCTCGGAATGTTCAGCTAACTAGTCAGACCAATGATAGAAAGTCCAGAACTTGAAAGCAGTCTCTTCAGATTGTTTTTTTTCCCATTTTATCTACTGACTTTAAATTGCTTTCTGTTTAATTATAAGGTAGGGAAAAATGCCTAATGCTTGAGCATTTCTTATGTTTTCTTTGACATCACTAGTCTTAATCAACAGTGTTCAGTGATGAAATCATAAGCACAAGTTATTATCTACCTATTAATGACTGATCCAGGTAACTATGATCTCCTCGAGTCAAGTTTCATGTCTCACTGTCACATCGACTGTGCCAGCTGACGTAAATCTACTGCAAAATATTTTAGATTATATAACATCCTGGATTTTGCTTTATGTACCAAAATGCATATTTACTGATTTCTCATTCATGTTATCAGTAAAATTTTACTAAAACCATCACAATTGAGCCTTTCTTTAATTCTGTGAAGTTTTCTAATTTTTTTTTTAGTTTTTGGTTCAGTGAACAAGAACAAATTTCGGCCGTTTTTGATTGCTGACCTAATTCATCATACACATGCATGTACAGATTTTGTTTACAGCGTTTTGCACTTTGAATGTGTCAAGACTGAATATGTGGAGTTACTTGCAACTTGTCAATTAAGGTATTGTAATAATGACAACCAGGTAGCAGATACATTTTCTGTCAAAAACTATGAAAGTCTCACAATGAATGGATAAATGTCAGCCAAATGATGCTGGATAAATATGTACTGTGACAGAATGTTTTAAATCAAACCGATACAAACCAAAATCAAGAAGAATGAGCTGCTAATCGATTTCAAAGTAATTATATAATGAACTGTTTCTAGCTAATCAATATTTAAGTAATTCCCATCCTACTCTACCTTTCCTCTAGCATGGTTAATTTGGTGCTTTATGATTCCTTCTGATGTGCTAGGGACAATAAAAGGGGATAGGTCTATTGAAATGTTGGGATTCTGAGCCAGCAGAGTCCATAGTTTATGTTAATTATATCATATATATGGTGCTGGAGTATTGTGATTCCATCTTCAATTTTGGTTTCAAAATATGATCTATAATAGCTTTATATTCAGTAACAACTAACATACATGTACCTACTAATCAGTTTTAACTCTAACTGGCTTAAATCACAGAAACGTGTTAGATCTAAATTGCTAGAAATGGGAATGGAGAGCAACTGGACAAAACCCTAATGAGTCAGGGATATACTATTTCACCCAATATTTCATATATTTAATATTTAATTTAATATTTTTTAAATAGAACAACCAATTTAAGGGAAGGGGTTAATTTTTCTTGCAGTTATATGACAGGAAAATACCTTAGATTCTGCTTATATTAGACATATACACTTGTCAACAACCAGCACTGGCCTTCTCTCTCACATGTGGGTCTGCTCGGGGAGAGAGTGTCTTGGGTATCCCCTAGGAAATGTCTTATGTGGAATGTCTAAGTTGGGATTAATTTTTGTACCTTTGCTTTCATTGGATACTAGAAAGCATACTAAAATACATCTACTGCATATTTACAAGTTTGGTTTCTGTTTTTCTTACTGTATTTGTATACTTCTTTCTTCACTTCTATAAATATATATTTGGAACATGACAGGTTAAGGGCTTTATCCCAATCATAACCAAGGGCTAACAAGTGTAGACAAACTCAATAAAATTGGTAAAAACTAGAGCTGTGCCATGCCCGAGTACCAAGGACACATGTCGGGTTTGAGAAAGAATAATCATGTTTGAAAATGTGCATCCAGGTACCTGTCAAAACAGGAAATAATCTGTCTTCCATCTACAGGTGTCAACCATCAAAAAAGATACAGGATCTTACAAGAGTGTAAATATATAGTGGAATTTATTAAGCAAACTCAACAATTTGATATGACATAAGCCTTTAGGGGAGTGACATATCAAATTACTTGTCAAGGTTGAAAAAAACCATAATATAATATTCTATTTATAACATGACCTGTATTTCAGAAATATAAGTGAAAATTCTCAAATGGAATTCCCTACAAAAACACTTATTTTGAAGTGGAGAGTACATTTTTCACTAATGAGAGAGTCAGAATGTGACTTGACATCACAAAACTTAGTGTTATTAAAAGTGTCTTACAATATCTATGACACTGTCATATCACAAAAAACAACAGACAAAATATGTCATAAAAAGTAATACAAGTTCTCTCACACTGTTTCTGTTTTTACTCAACAAATATGACAAAACTTGTTTGTAAACATAAAATAAACTTCACATGCAATATTGTTATTCAGTATAAATTTTGTTTTATCATATTTCATTGCAAGAACCTTCATATTCCTCAGACACATGTACGTTAAATTTTTTCCAATGTCATAAGGATAACACCAGAGATTGTCAGGTCATTAGTTACTTCTGGGTGGCAAATTACTGTATAGATAAAAATACTAACTAAAGTTAAAGTAAAAGAGTGACAGATGGTGTTGGTGCTAAACCTTCCAATGTCAAGGACAATATAACATGGGCAATTACGGTAATCTGTCTCCTTCATTTCTTACTTCCTGTTGCACATGTGCAAGTCAATGTATGCTGGAGAGCTTGACAGTAACAGCAAACTTGTGACCTAATACTAGTGTTTGGTGCATTGTTTCAGTTATGAACAGTCAATGTTGATGCAGAGAAATGAAAACAAAAATATGGCACAATAAAGAAAAATTCAAACAGGTTGATATCCCACCCAATAGAAGCATGTTTGATGTAGGGTCAAATATGTCAAGTCCCCAGGTTCTGTACCTGTGACAGCCCTAGTTTAAACTGCTCTCTTCTTTATGTCTTCATGTAAATAGAATAATCGGACCAGGTTTGATACCATGCACTCATGAGTAGGTTAGACAGTATGACTATAGTAATTTCTATGTGACGTTGTATAAAACAGCCACATTATCCCTAGTCACTGTCTTTACTCGACCCTTTTTGTTGAAATTCATGATAAAACATACCTCTGAAACTTTTTGATAAAATCAAATTATATGTCAACATGGGGTAATCAATTTTTGTAGGATTGTTTCCCTGCCAGTCCAGAATATCATCTCTAATCTTATGATGTGACCCATTACTATGAGAAATAGTGGATCATCAAAAGTCACACACAGGAAAATCGAAATAAGTTCAGGTCTCAAATATCAGAATCCAAAAAATCACTAAAGACTTCAGTGAATGATCTATATCACAATAAGATACCATTTTACTGGAAATGAACCAACTCAACTCTTTCGTCAAAAGCAATTGCTATCTGGCCATCTGTTTGAGATCCAACATAAAAACTGCAAATGAAGCAGTATCATAAACCTTATAGTTCTACACTACAGATGCTCAAAAAGTATTGTTTTAATGATTTATTGAACTGTTGGTGAAGGAATTTTAAAATAAAATACTTTATAAAATATAAAATACAGTATCTGTTATGATACAACAACATTTATCATCGAAAAAACTGTGGTCAGTATCCTATATTATTGTAACTTGAGCAATCTTACCAATCTCAATAATGAAATAAATGAACTGGAAATCTAAATGACTTAATTTGCATGGTAAACTTTCCATTGTCCCTACATCAGAATTGCAATCTTCTTTGCTAACCCCTCTTTGTATTCAGCATCAAAGCCACAGATGCTTCGAAGCCACACCCATGGTTTTGATCACACACAAAGGAAATATCAACATATTTAAAGCAATATAGTTAGTCACATCAAATGACTATCTTTCAGATAATTTCATTAACATCTTCCCATTCTTACCTAGCCGTAATTCTCCAAAATTACCACATCCTATCTTCTTTCCAACCCTGAAATTGGGCCCCACCATCAGAACCCCTTGGTTACTGGAGCTGCCTTGTCGACTTGTACCATGCATGCTGCGAGCACTTTTTCGTCGACTTTGTTGTTCCTCAGTCCTTTCGTAATCCCGTTTCTGCATGCCAAAGTTTAATTGGCAGTCCCTTAACCTCCAATATTAGCTACAGTTATGATTACCCGTTAATGAAAACCGGTAGGGAAAGAGGATTTATAAACAGAGCACCGAAATTGTGCTCAAAATGAAGAGTTCATTGCTAATCATGCCATATTTCCGAAACCCTTTCCCGTGGTTTCATGTCATTTGGACAATTGTTCTCCATACTTATATCAACATTAGTGGAATTGGATGTCGTAAGGTCTACCATTGATGATTCACATTGTCGTTAACCCAGAAAATTCGGCACAATCACTTGTTATTTTCCGTGTCTCGAATATCTTCTCCTGAGGAACTACACATCCTTCAGCTGTTTGACAGATAAATTCCTCCGCGACATCTGAATGAGCAAAAATATTCATACTATTATGTCATAACATCGCATGTCGTAAGTTATATTTTACTATTTCAATGTAAATGCAAATTAAACAAAATTTATCAACAGAATTCCAAATATTATCAGATCTATATTTCATGTGAAATATCATTTCGGAAGTTGGTGATCAGTCACCGGCAATGTGCGCAAGTCGGGAATCCCCGTTACCAGGCGTAGAGAAATATTTATCGATAAACAGTGTAATTTCTCATGTTCTGACCGTCAAAATAAAGCATAAACACCGTTCTGATTCTACGAACTCGTTTCTATACCAAGAATACAACAGAAATCACAAATATTAATTGATTCTTAGCGGAAGATTAATATATTCTATCACGCCAGATTTTACGTCACTTCCGTATCAACATTAGTACACATGCGAGTTCACGAATATGGCGGCTGTTTTCAAACAAAATAGAAAAGATGTAAACAAAACTTTCTGATGAGACCATTCCTCGATTGATGTCTTCACGCATGATCAAACATGGTTGAGAAGGGTCGCTTCTTAGTCGTTATTTCGGTTCTTGAAGGTAAATGCTATATGTTGCAGTGTTTTGCATCTCAAAGATTATACCATTAGAATGACAGGTCCGATCTCGTCCAAAACACCAGCGCCAGTTAAAATCATTTTCAGCTTTAAAGCGGAGACTTAAAACCATGTACTGATAATTTTTCTGAAAATTTAGTTTTACATATTGACGATATCACACGTATTTGTATAATATAGAAATTAAATCCAAAATACTTGTTTGACAATGCAAGAACACCCCCTCCCATTTTCTTTCTGTCACACAATAATCCTAGAGTGGAAGCATATTTGAATGTTTCTAGGCATCTGTTTGCAGATTTTTCTATAAAGAACTATTGTAACCCTTTTACCTTACTAGGACGAAGGTTTCCTAAGCGACCACGACATCAGATAATTGCAGAGGCTCGGTTTGACGGGGAGTTATTGTCAACTGACCCAGTGAATCATGTGGAGAATCCAGACTTCACTCAGGAGTTGGCATGGGAGTTGGACAAGAAAGGACTACAGCAGCATCGACTTCAGAGGACATCCATCAAGATCCAATGCTATGCATACGATAATTCAAGTACCATGAAAGAAGCCATTGGCTACGTTGTATTAGATCTACGATCAGTAACAGCTAAACAAGTAATTATGCATTAAATCATGAATTTATAAATTCTGGTGAAGGGAGGTATGGCCTTGTTTAAAATATCAATATCATGTCATCTCATACACTTGTACACATTGTATAGCATGCTATCTAATGGGAAACCATTAATTATCCCCTCTATATCTATTATATTACTATTATATTTGTTAACTTGGTGAAAAATTGAAAAGTGCAATAAAAAGAAAATTCTATTTTTCAGACAGTGAAATGGTATCCTCTTTTACACTCAAAGTACAGTAAGAACAAACCAGAAATTAAGCTTTCTATCTATCTGGATGAGGATAAAAGTGGTGAACAGCCAAGCTTCCGAGCCAAGGAAGCTCCTGCAAGAAGTAAGGAGAGAAACCAAAAATCATTATGCTAAAATGTGACAAAAACTTTTGACACCAAACTTTTTAGTTTAACCAATATACAGCCAATTGCTTTAAAGTAATTAACCCTGGTAGGTGACTTTTTTTTTTAAAGGTGGTATGACTTCCAAGCAGTGTCCTTTCCATTAATAAGAATTTTTGATGATTTGTTCCCTGACTATGGCCATACAATCAAGCTCTTTGATAAATGGTGAACATAGACAAACTTTATCAACAAATGCTCCGAAATGATCTTTTATAGCAATGGTGAATGCTATTATATGATTGCAATGCTCACAATATGTGTTTAACAAATGACGATAATAATCAATCACTGATTGCTTGAAAATTTGTGATATATGTTTTTGATATGCACCTGTTTTTGTTGATCAGTCATAATAAAATGTTTTTCTATGAGAAATAATTAAAACCATTATAGAAATTTCTTAATAGCTGTGAGAAATATTTTGAATTAAGATAGAAATAACTTAATTGTTCTAGGATGTGTTTGTAACCATTATAAAAATATTTGAATTGCTGTGAGGTTTATTTTAAACCATTATGGAAATACCTGAATAGCTGTAAGAAATACTTTCTACAATTATAGATTTTGGACCATTATAAGATATTTGAATGGCTGTGAGAAATATTTCTCTACACCTTTTGTAGTTATTGAGGATGGAGCTGGTTCAGATGAAGCCCGATTTCTTCGGCCAATACTCAACGAGGAGGAAGGCTACTACCAGATAGGTCCAGCATCCAAGTGCAAGGATCAGTTTGTCCTCTCTGTTACCATTGCATATGCTGCAAACTTGCCACAGGTATTAAGATATTAGATACCACCTGGTAGCAAGTATAGGAAAAATTCAACCACACAATTTATATTACTGAACATTTATACATTACATAATATTACCAGTAACCAGAAGATGTTGTTTCATCTGAAGTTTGTTCTGAATAATTAACCTCTGCAAAAACTGATAATACATTGACCTTTTTGTGTGGCTAAATTTATTATTTGCTAGAAAGATATGGCCATTATAATTATCTTCATTTCAAAAAATATTATTGTAGTGTCCATTTAGTCAGTTGATTTCTTGGGGAAGGCTGTAATGATATCTTAATTGTATATTGAAAAATTGGATCAGGAACCAAGACAACAGGTCTTATTTCACTCATAACAAAAATGTTTGGTGTTTAGTCCATAGATAGCAAGTAGCCCTGTGTACATACAGGTAGTGTGAACCATTGTGAGTGTTCAGATTTGACAGAATATTGTGTTTTTCCACTTTCAGTTAATTCCAAGTACACAACCATTACCGCCGGATGCCTCTGGATACTTTTTCTACTTCTCCCTCCTCGGAAACGATGTCACAAATGAAGTATTCCATGATCTCATCAATCCCAACTTTCCAGCTGAGAGAGCCTCTGTTAGGATAAGGACAAGTATTGAAGCTCTACGACAGTTCTTTACTCATCAGCCAGGCATACAAGTCAGTTCTTATTAGGAGTTTTGCCTTTATTGGAATATGTATATACAAAAAAAAATATTGAAAATAAGTAAAACCTATTCCAACTTCCTTGAACCCTTATTACTCAACTACCCTCTATTCATTGAACGGATCACTTGGTCTTAACCATGTCCTTATGTGTTCCTTGCTATTTAGCCTCAGATTCCTCGAACCATTATTCCTGGAATAAATACCTCAATTCCGTGGACTAATTTTTATTCCTGTCCCTTTGTATTTATATTATTTTCCGCATCCTCAGGATACTAGTGCCAAGTTCCTGTGTATTTATACAGGTGTTGGTCAGGATGGCAGATAATCACAAGATTTACAGGTGTCAGTTAGGACAGCAGATAATCATGAGATTTACAGGTGTCGGTTAGGACAGCAGATAATTATGAGATTTACAGGTGTCAGTTAGGACAGCAGATAATCATGAGATTTACAGGTGTCAGTTAGGACAGCAGATAATCATGAGATTTACAGGTGTCAGTTAGGACAGCAGATAATTATGAGATTTACAGTGGTATGATTACCTACCTATCCTGTCACCTGCTACATTATTATTGTATTTAAGGTGAACATAGAGAAGGCAACCATTGTTAAGTGAAGTGTAAAATCAAACTACAGTATAGCATAATGTATACACAAGTGGAAGAATATTCATAAACTACCCAAGATGACTGTCAATTGATGTTGATTATTTTTGTTGAGGCTAACAGACAACACAATATGCAACAATAATGATATGTAATCAATATTATGTTATCATTTGAAGTTATTGAAATAAGATGATTAGAAAATATTTGCTCTATATTTTGCTGTAAATCAACAGTGTCATGACAATGAGTAACACATTTTACACATTTCTCTTCAGTAAAATTCCAACACATTGAAAATATAAGTAAGAGAAAACTTCTACAAAATCATCAATAGAACTGATCAAGGAATAAGGTATTGAATATGTAAACCTAGTAAAATACTAGTTAATGCATACTGCTTGGCTAGGGATAGCTTTTCTTTAGCTTGATCAGTTGAGTGTCAGACTAGTAAACAAGAGGTCCCAAGTTCAAATCCTAGTGAAGGCATTGAAATAAACAATTACCTCTGGTAGATTTGTGACAATGTAGGGACTTGGGCAAAATACATAGTGTTACTTTTACAAGCATTACTGTAACCTCTGGAAGCTGTGGGATGAGTTTTTTCCTGGAGGTGAAGTATGTAACCCTGGTGAAGTTCTAGCCGAAATATATCACTTGGCTGGAGAGAACTTCTCTTTAGCTTGATCCGTTTAGCGTCAAACTAGTAAGCCAGCAGTTCCAAGTTCAAATTCTAGTGAAGACTTTGAAATAAATGATGACCTCTGTTACAAATACATCATTTACAGACACAGGATGTTATGGTTGATCACTTACCCAATGATCTGTGAACAACCTCTGATAACTCGAATACCCCATATTCCCAGGCCAATTGATTTAATGGGATTTTACTCTACTATCATTAAGGAAAATTGAAGTTGTCACATCAGGAATGAACAACAGCACCTGAATCTATTGATTTTCTCAAACTTGTTTTAATTTCTTTTTCTGGACCAACACATGTTATTCTGATTTAGTTCCAAAATATGTGGATGAAAAATTGCATGATTGTCATCAATTGCTTTGAAAAAAATAATATGCTCCAAACTAATAAGTGGTGAAATATAGTGCATTACTGACAACATTTTTGTTGTAGGTTCACCTGTGTTGTGGGGAGCAGTCTTTGGGAAGCTGTGAAGTCCCTCTCAATTCCCTTCTTCAAAAGAACAGTACAGAAATTTACATGAAACCGGTGGCTGTAGAAGGATCATTTCAGGTAAATATAGATATATTCTGTTTGAGGTTCTCAGATAAGACTTATATTGAATTATGAAAAACTGAATGTTAACTACATGGATTTCCATTTTGACAGGAACTTCTTTTTTCAGTGTTTTGTGTTCCTGTGTGCCAAAGGCAACATACAGATATCAGTATGTGGTCGTTGTTGTTGGCATTGTCATCTGCACAATCCTCAACCTCAAACTTTATACAGTGCTTTTTCAGGTCCAAAGGTCAATGTCACCATTACTATAAATATGATTTTTTTTTTTTCGTGATAACTTCTGTTCCGTTTGGCTGATACACATCATCCTTCATACAGTACTTCTTTATCAGAAGTGCTTGTTTTGGATTGCTTTTCAGGTCCTAAGGTCAAAGGTCAAGGACAGTGTAACCATATATAGGAGATCGGTTTTCATGCAATAACTTGAGTTTTCTTTAAACAATTACACTCTATCTTCATGCAGTGCATCCTTCCAAAGCTGGGTTTGCTTGGGGTCAAGGTCACTATAACTAGAAATAGAAATTTTGTTTTTGCTTGGGATTGCTTTTCAGGTGCAAAGGTCGAAGGTTAAGGTTATTGTAGCTGTAAAAAGAAAATTAGTTTTGTGTGATTACTTGAGTTTTCTTTGGACAATTTGACTCAAACTTCATACAATGCTTCTTAATCAAAGGGACTTGTTTGATATTGATTTTCAGGTGGGTTGTCCCTGTTCCTACTATATTTGGAGTGAATCAATTTTTTTTTAAGATTCTGATTCTCTGTGTAATTGTGATAATACAAATCTATCCTCAGGATTCAGTTCCCTTTAACACTGTACATCTTATGTACAAGTTTTCTCATCACATCTCAACAAATAGACAAATTATATAAGTGGAATAAATGCAAAGCATATCTCTGGCTTTTGTTCCAAAAAATGATCTCCAGAAACCTTGCTGGGCAGGCGACAGCTACTTCTGTGGAATTCTTGTCTTTAATATTACAAGGAAATAACAGTATTCTAATTTTATTTCTGTCTCAATTAGAAGATAAGCAAAATAGTATTAAATTTTCTTTTTTATGTCCCTGTGATGAAATTGTTGGGTATATATTATTTACCATACCTACCTGTCCATTACACCTGTTATTTCAAATTTTGTTAGAGACAAAATCAACAAAGTACTTAACTTTCATTTTAGCCTTGTTTGCATCAAAAGCTGGATTTAGAAAATACTAATTCCTCAAACATCCTGCAATTCTTTCTGATTCTTATCAATCTGTTTATAAACAAAGAGGACATGTTTTGAAATTTAGAAAAAAAATGCTTTTAGACTTAAATATAGGTGTCATAGATTTGACCTCGAATCTAAACAGATTGTTGGTTGGTCATATGATGAATACTATCACTGAATTTTACCAAAAGACCAATGCAACAGATCTGAACATGAGTTACAAAAGATGTTTGATTTTGTTCTCAAACCAGTCTGATAACATACAATGAAACAAATTATGTGGAAATTTTTTTTTTCATTATTTTCACTTTGGCTTTGGTTCCAGTTGATACCTCCTAACAAGACAAAGCAGCAAATACCTACTGTACCGAACGATATGTCTCCAGCGGTTGGTGTATCTGTCATACTCCGAAAGGAGGATATGGTAAGGTGCTAAAATAACTTCAACCAAAGTTGATTTTAGATAACCATTTTATGAACTTGTAATAATCTTGATGTAACCCTGGTAAAATACTAGCTGCAATATACTACTCGGCTAGAGAGAACTTCTCTTTAGCTCGATTGGTTGAGCATCAGACTAGTAAGCCAGGGGTCCTGGGTTCGATTCCTAGCGGAGGCATTGAGATGAAAAATGACCTCTGTTACATTAACATGTAAGTTTACATATGTAATCTCACATATACAGAAATACTGTTTATTACAGGTTATATGTATAATATGCTGCTGTAAAAAAATATTATTAGGCCCCCCCGCATGCCATAGTTCAGTATTATGTTTTTTCATATGTCCTCTTGCTATCTTGTCTGGGCCCTACATTACTCGTCATCAGAAATTCATTTAAGGTAAGGTTTCATTTTCACTGTAATAGATGTAATGATCACTCTCTATGAAATGCATATCCCAAGATAGACAGGCTTGAACATTTTGAATGTTTACCACACTTTCAGTTTTGCACCAAAACAGATTTTAATATGTTTAAAAGGCATAGTCAAGGTAACAATTGTTTACTATATAATTCACATAGAAATAACAACAATATCAGAAATTTACATTGTATTCCACTCCTGATGAGTGGTAAATATAGACTAAGTAAAATATTTGAATGTATCATGTCTTTTACATGAAGAAAGACATTCACACATTGTGGATATTTGTTGTTGAAGTCCATAGCAGTTGACAAATGCGGTTTTGCCAACATCTAAATATCAAAGAAAAAAACAAGGCTTTTACTTACTTTTTTAAGGCAATGAAATCTCCTGTGAAAGAATCACCGCCTAGGAAAGAACAGGAAGTAGGGAGAGATTCCTCTCCACCCAGACCCAAAGAGTCCCCAAAAGCAAAGAAATCTCCTTCCAGAGGAACCAAAACTAAATCTAAAACAAAAGGCAAAGGAGATAAAGATGTTAAACCCAAACAAGTTGCTGCTGATGACTATCCTGATGATTTTGATGAAGAAAATACAGAGGAAAACTTGAGTAGTATTGAAGAGGATAGATTGAGAGAAAGTAAGAAAAATAACTGTAGAATATGAAAAGTAAAAAAATTCTTATCTTAACCTAACAGATTGCAAGTTTTATATGAAGTCATTTGTTATTAGAGTAATGTTTCAAAAACCAGTACCACATTTAATGGACATGAATGGGTTTTTTAGCTGCTTGATGTTTATTGAAGAATTATCTTGTTACTGTTTCAATATCTTTAGAAGCAGCAAAGAAATCTGATCAAAGAGGAGATAAGCCAGCAAAACAAAGCCTGTCCCCACCCACAGCTAGTTCTGTAAGACCTTCTGATCAAGGTAACTCTTTTGTCACCGTAGTCAAGAGGAAAAAAAGATGGTTTTATGTTTTTCTCAGATTAAAAAAAATGTTCTTTTCTTTTACTTGTAACTTTTCATTTTAAAATAACTCACTTTACAAGAATTTGATTTTTTATATCTCTGACATGAACAATAGTTGTAATTAAGTCATAGTCTGAACAATTGAAAGATGTTTGTGATGTAAGAACAATAGTTTGTTATTTCTGCTCATAATCTCGGATGTGTTCACAGGTACAGGTGGCAGTATTGATACGACTACACAGCATGTGGCTATCCCTCCTCAGGCTCATCATTTCACTTTCTCTATTGACCTTCGTAGCATCAAAGACATGGCCAGCACAAACACACTCTACGTCTTCATCAGGTACACCTGTGTTATGCCTGGATTTGTATTCTAATATATTCTATAACTAGAGTTACCTGGGTTATAACCAGTTCAGCTATGCTGTGGCATTATACTAGATTATTTTAAGATATGCCTTCATATTCATTAAAATACTGGTGTTAAATTGATTGGATGATCTCATTGATTAGAAGTTGTGTGGTAAGTACTACATAATACTATAAATTTTGCAAAAGTCACATCCAATTTTTGTTGTTTTCCCTGTTCCTAAATTAAATGATATCCATTTTCTTTGAATAACTTTTCTGTAATACTTTCAGTATGGTTTAGATGCTTATGATGTAAATGTTTGACATTTTAATTTAGGTACACCTACCCATTCTTTGGGAGTGCAGCACCCATTCTGACTCACCCACCTGTTGAAATACGCAAAGGGATGGAGGTCCTTCTCCCCCAGTCTTTCTGTGCTTTTGACTTTGCTTGCACTGTAGCACAACTACAGGAGACTTTTCTAAGGTAGGCTAATATTAGTAGGATTGGTTTCCTCTTGGGTAGGTGATGGTCCTACTACTGTATAGTACCTCTAGTCAGATGATTATAATCTATAAATGAGTTTGCCCCAGTTCTGTACCTCACTTGATATTTGTCTGTAAATGTCTGTACCCTCATATGTTGCCTTTAGATAATACAAATCTGTAAATGTCTGTACCCTTGTGTGGCACCTAAAGTGATATTTGTCTGTAAATGTCTGTACCCCTGTATTGTGCCTTAGGTGATATTTATCTGTAAAAGTCTGCACCCCATTATGATGTCTAAAGTGATATTTGTCTGTAAATGTCTGTACCCCTGTATTGTGCCTTAGGTGATATTTATCTGTAAAAGTCTGCGCCCCATTATGACGTCTAAAGTGATATTTGTCTGTAAATGTCTGTAACCCTGTATGGCACCTAAAGTGATATTTGTCTGTAAATATTTGTACCGTATATGATGCCTGAGGTGAAGTTCATCTGTAAATATTGGTGCCCCTATATTTAGGTTCTATACCTCATGTGATATTTATCTGTAAATATTTATGTCCCTGTAGAGTGCCCCTGATTGTGGAGGTGTGGCATAGAGACAAACAACTGTCAAAGGATGTGTTATTGGGTACAGCTCGTCTTCCTCTTGGGAACATTATCACTGCAGATAAAATGAGGATAGCGGTAAGTATCTCAAACTGTGCTGATGTGATTGTGGCCTTGGGCTTTGTGACCTGTATATTGTACAATGAGATAGCTACAAGCTGCTACAAGGAGACGGATCCTGCCTCAAATGACCCTGGCTGGCCATCTGGCAGTAAAAAGAACATCATCTGATATAATAACATATCATAACATATCATCTATCACATTTACTTTAACATAATTTTTGCAGCAGATTTACAGTATTTTTCTAGCAAAAGTATACATGTATTTGTATATATTTCACAAAAATGCCGTCAGATTTTATAGTCTACCGTACAACAATTTTACATTTTGTTTCAGCAGAGCAAGACTGGTAGTACAGGATGGAGACAGGCTTGTAGTGACAGAGTCACAGTCCAGGGTAATGACAGGTCAGTGTTTAAAAACTTTGAATCTTAAATAAAAATCTGACTGATACAGAGCACAACACAAATCTGTCACTTGTAGAAAGTTTACTGTTTACACTATGTAATGGGGCTTGTCTAGTCAAAGTTTGTCCTGTTATGTTTCAATGTCATTACTCTATCTTCTTCATCTCTGAGAGATTTTATTTAAAAAAACTAGATAAAAAGGGTCTTTAGTCCAACACCCTGCCTTAAATCTTCAATATACCAGGATAAAGATTACTGGCAGATCAATTGCCTGTTCAGTGACGATGGACAGTTTATGTTTGAATGGCTTATTTCTTAAGGTCATAGAGGAAAATAGCTGCAATTAGTTTCAGGGTTAAAATATCAAGGTCAGTGTTGATATTCACAGAATGAATCAACTTATTCAGTGATATCATTCAAGCAGCTTCATTTCTGAAGGATTGTTTGTTGTTGTTTTTTTTTTTTCTTTTTTGAATAAACAATGTAATGAATGGACCCTAAATGAGTTTGTGTTTCATGACTATGAAGTCAAGATCACTGTAACTACTCACAGAAAATTGTCAATTATCAATCTCTTGTTCTCTAATTTCTAATCCATTCTTCAGATTTTTTTTATTGAAAATTTAACTATTCTCCTGCTGTTGTAGAAACTCAATATATCATCAGAAAAATTACTTAAAAATCACATGACATTTTAGAGGAAAAGGAAATAAATTAAATGCAGTGATATGAGAAATATAATGGGACATATTTCCTTTAACAATTAATATTGATATCACCAACAAAAATTGTCATGTAGGTCTTGATCATGATAATTCTAAAGTAAAATTCAGTTGATTGCATTAGCTTAGGAAGTAAGACGTGTTGTTGTAGTGACCAGCGTAAAGTTGGGGAGGTCAGCACTGTCCTGAGTTTGGAGGATTGGGGGACCATTACCACACAACAAATCATTGTCCAGCAGGAATCCTCCGGGGTAAGTCACAGAATCATCACTGGACAACATACTGCATATTTGTTTACCATGTCACCTTCATTTCTGTGATACTTTATGTCCTACAGTTATGAAATGTTCAATATGAACTCAACATTAGGTGAAAAACACCATTGAAAATTAAGTCAATGATTCCATATTAGCAAATTAATTTAGACTAAGTTATTTTTGCTCCCTTTCTAAATCCCTTAATCTAAGATAACCTAAATTTGGTAAATTATCCCAGAAAGTATCAAACATTTTGAAAAAAAAAATTTTTAAGTACATGTAGTTGATTTAATTATTTCAAATTGAAGTCACGTGTGTACAGAAGTAAGATAATACACTGTCACTATTAACCAGTTGAAATTGTAAAGAATAGGTAACACTGGTATTGTTGTTATAGACACAGAGTGTAGCTGAGTCCTTAGGACAGAATATTGTTGGCGTAGCAAGGGCACAGTCACAGACCCAACAAGCACCATCTCAAGTCTCGCCTCAGGCCCCAAGGGAGTCAGTAGAGTACAAGACTGCACTAGAGCTTGAAATGTGGAAGGAGGGACAGGAAAAAATGTTTGAAAATCAGGTATGTTTTAAACATTTTGATGTTGGTCCAGCAAAAAGTTATCCAGTTCTTAATTGATTCACATATAATTTTATTATACTATCAAAACATTAGCAATCTTTTTAACTTTTGGTTTTGTTTATTTTTTTTTTTGCTTTTTTTTTATATTGTTGCAATTAAATCCAATTAAAAATTTTTCAAGTTAAATAATAACCCACTATTTCCCCTTTGTTATATTTAGTTGACTAAATGAGTTTTAGAATATAAGCTTGTACGATACTTTTTACAGATATATTCACAAAATTAAATATTCTTTAGTTAAAGCAGAAGGAGACGGTGTACATGAAGGCTCTTGCAGAAGAATGGAAGAAAAGGGACAAAGAGAGAGAAATTTTGATGAAGAAAAAGGTTTGGAAAATGCCTGTTTATTTATTGTTTTAGTAGAAATTTGGAGTCACTTCAGCTTGGTAACCATCTCTACTGAAAGCAACCTCATTAATTTAGTCTCCTTGTAACACCAATAATTATAGGATTGATTAATAAATCAATACCTTCATTTTAACATACTGTCTCTTTGTAATGAAATGTTCATATTATCACATATTGGTGTATTTAAAAAAAAACACTTTAAAAAATGTTACACATAAAAATGCTTGATCTGTATCATGAGAAGTGTTTTTGATACTGTTGAAGATGGCAGAATATGCACAGCTTGAAGACCAGCTGAGGAAAACATTATCAAATCTTGAAAAACGTGAAAAACAGCTTGCTGCTAATGAACAGGAGGTAATATTTTGGGAAACCATGAAAATTAAGCCCCATCAGGATATCTGATTTTTCAGCATTAGAAACTAGTCTGGGTGGGTGTGAGATGAAATCCACAAGTTTGTCCACAAATGACTTAAAAACATACACATTAAGTGGTAAATTCATAAGAATATCTACAAGTGAACCAAAAAACATTTAGTATTTTAAATGCTTGATGGCAGGAATTACCACACTTCACTGTCTAAGTGAGTGAACAGTATCCAATTTTACCTATACTTGACCACTCGGGTATTTACTTATATATAATCAACCATATGGATTTCCCCAGGTGGCCAGAATGAAAACAGATTTACAACGGGAACATGACAGGAAGCTACAGGATGTACGAGAGGCCTCGCGCAGGATGAAAGAAGACTGTGACCATCAGGTGGAGCTGGAGAGGTCAGTGCCTTTCTGAGACAGGTTCAGAGTAGAGGATAAATATCATCTCAAGTGCTATTTAGTTTACACAATTATGTCAGCTCTCTAAGATATCATCTTAGCTTTCAGCAAAACTATGAACCAATGCTACTTCATTGTCCAGTAATATACTAAGCCCCTGTTGGTTTAACTGGTTCACATATTTTTCTTTTTTGCTTATTGTTTGTAAATTGCATTTTTACAGATATTTTAATTGATGTTATCTTGAAATATCTGGTTTACACGCCAGTACAGAACAAGGAAAAATAATTTCTTCTAGTTACATTTTGATATTTGAAGTTTCATAATAAAAGTTCTAAAATAACAATCGTCATTCATTGGACGTTATATACACTAACAAAACAGCCTGACTACTGATGGCATAGCAAAATTACCATTTCCATTTTGGTGGAAAAGTCTACCTGACTTGATGTTTGTTTTGAATTGTTTGGACGGAGTGTTCACTCAATATTTAAGTCATTATAGATGGTTTAATACTGAACTTAATAAAGAAATTTAATCGCCACAAAATTGATAATAAGCTTTGATAGCTGTTATCATCAAACAAGGATTTTCAAAGTCATGTCTTTATGAATTTGCTCACAGTCTCCATTCAGTGTTGTAGTAAGAAGGGTTTTTTTATCTTAGATCCACAAACTTGATACAATAATTATTGTTGATTTGTTTACTTTCAGGTTGAAGTGCAAAGAAATTGAAGGGTTAATTGACAGATACAAGCGAGAGGTATACATCTTCTATTTGTTATCAACAATGAAATACAACACATGGCTAAACCCAATCTGATCAAAATGCAAATCATCATTATTACACTATGTTATGAAGGTCAAATGGTAGCCTAAGGAGTTTAAATGACCTTTCAACTAACCAATTGAAAACATTGCCAGCATTTTTAGTCTATTCTAATACCCTTCATCCAGTGTCGTGTGTTGTGCATTTGTAAACAAGTAACACTTTTGACTTTTTAAAAACCCATGATCCAATTTCAATGAAATTTTGCAGAAACCTTCTCTGGCATAAGAATTGTGAATTATACAGTCCCAACCCCCCCAGGGGCCTGAGGGGCAGGGCCAAAGGCTTTCAAATTAACTCAAATTTCAAAAATCTTCTTCTCAAGACCCAGATATGGTAGAATCAAATACTCTTCATGAATGGAAGCATCTTAGGTGTTTTACCAAAATTGTGAATTTTATGGCCCCAGGGTCTCGCATGTCCCCGTAGGGAGGGGGGTAAAATTTACTATGGTTTATATAGGAAAACTAGATTTTTGAGCATACATTGTAATTTGTTTAATTTTCATTGGAAATATTTCCAACTTGGTCAGAATTATGAGTGAATGGTGACGGCCTGATGGTATGCCCATTTTGATCCTGACTGACACCCAGGGGCAGATGGGCGGGGACAAAAGGGGTCAAATTGACTTAAATTTCAGAAATCTTTTTCTTAAGACCCAGATATGGTAGAATCAAATACTCTTCATGAATGGAAGCATCTTACTGTAATTTTCATAGAAAAATTGTATTTTTTGAGCTTAACGTTGGTTATTTCCCACAATAACTTTATAAGAATTATCAGTATAGGATGACAGTTTTTATGGAGTGCGGGTATTGACATTGTCACAATTTCTGTTTCATGACATTTGATAATGATCATTTAACCTTTATTTCCAATATTGCTTATCTCAGGTGCCCATCAAGGTTGCTATACCTCTTGTTATTGGATTATGCATTCTCATTTGTCATTATCTAAGCTACCTATGAAGGAAATGAAGTAACTAAAAAACAGAGGAACCAGAAGCTGATATTAACTTTAAATGTTTTCAACACATTTTTTATTGCCTTTTCAAATGCTTCATCTTTTTCTCCATTTTACACGCTGTTGATCAGGCATGTGAGACACGTTTCGACTTGTTGAAAAAATTTCATTGCATGATAAACATTGAGGTCATCTGAACATGACCTCTTGTCAGCCACTGTCAGATCTTTTTATTGTAAGTGTAATAATGATAATCTATGTTTTAATCAGAATGGGTAATACTGATACTGTATGTGGTATGAGGTAAAATTTGAATTAGCGATCATGTCTCCCTACAACTGGACAGGTGTTTCAGTTTTCATAATGGTAGATATTTCTGCTATGTTACACATCAGAAATTTTGAAAATGTTCCTGTTTCTATTATAGATAGCAGAGCTGGAGAAAAAGAATCAGAACCAAGAAAAGGAGTTTGCTGTGTACAAGGAGCAGCAAAACACAAAGCCTGAGGTCAGACTACAGTCCGAGATAAACCTTCTCACACTGGAAAAGGTGCGTATAGGAAAAAACTCTTTGATCAGTTTCTATCTATTCAAAAGGCAAAATGTTGATCATTTGTATTCTTGGACGGTTCCTATCACAACTGTTATATATAAAAATGTTTTCCTACGTTTAATACTTACCAGACAGGAAGAGGCACATTTCACCACTTAAGGGGCAGATAAGTCAGAAAAAAAATCTATAAAGTTTTAAATGCACAGGAGTTGATTTTCACATCAATTATCCGTATAATGATATATAAGTTAATTCCTAAAACAAGGTTTTCTGATGAAATCATTTGATAATGCAGTGAACCTCTTTTCTTTATCAACATGAAGAACATTTTCATAATGTATTTATCAAATTCTTTCCAGGTGGAATTGGAGCGTAAGTTGGATGCTATAGCAAAATCTAAGGTCCACTACAAACAGCAGTGGGGTCGTGCCCTCAAGGAGTTGGCAAGACTCAAACAGAAGGAACAGGTGGCGGCCAAAACTGAGCTGAAACGTCAGCAACATGAACTGGAGCACATGCGGCTGCGTTACTTGGCTGCAGAGGAGAAGGAGGTTGTCAAATCAGAGAAAAAGGAACTTGAGGATCTGAAAAACGAACTCAATAGGTAAACCATAAAGTTAGCCCAAAATACCTGTCATGCTTTTCTCGTAACTTGTTTTAGATGTTGATCTGCTATACCTGTTTAAGGAAAATATTTGATTTGTAGCATCCTGAAAATTCTACGGATTCATCTGTGACTTCTTTATGAAATACTGAACAGGATTATGATAGCCATTCATACTTTTATAAAGAAAAATCTTAATTTAAACCGTTTGTAATTTTGTTACAAAAATGTGATTTTATCCCAATTCTTTCATAACCATTTCTCCACTATTCATAACCAGCAGTCAGAACTTTGATTTGATGTTTATTTCATTTCTATAGTGTGTGATTGTTTATATATGTCTCCAGACTTAGGCAAATGGAGGAGGAGAAAGCCAAGTCACTGAACCATTCTCTGAGTCCACGGGAATATTCTGGAACCAAAGGTGATGACAGCCAGGGCCTCGACGAACACATCACCCGCCTCATTGAGGAACGAGATACATTGTTAAGGACAGGAGTATACACCACTCAAGACGGTATCATTGCCGAGTTGGATAGACAAATCAGAGAATCTATGGTACAGAAGAAAACAAATGCTTTATAACACCAAGCTGTTACATTTTGCCCAACGGTGCCTGTTATCTCGAGAGAGTGAACAGCAAGTGGAATACTGATATATTTAATGAAAGAAAAAGATTACCTACTGAGATGTTGTAATAGCCTTGTGTTGTAAACTGCTGTAGAATCAGGCAATCAATATTAAGATGAAGGCTTAGAGTGAAATGAGATGGACCTAGCATTTCTTATTATAACAGTACCCTGTGGTATTTTAATCTCAAAATTTATTAAAGTCTGCTTTAATATGTGAAGCTTAAATACTTAAAACACTTTCAAGGAGAATTACTCCCATCAAGCTTACCTTTGCTAAGATATCTTTATTTTGTTCAATGGTGTGGAAGTATACTGATATTGGGTATAAATCAGGAACCTAATACATTGTTGTAGAAATGTTTTAATGACTGAAAAACTGTTTGTAGAAGTATTTGAAATCTTTAAACCTTAAACATGATTTTGCAATTCAAGTACATCAAATAATAATCATTCTTTTCTAATTGAATAGTCCATTTAGTCTGTAGTTAGATCTCTATGATTATTAATATATTATTTTGCTGTTTTCATTGAGACACTTCTGTTTCTGGTTTCCTACCAAGCATCACATTGACAATAACTGAGAGCTCAGATTAGATAAATGCAAGCTGTAGAAAATGTTCATTTTATATAAATGTCATGTGACTGGTAGAACAAATAATCCAATACATTACTAGTATCCTTTATAAGTTAGACTGGTTTGACAAAAGAAATTGTACACACAGTACAACAGCTGTATCATACATTGTGAATAGTGAATGGATGGATAAACAGTTGTATTATATGTTAGAAATGTGAAAACATGTACCTATATCCATATAGTGGTGTACAGATATTTACCTGTACATATATCTATATCAAAGTGTACAGATATTTACCTGTACATATATCTATATAGAGGTGTACAGATATTTACCTGTACATATATCTAACTAGATGTGTACAGATATTTACCTGTACATATATCTATAAAGAGGTGTACAGAAATTTACCTGTACATATATCTATATAGAGGTGTACAGATATTTACCTGTACATATATCTATATAGAGGTGTACAGATATTTACTTGTACATATATCTATATAGAGGTGTACAGATATTTATTTGTACATACATCTATATTTTGGCGTACAGATCTTTACCAGTACATATATCTATATATAGGTGTAGATCTTTACCTGTACATAAATCTATATAGAGGTGCACAGATCTGTACCTTTACAATTATCCATATAGAACAGATCTGTGGGTTGTAACTACATTGCTAGGTTGCTTCATTTTTCATTGTGCTTTTTGAAAGATGACATGCAATGACTCAAAATAAACAAATACAAAACCTTAGTCTTTCTTCATTTTAAATTTTCAAATATGATTTACAGGGTTGTTAGTGTTCAGCCAAAATTATTTTAATTATGGTTTTATTTTATTTCATTCAGGAATTAATTTTAGAATTTTCATTTAATGATATTGGTCGAACGTCAGTCTTCTTGATACTGGAAAAGAACTACTTTAATCATTAATATACAGAAACAACAATGAAAAACTCAGTTTACAATGGATTTACCTCATTTATTTTCTGGAAAACAGTGTCATGAAGAAAATACCAATTTAATAGTGTAATATATTACTCAAGTATGAGTTCAAAATTAATGGGATGATTCAAACAGTTGCTGATACCATCAGGCAGGGAAGGTATCAATGTACAAAACATGGCTAAACAACTACTGACACCAACAGCTGTCTGTCGGATCACTTACATGGTATCTAACAGGAAAAATCTGGTGAAATAACCTCACCAAAATTTACACAGGAAGGTACAACTATAAGAATACTTGTTAGTAATCACATAACATATTAAAATCTGTCTAATGTGATTGATAGTCTTGATGTAAATCCAGTATCGAGGCCCATCAAGGTTATAATACATTGTACATAATCATTATGTACAATTGATAAACATCAACAACTCATCAAGTATACCTTCTGTGGCCCCAATCTGATGATCTGATAAAAAGAGTATGTCTTAACAAAATGAGATTATACATCCATACAACCACAAACAACTAACAATAATATCTTAATTTTATGAGAGATCAATGGGAATTCATGACAATTTCATGCAGACAATTTTCAGTGGTCAAATATCATAATCAGCCATTTGAATCTTTGGTTATCTCCAAATTTGCAAGATGTTAACACAGAATTAAATGTATATTGGTAATATCAATCCTACACTATGTTACAATCTGATATCAATTATTTCCTTTTGAAACAACATTTAGGTTGCCACATGATTATCTTTCTATTCAATTTAAAATACATATAAACGCTTGATTTGTCCATACTTGTATCAGAATCCCTGAAGTCATTTGTGAACTCCAAAAAAAAATTCTGACCACTAGTTGATCTAATAATTATTGATGTTAAACATTTAAACATGTCCTCGAGATAACAACAATGTTCAATGTGAAACAAGGGTGACAGTTTTAGCCGATAAGTTTCCAATGTTAAATTGTCACAATTATACAAGTTAACACTCGGGTTAGGTAAGGTAGACTAAATACGTAAGGTTAAGAGGGTCGATATGGATCTATAATAAAAAGGTGGTTTCTGTACGACTCTATTCTCTGATTGCATTCCAAAATTAAGAGTCTTTCTGGATTACAAAAACATTCAGAATGGCATATCAAGGCACTCTGTAAACAGGTATATCCTGAAAAAACAGACTGATAATCCTACTTGCTTGTTACCTCACACAGAATCTTGGGACAATAGTACAGTCAGCATATGTCAAAATAGGACTTAATACATTATTATTTCAATCAGAGAACTGTCAATAAACTAGAGAAAGGGCTTGTATAGGCTTTGCCTGCTGCTCATTTCCCCTTAAATTTCATTGCTTTGTTTTTTATTTTTCAAATATTCGGGAAATGAATAAAAAAAAAAAAAAACAAACAAATTTCCATGCGTCTTTTTTAAAGGGAAGTCTTGAAAACTTTTTAATGTGTTACATTACTGGATGATACTGAATCCTGCAATCTAAATGCCTTTCTCAAAAACATAGTGGAAGGAGACTTGTGATTTAGAATTCAGGTTGTTTAGAATATAACTGAAGATTTTATTATATGAGAATATCATTACAAATTTTATCATCACTAAAAATAAAAACAACTTTGTATGTTATGTACATTTAAAAATGAAAAGTCAAAGTGACCTTGAAGATTGTCAACACATACATGTAACAGATGAAAACACCTGTAAATGGGACAATATTTTTTTCAGCAATGCTTTGAATTACAACGAAGCTTGATTACAGCTCATGTACCTTACAACCTCTTACTCAAAGTGGAACATGTACATCCGAAAAACCAGGTACTTAGATCTCTAAAAACCATGAATTAGTCTAATATCTGTTCTCATACCCTAGTTATTAAAAGATTTTTGAAGTCTGAACTAATTAACACAAAAACTTTTCTTAATTTACAGTGAACAAATATCCATTAAAAGCACAGTTTTTTAATTTTTCTGGATTTCAATATTTTTCATATAATATCTTTTGTAATATTGGACATCAATAATTTGTTTACTATAGAAAATATTTATTTTAATAAGCACTATATTGAAATTAAAGAGATTAAACATGATAAATCATCTCTCTAAGGCTGAAAGTGCCTGTTCAGTGTTTTGAAGGGTGAAGTATTTGTATTCAAGAATTGGGAATATTTTTTTTAATATTTTGCAATATAAACATGTAGGATTTTTTTAAAATAACAGATTCCAAAATTAAACAAATGAAAATAAGATAACAGACAGAAATCATAAAGTACAATATGATGAACTGAAGTACAAATCTATGTTGTATTCATTAACAGCAGTAACCAAGAAAATTGTCTTGGGTAATCTGTTCTTGGCCCAACTACTAGGATTTAGGCTGCATCTGCTCCACCCAGTTGAAATGGTTAAGGTGGTATGGAATTATTCCACTATACACTAAACCTAGCATTGTTGTCCAACCATTTCAACTACTTACGCAAAAGCACTCTTATGTACATTTCTATCAATTAAGGATTCAGCAACATCCTTACAGTAATGGCCAGGTGAGCAAAATTAGTTTTGATTAATTTTGATACAGATGAACAAAATTTGTGATTTTATATTACAACAGTTAACATCAGAAAATGATACAGCTCAACATATTTTATACACAGATATCTATTGTGTATCAGAGATTATATACAAGAAAGGTCCAAATATAGCTCCAGTAGCTAAGTTAGAGCTTACATGGAAATGTCACACGGACTGAGTTGCCATTATCTAGATTAATAATTTTTAAACATTGTGAAGTGCAATATACAAGGTTTGGTAGTATATATAGCGAGAGATATTTGATCAGTATAGAGGAAGTCAATAACTACAAAGCATCTCTATTCTAATTTGAATGTTACATGTATTTTGTTGATGCATTGAAGTATAAGAGGATTTAAAATGGCACATTTGGTATTTGAGAACCTATTTTTGTTAGCTAGTATGATTAAGAAATATGTGTTACAAATATGATGCAAAGTTAATAATCAAAAGCTATCAAAGTCACAAGGTATTTTATTGCAAATACATATTATGTCTTAACATTTAAACTTTATCATTAAAGAAAAAATAAAATACAAAAACAGCTTAAAAATACATAAAACTATCTTTAATAGTGAGGCACATCCATCAGGACATATCTTGATCTTATACTTTGATACTTGTACACATTTAAGTACTTGTTCCATTTACAAATTTCTGAAAAAATCATTATTGCGGTATCTCCCAGAATTTGTTTTTACATTGTAACTGATCACAAACAAAATATCTTACTATTAAAATGTAAGCATATGCAACAAATTGATTCTTCTTGTAACTATTGAAACCTATCGGTTTTTGAAATAATCTCGCTGAGTCCACTGCCATGGCCTCTATGTTCTGGAGAAATAGCACTACTCCTGTCCTATCTACAAACAAAGATGATATAGAACTGATATGCAATATATGTACAGAACAAAAATTCTGTACAATATGTCTGAAAAAAAATCACTACAACTAACTATTTACAAACATTTTTTTTATCTTTGTGATGTATGTTTGATCATCATTTCAAACCATTTAACTTCCTTATCTGAATTAGTCTTTCTAGTGCTGTGCAGAAAACTACTTTTAAAATTGTTATGAATATGAACACTGATTCAGCCCTTTTGTTTTGCTTATTCAAAAATGAGAAATTACTGTTGAAAATATTTTTATCATTTGGGCATGCAGCCTTAAAATGATATGTGTTGATCAACAAAACTATACAAAAAGATGTTACATATGAATAACAGGATTATCTCCCATGTCCAAATTTCGTCATTTGGTATTGCAACAAGAATACTGCAAAAGTTATTTTCGTATGGTTCTATTTCTTTGAGGTTGTATTTCAACCATAAAAAATAGTTCCACTGCAAGTTGAATCTAATGTAGAAATTCATATGTTCACTGTATCAACAGATTTTTTGCTCCACCCATGTACTGAATCCAAGTGAATTACATCGAAAGCTTACCATTTTACAATAAGAAAAACTTTAAAAAAATATGATTTTTACAAACCTGTGCAGGAAGGAAATTGCCATACAATGTCGAACCATATAACCTGTTTTGTAATACTTCATATTCCTTCATGTCGATGGCATGAAAAGTAGATCTAGGAAAATGGTCAAATTAACTTACAATGAGAAAATTTAGTTCAACGAACTATTTCTTTTTATAGTATCATTAAGCCATTTCAGTGTAGGAACAAAAACATATACATGAACTCTTTCCCAATAATCATTGGCCAATCTGATATTTGTCATGTAATCTTATGGTAAATAGCAAAATTAGACCTAGGCAAAAAACCTGTTATACAGTATTTAAATCATTAAAGAAACAAAGTAAAAAATGGTTTATCATAATGAGTTAACATATGGATTTGCATGTTCAAATGTCTGTATTTAAAATACACAAGGACATCTACACATCAAATAACTGATGTGGTAATGAGCTATTTACATTGAAATATGATGTGTGACTATTTACAGAAATTGAATGAATCTAAAATGGAGGGGGTCATCGATCATTTGACATTCTTGACATTTTTTCTGGTGGCTCATCAGAGTTTTCTCTCGTCATGTGTGCTGATGGAGGTTTGTTGCGATCCTGGTCCTCGTTTGGAGAGGTTGGCGGTTCAGACTTGACGTTGTGTCCTGCAAGGCTGATCCGCAGAGCCTGTGCTTGTGAGGCAGGGATCAGCAGGTTGTGTATTCCTGTCATTGATGAAGGCCCCAAACTACTACAAATACAATTCAAAGATACATTACTTCTTTGTTATCATTATCACATATATCTGAATCCCCATAAACAAGAAGAAAATATCTTCATGCAAGAGAGATTCAGTGAAAGCCATGTGTACACAGGATTTCTTCACATACATTGATAAACAAGAGGCCTAGCAGCCTTAATGTCATCCAAGATAAGAAAAATTTACTATTAAGGTTAAAAGGTAAGCTAGTAAACCAGTGTCAATATATACATGCCATCAAAATTGTCATCCTATAATAATAATGCTTACAACGTTATGCTCAAAGATGCAATTTTTCTATGAAAATTAAAGTAAAATTTTAAAAACTTCCTCCCAAGGAAAAAATGTGAGATCCATTTCAGTAATTTAACCACCTTCCATGCTTCCATTCATACAGAGCATTTGATTCTACCATGCCTAGGTGTTAAGGAGCAGATATTTGAAATTTAAGTCAATTTGGCCCCTTTATGGTCATTCAGAGTCAAAATGGGCCTACCAGCAAGCCCTCATCCTTCGCTTATAATTCTAAGTTTGAAATATGCTCAAAGATCTAGTTTTGCTATATTAACAACAGTAAACTTTACTCCCTTCCCATGGGTAAATGCGAGAACCTGGAGCCATGAAATTCATAATTTTGGTAAAGCACCTACAGATGCTTTAATTCATGAAGAGTATTTGAATTCTACCATATCTGAGTTTTGAGAAGAAGATCTTTTAAATTTTAGTCAATTTCATCACTTTTGGCCCCGCCCCTTTGCCCCTGTGGGATGGGGACTGTATGATTCACAATTTTGGTTCATCTTAGGTCAGGGAAGGTTTCTGCAAAATTTCATTGAAATAAGATCTGGAGTTTTTGAGAAGATGTTGAAAATATTAAATTGTTTACAGGTGCACAACATCGGATGAAAGTGATCACAATCAATCACCATAAGACCTCCAAAAAATCCAGAGAAGTATGATCTACAATGTACTTATTACCAGTTTTGCACTAAGATAAAGAAACAATACCTTGGAATAACAAAAAACAAGTTACCAGTCAAAATTAACAACTTTACTTATATCAAAAAAATAACAAAAAAAAAAGTTCTTGTAACTTATATTAATCACTTTTGTTAACCTAGATGGAAGTATATGAGGGGTCTTGTTGTGGAAGAAACTAGAGAGCCCAGGAAACACCACATTTGAATGTTTAAATTTCACATATAAAGTAAGAATGTCAAGTGTGAGACAGCAAAACTACCTTCACCATAAAAACTTTTTAAAATATCATGAATACACTTGGATAATTTTTATGACAGGATAAAGCTATAAAAAGACAATCTACAAAATCACTCCATGACAAAATTCAAAATTGAAATCCATGGCAAAGCAGTTTACAATCAGAATTCAAATTCAAAGTCCTCATGTACCCATTAATGGTCTCGAGTGTAGACCTCTTTGTACCATTTATGGTCTCGAGTGTAGACCTCTTTGTACCATTTATGGTCTCGAGTGTAGACCTCTTTGTACCAGTAATGGTCTCGAGTGTAGACCTCTTTGTACCAGTAACGGTCTCGAGTGTAGACCTCTTTGTACCATTTATGGTCTCAAGTGTAGACCTCTTTGTACCAGTAATGGTCTCGAGTGTAGACCTCTTTGTACCAGTAATGGTCTTGATTGAACAACTGATGCAATAAGCAGCAGTAATGAGTAGTAATGAAATGATACTAACCTTGGTGTAAATGATATTCCAGACGCCTGCACAGCCGCAGTGAGAGGTCCAGCTGATCCACCCATGCCTCCTAACAATTTGGCCAGGTCTGCACTATCTATCTGTAAGTCACCTAAACAGGAATAACCACTAAGCATAATCAACAACCTTTCCAACCACTATCACTGAGATTTTCTCTGTAATCATTCCACTTAGTGATTTGTCCAATATCATCTTAAATCATTTTTGACATAACACTTTATTGTGATGAGCACAAAATTGTGACACATCATGTCATAAAACTGATTGCAATGTTTTTATTTTTTGTGGTTTTTTTTTCTTTTCAGAAATCTGGGTCTCTCCAATGTGAATAAATGACATTTTAACCACAGAATACTGATTCAACAAACATTACAACAAACATAAACAACATAACAAGTTAACCAATCATTACTTGGATGGACCTAGATTTACAAGTGTTATCAATGAATCAGAAGACTCCCTTTCAAAACACGTGGTCTTATTCCCCTTGTACATGTTAAAGGGACTCTACAGACATATTGATTTTTAATTTCCATTCTTGTTGACATTTGAATGCTTTGCATTGTTTTTCTGCCTAAATCAAATGATACCAACATTACTAATACATGACAAAGTGACCCAGATTTCTGAAAAAAGCTTGCAAAAGAACATCACATCGGACATAATGAAGCTTGCAAAAGAACATCACATCGGACATAATGTAGGTGTTTTAGAGTGATCTATTACTTACTGGGTAACATGGCAGAGGGCAGACAGAAGGACGGTAATGACTGGGCTTGATTTCCTCCAGGTGTGGCATTACTCACGACAGGTGTGTCTAAGGTGGTCAAAGGATTCTTAGTTGCGACCTGCTCATGTAAATCCCAACATAACAGTGTATTAAGTACTTCATCCCTTCATTATACCATTATCATAAATATGGTACAAAATATGGAGTCAATCTTTACAGAAAAATTTAAAAATCAAATGTCATCTTTAGACATTAATAGAGAAAACAAAGCAGGTGTATAAATCAAAGTTAATACTTTGAATCCTGCATATTCTTTCCATATTCACCTGCACAGGTACTGAATGACATTAACTAAATTTTTAATCTTAATAAAAACTGTTTGCAAAGAAGAAGTATTTATGTTGGTGGTTTACTCACATCTCCTGGTTTGGTTGGTATCAGTACACGAAGGGAAGGTCTGCCTTTGCCGTCATCCTTACTAGGCTGTGTCATGACAGTGCTGGTTGTGGGGGCCGGGGACACTCGACTCACAGTGGCAGTCGCTCCACTCATCTTAATAGCTAATGTGTAAAACACAATAATTCATCTATATAAGATTTTCCTTAAACGTAAATAATATTGAAGTGTCAAATAACTTAAATGTGATATGACTCAAGCCTTCTGGTGGATATTAATATTAAATCATTGGGCAACTTTCATAAATTCAATTTGAAATGGACAAGAATACAAGATTGTGCTGAATTAAGTGAAAATCATCTAATATGATTGAATGTGATTTTTTTATAAAGCAGGAAAATTTTGACTGCTATGTGATTACAGTGTAATTATCATTATGATATCACAGTGATGTTGTAATATCTATCTTAAATGATGTTTAAGACACAACATCATTCATAATGGTAGAAAAGGTCAACATTCTAAGGTCAGTAGCTCAGCTTAATAACGATTAGAACTAGGTCTATTTACAGAATGCAAGTCAAAGAATGAAGGTTGAAAGAAATGAACATGAACATTAATGGGTCAAAGCAGCTTTTTAGGAGACATTTCGGAATAAAACTGTTCCTTTTTGTGTTTCCTTGACACCTTCTGCAGCCTAATTACTTGACTGTCTTTATCTTCGTTTTAAATCCTATAATCACAACCTTTTTAATTTTTCTTATGTTGTTGTTGTTAATTTTTTTCTTTATCAAAACAGAACAGACAGACATACATCTTATCTCTGAATATCATAACATTTCAGTGATATTTTCTCACCTGGGGGACTAGGTGAGACGTTGTGGGCTGCAGGGGGTTGTAGAAGTACCACAGTCCCTGTGGTGGGTTGCTGGTTAGGCACTGGTATACTCTGCGGGGTGAACACGTTAGATACACCTCCTGTTGGTCGGACTGGCACAGATACAGACATCTGAGGAACCGGGTTCATCTGTTAACAAGAATAGCAATGTATATAATCCACATATCCTTCAGTAAGTCCAGGGTGCCAACACATAATCTATTGGTGAACAACTCTGGCAATGCAAAATCTTATATAAAACCATAGCTGTAACCAGCATTTCTATTATACATTGGTAGACAGTCCATATACATTGTGTATAAAGATATCTTGATACACAATCTATATACATTGTGTATAAAGATATGTTGATACACAATCTATATACATTGTGTATAAAGATATCTTGATACACAATCTATATACATTGGTGTATAAAGATATCTTGATCCCCAATCTATATACATTGTGTATAAAGATATCTTGATACACAATCTATATACATTGTGTATAAAGATATCTTGATAGACAATTTATATACATTGTGTATAAAGATATCTTGATAGACAACTATATAATTTATATACATTGTGTATAAAGATATCTTGATACACAATCTATATACATTGTGTATAAAGTGTATCTGTGTACATTGATGTATAAAGATATAAGAGACAATCTGTGTACATTGATGTATCCCCAATAGACGATTTATATACATTGTGTATAAAGATATCTTGATACACAATCTATATACATTGTGTATAAAGATATCTTGATACACAATCTATATACATTGTGTATAAAGATATCTTGATACACAATCTATATACATTGTGTATGTATAGAAATCTGTGTACATTGATGTATAAAGATATCTTAAGAGACAATCTGTGTACATTGATGTATAAAGATATCTAGATAGACGATTTATATACATTGTGTATAAAGATATCTTGATACACAATCTATATACATGTGTATAAAGATATCTTGATAGACAATCTATATACATTGGTGTATAAAGATATCTTGATAGACAATCTATATACATTGTGTTGTGTATAAACCTATATACATTGTGTATAAAGATATCTTGATACACAACATATACTATATACTATATGTGTATAATAGACAATTTATATACATTGTATATAAATAGACAATCTGTATACATTGTGTATAAAGATATCTTGATAGACAATCTATATACATTGTGTATAAAGATATCTTGATACACAATCTATATACATTGTGTATAAAGATATCTTGATAGACAATCTGTGTACATTGATGTATAAAGATATCTTAAGAGACAATCTGTGTACATTGATGTATAAAGATATCTAGATAGACGATTTATATACATTGTGTATAAAGATATCTTGATACACAATCAATATACATTGGTGTATAAAGATATCTTGATACACAATCTATATACATTGTGTATAAAGATATCTTGATAGACAATCTATATACATTGGTGTATAAAGATATCTTGCTAGACAATCTGTATACATTGTGTATAAAGATGTCTTGATAGGCAACCTATATACATTGTGTATAAAGATATCTTGATACACAATCAATATACATTGGTGTATAAAGATATCTTGATAGACAATCTATATACATTGATGTATAAAGATATCTTAATAGACAATTTATATACATTGTATATAAAGATATTTTTAAAGACAATCTGTATACATTGTGTATAAAGATATCTTGATAGACAATCTATATACATTGTTTATAAAGATATCTTGATAGACAATCTTTATACATTGTGTATAAAGATATCTTGATACACAATTTAGATATATTAAGATATCTTGATAGCAATCCATATATATCTGTGTAATTAAATGCACATATTATACTTCAGAATTAAATGCATGGCTTAGGAAATAGACAGAATTCAAGTGTTTCATTTACCAGTGAAACTATGCAAGACTACAACAGCAAAATCAAAGCATAGTTCTCTTTCAGCAATAGCAACCCCAATCTTTGTTACAATAGTGACCTTAACCTGTTTGAAATCCTGAGGTTGTGAACAACAGAGCTAACATTATCACTTAAAGGCGAGTCTATAAATTAGGAAGCATGATGACGTACATGTGTAGGTGTACCCTGCTGCATCACACGGGCATACTCCTGGTCTATACGTTTATAGGACTCCTCTGTGCGTGGTGTCAAATTGAAATCATCATCATCTCCATCATCTCCATCCCCTTTTGTATCTTTTTTGTTCAGCATCTGATGAGAAAAGTATGATACAGGTGAAGAATAACTGCTCAGGAGATTAATCTTTCACTCAAAAATGATCATATCTTATATATTAAGTTTAATTACTATCAATGCCTACCCTTTAACAAAAGTATTTCAATGACAACACAGGTAATGACATAATGATTGTGGACAAAGTTTTTGTATGACAAACAACATCATAGTCAATATCGCTCTTAACAATAGGTTTTCTTTGATTTTCCATGTCATTGTCAACACGTACCTCAACAATGTCTTTGTTGGTCTGGCTGACGACAGTGTCATTGTACTCTGTGTACTTAAGCAAGACTTTGTCCATGTCTGAGCTGGCATATTGGTACAGCTTGTTGTTGGATGTAAATATGATAAGAGCTATCTCACAGTCACACAGAACACTAAGCTCATATGCCTTTTTCATCAGACCAAATTTTCTCTTTGTGAAAGTCACCTGTAAACAATACATATTAATCAAAGGTAAGGGGTCAAAGGTTACACATAGAAAAAAGTAATTGGTTATTTTCTGGATCACAGAAGAATAGATCAAAAGTTTCAGTGGGGTCAAAAATTATATTGAATCAATCATTTGTTAGGGGTCAGAGGTTATTCATTCATCAACAATGACTTTGAATTGTTCTAACAATTTTATTATTCTTTAGTCCAATCTAATTCTTAGGGGTGATTTAACAACAAGGAATACTATCTGGGTACATTACCTGTCTGTTCCTTTCATCATTAATCCTTTGGATTGAAATCTTCTTCCTTCCCATTGCTGATTGAGGTGATTACTGTTGCCTTGTGTTAGTATTGTTATCTTTATGAATCTGAGGCGTTTCCTAAAACAATAAAGTTCTAATATAAGTGTAATCCATTAGGGATACATTCTATATCTAATAACTCAAACACTTAAATTTGCTGAAATAATCCAGTGGTTTTAGCAATGGTTTTACTGTTAACTTCTACAATGAATAGTCTGGTTACTGTCTTTATCCTACAACAAACCCACAATTGTTAATAAAATTAAACCTAGCTGGACTTATTACAGGATAAATACAGTAATGTTTTATCTGACACATGGCTTCTATATTAACAAGAGATCCCAGAGGGATCTTGGCGCCCACCATTTGAGGATCTGTTTTCAGTTCTTGAAGATTTGTTTATTTTTTTCTGTTTGTAACAGGTGTTGTAAATGTTCATGAACTGGTCTTCATTGAATGTACTCAATGATGGCACAAGATATTTTTATTAAGCACCTATTAGCAAATGTCATTTGAAAAAGATCCCAAAGTATTATTAGATAGCAGTCAGTTACAGGTGGATAATGGACAATATGCTTGTGCTGTATTACTGTCGACATCCAAGATGGCTGCCTGTGGGCCACCTTGATTTCAAATCAGTCCAAAAAAGGTACAATGCACAACTAGGGACCAAGGGAAACCAATATCTATGAAATATCAGAAGGATCCATCCAGTACTTCCTCAGATATAGCAGTAACAAGATTTTACTCTCAAAATCCAAGATGGCTGCCTGTCAGCCATCTTGATTTCAGATCAGTCCAAAAAGGTATAATGCACAACTTGGAACCAAAGGGAACCTGTATATGAAATTTGAGAAAGATCCATCCAGTACTTTCCAAGAAATAGCAGAAACAAACTTTTACATTCAAAATCCAAGATGGCCACCTGTCGGCCATCTTGAATTCGAATCAGTCCAAAAAAGGTACAATGCACAACTAGGGACCAAGGGGAAACAGTATATGAAATTTGAGAAAGATCCATCTAGTACTTTCCAAGAAATAGCAGTAACAAACTTTTACTTCCAAAATCCAAGATGGCTGCCTGTCGGCCATCTTGAATCCGAATCAGTCCAAAAAAGGTACAATGCACAACTAGCGACCAAGGGGAACCTGCATATGAAATTTGAGAAAGATCCATCCAGTACTTTCTCAGAAATAGCGGTAACAAACTTTTACTTCCAAAATCCAAGATGGCCACCTGTCTGCCATCTTGAATTCGAATCAGTTCAAAAAAGGTACAATGCACAACTAGGGACCAAGGGGAACCTGCATATGAAATTTGAGAAAGATCCATCTAGTACTTTTCCAGAAATAGCGGTAACAAGAATTGTTTACGGACGGACGGACGACGGACGGATGACGGACGGACCACGGACGCAGGGCAATTTGAATAACCCACCATCTATTAGATAGATGGTGGGCTAATAATCAACATCTCTTGTCGTGATTTTTAGGCCTAAGATATTGGAATCCTGGATTCGTAATTTTTCTGTGGGACTTAACAAAATTTTGAGAACCCATGCACTCTATCTCTAAGCACTTTATTTTAAAGGAACACAGGAGCCTGCAATGCACAGTACATGCATTACATTTACATATAACATAAGACAGTTACTTATAATTTACCTACAACGCAATATTACATATTGGACAAATACTGGTTACACTTATATATATTAATATTCAATATCTCTGATATATATTAATATTCAATATCTCTGATATATATCAATATTCAACATCTCTGATATATATTAATATTCAATATCTCTGATATATATTAATATTCAATATCTCTGATATATATTAATATTCAATATATCAATCATTAGTAGTTGGATTTAGGAAAGTTTGTCAAATGAGACATTTAACCCTATAACTAAGGATAAACAAATATGAAAAAATACATAAAATACCGTTCTATATGTATACATACTGTAATTACAATATGTATCATCATCTATTCTTCATGATTAAAACGCAGCTGTACAGAAGTCAATATAAACAATGCTGTGCCGGTAGGTTGTCATGAGCAACTCACAGTATAAACAAAACATCCATCAATTGATTTTGTGACTTATCTTACCCTGGTTTATCTAAACAATATTACTTCCAGGTACCTTGCACACAATAGCAAAATATAGACTGCTTATACAAGTCTAGATTTGACTGATAACATTCCAAGAAAGAACCAAACAGGAATATTAAATCAATGACATAGTTTGATTTCTAAGACAGTCCTGTTATATATACTGATGATGATCTAACAGGTTCAAATACATAAGAGATGGTTTATCTTACTGTAAAATGTAATCATACCAATTTTCCCAGTAGAAACATAACTACCTGTCTATGAATTTCTTAATTGATTTTGGACCAAACATAATTTTTTATTACTTAATGATTGAACAAACGCATTAGCATGAATAAATTATAAATTTTACTTATGTGTATTACCCGTCATCAAATAGCAATACATATCTTTTTGAAGTTGGCAGTAATAGCAGGTGTCTATGGTCAAATAACTCACAGCATTTACTATCATTTCTGGTCTGTTTTAACATATATAATACACGATAAACAAATGTCACAAGCAATAAGGGAAAATTTTATCATTTCCTGTTCAATACCAAACATATATCTATATTTGGCCAACATGACAGAATACTGATATATATTTTTCAGTATATTTAATTCATTATAAAAGTAATATGATATTGGCTGGAAACAATTTCATTACCTATTCATCACATTTCTAAAAGTAAAAACATTACGAGGGAAAACTAAAAATAATCGTGATCTTTGACATGGAACAATAATCTTATACTTGACAACAGGACAGGGCAATTTGTATTTGGAATTATACAGTATTAACGTTTTCTTCAATTAACTGTTGATGTAACATCTGACAAAAACTCAGTGTACACAGCATATGTTACATTCAAACAAACACGGTTGGTTATTTAGTTATGGGTTTTCTTCCCTGCCAACAAGCATTCCAACTGACAACTTGACAAACAATAGACAGTAACATTAGTGTGATTGGTTTGTTTTGTTTGCTATGCTTATCACCCAATTTACAGTAAGGTCCATTTTGATGCCATCAGCTGGTCTCCCAGCTTGGTACACTGTTCAACATATGAGAAGTCCATTATTGCATGTGATCAACAGCAAATGCGGTAAAGTTTCTTACCCTTGGACACAACTATGGTAGCAGATAGGTCTTATTCTAGCTTCTGAGAAGCACAAACCACTACATCTAGGGAGTGTTTGGACAAACACCTCAGATCTTCATGTCTACCGACTGTGCAGTCACATAATATAATCATACATGATGTGTATATATCAGTTTTCCCTAAATTTACAATTTCCTATATTTCACTTCACTGACAAAAATATAATAAACCCTATTACTAAATAGTACATGAACTGAATACATATATGGTGTTGTAACAAATGTTTTTAAGTATTCCTGTGTATAAGGGGCATTCAAGTTCTATTTTCCTTATGGTTTTTAATCATTATCAAAATGTTAATGAACAAGTCCTATTTCTCAGAAACAGAGTGTATATACTGGTAGTGTATTCTATAAATGTAGGTTAATTCAAAGCCAAGACAAACATGTATACCTTTGATACAACAGTCGCACTGCTTGAATTCATTAACATTATTATGGTGTGACAATATTCTTATTAATTTAAACACTGTATCAAACTTTTCCGTCTAACAGATATCTTTATAGTTTATCTTCCATAGATTAAAAAAAGCAGCAGACATCTTTGTCATTCTAAACAGACTTACCTGACTCACCACATATATAGCACTTTCTCCAATCTAATAGATTATAAATACAAAGTGAAACTAGACAAACTGCGTAAATAGATTAAAGGAAAATCCCCATTGACTCAAGTATATAAAACTATTTTTTAATTGCTATCCTGAACTTTGAATTCCTTATCATATCATGTATTATTTATACCTTAATGGTCCTACTGAATTTTAAATCCAGGTGCACACACTCCATAAAAGGTAAAACACTACATACCATAGTTTGTACAAACTACACCAGTTAAGTTTTGTACACCCTATAAAATACCTAAGAAAATCAAGTGTATGTATAGAGTGAACTACTTCCCATCCCCAACTAGTGTTTGTCTTATCACACATGTACACCAAAGGAAGGATGGATATTACATTACAAACACTTTCATCTATTAAGTAAATCTGACTAATTAAACATCCTGGTCATCAAACATAGTGAGCTCATGAAGAATGAACAGTATATATAAGCCCTGCTAGGGGACCTACCTTACTTCTTACTCAATGTTGGGAAATGGGCCTAATATAGGAAAATGAAACAGTATGGAGTTATAAATAATATTGAACTGGTATCTGTTATTACCTTAATATCATTACAAAAGACAACACAGTGTAATCAATTGTCTATACATGGTAACCCATTGAAAACTGGTTTGGGGAAGTTTCTATGGTAATCATCATAAAATCTGTTATTATTGTTTTAAAAAATCAAGATATTCTACTTAATTTTGTTATTCTTTTTTTATTTTTGGGTACAGCATATTTCAAGAAAACCTGACATGAAGTATTTAAGTTTTATCTTTTAACTGCTATTATATAATTACTTCAGTATTTATCTTGGTGCATTTTAGTCATTAGTGAACATGGATATCTCGACACAGGAAAAGTATTTCAGGTCAATGAAAATTTACCTGCACATATGTATTGACACTGGACAAGATATGTGTTAAGACTGAATGACACACAAGCCTTTTCACAGAACATAAGTAATCTTAGCTGCCACTGCCACATGAGTCAGCAGAGAATGCAGTATTACAACAAAGCCTAGCAGCTATCACGGGTATTGCACAATGATCAGCTAACAAGTGTAGGTTTTGAAATGAAGCCAAGTAACATAAGTATACCTTTATGATTTACCTGTGAGTGTGTACACAGTACATAGGACACCTGTAGTGGCAGTCGGTAGCAGACTTGGCTTGACAGAGGTATATGACTGCCATGTGGGACAGTCAGACATGTTCTGACCTGAATAGTTTATAAACAATTCCTCGACTGCTGATGTCATATTTTTGTATAGTGGGAATTTCCATTGTTTCCATAAAAAGATTTACATATCATAACACAGGTATGGACTGTGTCATGCATAAATATGACTTAAATTTGTTATCAATGATTTAGTAAGTCTGTACATAGACAGGATGAAGCTGTACAGTGACACACTTTTTAACCCTGGTTGAGTGAAATCCTTGACAACCTACAGTATAGATATAAACTCTGGGATTTAAACAGTTTTAAATGAAGATGTATACATTTAATCATTTTGATCTATAATTTAGAAGACTTTATCTACATTCACGTCTCTTTTACAAAGTTATATCCATCTAGATAATAAATCAGTAAATGTTCAAGGCATTTGCCTATGTGTGGTTTCCTATAAGTAACATGAATATTTAGTAATAAGTGTGAATTTTAACTACCTATCTGATATAACCATTTCCCTACCACATCTAGCTTTATCAAAATTTAGCTGTCAAATGATAACAGAACATTGTCAGATTCATTCATAAAAATCCTTGTAACAGGCAGGTTATTCTTCATCATGATGAAGGTTTTAGGAAACTCACAGCAGAGAAATGTCTTTGATTATCAACATAGACAATAAAATATCAAAGTGAAAGTACTTATAAGTATGTTATACATGTATATAATATTACCTACTTGTCATCTGATGATTGTATTTCCTTTTACACAAAAAATTGATAAATGTAATTCATATATAATTATAACAAATTGGAGCAGTCAAATACATGTCCACTCCATGCGCACAGCATCAACACCAAACATTTCAAATCATACAAATTTTTACAGTAGAGATTCATAACACACTATGACCATACCAGTACTTCTCCAGAAATGTAGTGATAACCTGAAGGCCAGTATGCTTTACTGATCAACCTCTGATAGACAAATCAAAAACAAGGAAGAACCAGCATATTAAATTAGAGAAAGTTACACTCTGTGCCTCTAAAACAGAATTGTACTTTGGTGTTAAATAGGTTAGCAAGTTCTGTGTTGGTTTTGTATACCATGGTGTTAACATGCAGTGGTGCTGCCATGGTGTTGGGTTGGTACATTGTATACCCTGGTGTTTAGTTGGTATACCAAAGCGTTGGGCTGATTTGTAGGGTAACATGCCATGGTGTTGGGTTGGTACATTGTATACTCTGGTGTTTAGTTGGTATACCAAAGTGTTGGGCTTATTTGTAGGGCAACATGCCATGGTGTTGGATTGATATACCCTGGTGTTTAGTTGGTATACCAAAGCGTTGGGCTTATTTGTAGGGTAACATGCCATGGTGTTGGGTTGGTACATTGTATACCCTGGTGTTTAGTTGGTATACCAAAGCGTTGGGCTGATTTGTAGGGTAACATGCCATGGTGTTGGATTGATATATCCTGGTGTTTACTTGGTATACCAAAGCGTTGGGCTGATTTGTAGGGTAACATGCCATGGTGTTGGATTGATATATCCTGGTGTTTACTTGGTATACCAAAGCGTTGGGCTGATTTGTAGGGTAACATGCCATGGTGTTGGATTGATATATGACAGTTGTGGGTTGATAAACCATGATGCTGGGTTAATATACCATGGTGTTGCGTTGTTACACCACAGTGCTAAGTTGAAGTACCATGGTGCTGGATCGATGTACCATGGTGTTGTGTTGTTACACCACAGTGCTAAGTTGATGTACCATGGTGCTGGATTGATGTACCATGGTGTTGTGTTGCTACACCACACTGATAGGTTGATGTACCATGGTGTTGTGTTGCTACACCACACTGCTATGTTGATGTACCATGGTGTTGTGTTGTTACACCACACTGCTAGGTTGATGTACCATGGTGCTGGATTGATGTACCATGGTGTTGTGTTTCTACACCACACTGCTAGGTTGATGTACCATGGTGTTGTGTTGTTACACCGCACTGCTAGGTTGATGTACCATGGTGTTGTGTTGCTACACCACACTGCTAGGTTGATGTACCATGGTGTTGTGTTGTTACACCACACTGCTATGTTGATGTACCATGGTGTTGTGTTGTTACACCACACTGCTATGTTGATGTACCATGGTGTTGTGTTGCTACACCACACTGCTATGTTGATGTACCATGGTGTTGTGTTGCTACACCACACTGCTAGGTTGATGTACCATGGTGTTGTGTTGCTACACCACGCTGCTAGGTTGATGTACCATGGTGTTGTGTTGTTACACCACACTGCTAGGTTGATGTACCATGGTGCTGGATTGATGTACCATGGTGTTGTGTTGCTACATCACACTGCTAGGTTGATGTACCATGGTGTTGTGTTGTCACACCACACTGCTAGGTTGATGTACCATGGTGTTGTGTTGCTACACCACACTGCTAGGTTGATGTACCATGGCCCTGGGTTGATGTACCATGGTGTTGTGTTGCTACACCACACTGCTAGGTTGATATACCATGGTGTTGTGTTGCTACACCACACTGCTAGGTTGATGTACCATGGTGTTGTGTTGTTACACCACACTGCTAGGTTGATGTACCATGGTGCTGGATTGATGTACCATGGTGTTGTGTTGCTACACCACACTGCTATGTTGATGTACCATGGTGTTGTGTTACTACACCACACTGCTATGTTGATGTACAATGGTGTTGTGTTACTACACCACAATGCTAGGTTGATGTACCATGGTGTTGTGTTGCTACACCACACTGCTAGGTTGATGTACCATGGTGTTGTGTTACTACACCACACTGCTAGGTTGATGTACCATGGTGTTGTGTTACTACACCACACTGCTAGGTTGATGTAGCATGGTGTTGGGTTGATATACCATTGTGTTGGGTTGTCATTCCATGGTTTGTGCCTGATATACCATAGTGTTGGATTAAAATGCCATGGCGTGGGGTTTTATGGGTTGATATATATGCCAGTGCTGGGATGTTATTCTATGCTTTTGTTAATAGATTCATGTCACCATTGTTTTCAAATCTGTTACAATACTCTTTTGCATACATTGTACATAAAATTTGAATGACAGTCAATCGCTAAGTGGAGAACTGTACATAACATACTGACTTATTTTTGACCAGAGTAGATTACAATTAACTTGCAATTGTAGAAGAAATGATATTGGTTAATAACCCTGATTAACAATCTGACACCTTCATGTTAAGCAAGTAATAAATTAATTGGGTAGCCACATGTATACATATCTACACAACAGTAAGACCTTACACTTCAGCATACCCTTAACAGCTAAGTCAAACTTCAAATACAGCATTTTTTTCTTTGGCACTTTGTAGTGAGAGCTGTTAGACAAGTGGGTGAAGGGAGGTTTATGTCTCTGTATGTGCTGGTAAGTAATCCGTGCTAGTCTTTACAAGTGGCCTATACATGACCCCGTCGTCTCTCATCCTAACCAGGTCTATCACAGATGGGTAACACATGTATGCATCTGCAGTCATAGACCGTTACAAAGCTCTCTGTTTGACATATCTTTATTTTGGAATTTACAACTTTGTTGTATCATGAACATGGTCAAATATTTACATATCTTGACTATCATATTAATTATGTTTATTGTCAAGGACAATGTTGCTGCAAACTTGATTAATAATCTTAAAGCTTATCATAGGTAAATAACACATACCTGGTAATAGACCACTATTTACTTTTCCTATGGGTAGATTTTTCAACCATTGCAAGCCAAATTTCTGAAAAGTGTGTCATTTTTTTAAAGCAAATATTTTTAAACAGTTGATTAGATTTCCGTGAATATACATATAGCATGTCTCTTTGGTTCCATCTGACAACTAATATCAGAACTACACAGTGTAGATATCAAGCCAAAATGAAATATTGACAGTTGTCACATATCTATACAAATTGGGTCAATATAGCTAGGTCAACAATGAACAATCTTGTGAACTGTAATCAAGACCGGTCTAGAAACGAGGCCAATAGATTCAGAATGATGATGATGATGACAAGGATACATATTTTGAAAAAGTATAAATTAAGTGACCTCAACCTGAAGATATTTCTTTCAAAGAGGTAACATCAAAATTTCCAATACATCCAATCTTCATCTTTGTCTAATCATGAACAAAAGTGAAGCTTTATTTCATGAAAATTACTACATGAAAGTGCTAGAGGATGACAGTAATATGGTAAAAATTTCAATTTGAATCAAAGGAAATGATCTGACCATTAACCGATGACTGCAATCTACATGAAACAAATGATTATGTGGTTGTGTCCATAGCCAGCTGACGTCATTCTCTGAGGCTTTACCAAAATTAATACATACAATAAGATCTGTGATAGATCTTGGTGCCCACCATTATTTGATCTTTATTTGTTCTTAAAAAACTGGGTCTTTTTCCTTCTTTCCTCAGTATTTACTTTAAATTATATCAAATTCTAAAATTCCTTTAAGGAATAGTGATCGTCAAACAGACACAACAAGAGACAAAAAGAAACCTGCATTAGAAACCTGAGATATCTCTCCCATACTTCTCAAGAAAGAGCAATAACAGAAATTCTATACAGACAGAAGGACAACAAAAGTTAGGTGATTTTTAAAATGGCATCTGGGTCACAAAAAATGATGACATTTCTCTTTTAAAGCCTTTCTGTAATAATTCCTTTTTAACAGTGTGAGGAATATTGACACCTTCAAGGAAATATCAAATGAAAAATGCAACTCTCAGCTTTGAAATCAGCTTTAATTATTTTGGAAGTATCTGTCCAAAGGTATTAAAGGATATATGGATAGTAAAGTGCAATCAAACCAAACACAAAACATGGCATGAAGGATAAAGTCTCATGGGCAGAATGCCATCAAGAGAAATAGAGTTCAGTGTCTTGCCCCCAACAGCACAATGACAATCATACCATACCAGTCATGACATGGGTACCAAATTGTATACAAGAAAGGATGGAAGCAACCATCTTACATGAGGTCATTATTTAATACTCAGCTGGTGCTGGACCTTTGTAATTACCTTCTGTAGCTCTTTTTGATAATTGTTTTAATGTCATTTATGCAATGTCTTTGTATTATAAATCAGTATTTTATCATGTTATAAATCTATTGATAAATTCTTCAAATAAATTTATTAATCTTAAAAACATGTAATTAATATGTACTTTATGATTTATTAAATAAATATTTTGGTCAATCATTACGAGTTGAAGATTTACCTGTCCAATACGTGTAACAATGTTTATTAAATGATTGGAGGTGATATTACACAGGTCACATGAAAGTTTTGACAGTTAGTGTCATCCTTAATTCAATGGACACTTCTATATAACCAACATTTCACTTCGTCTGGTAACTGTCAGCTAAACACAGGTTTTATTTACAACATGTCATCACACGACATTGAACTAAAATTCAGTTCCATTTAGGATGTTACTGATCTTAAGAACCATGGTAAAAGGTACCACAAAGTAAGATATCACTGCTTGTCTAAGCTTCTAGTACTAGTAAGTAATAATAAAGGATTATAAAAGGAAATAAAAAGACTGGTTATGTATTTAAAAGTTCAATAATTTTATGTCACAAGCCTTCTGTCAAGTAACATAATGAATTGTATGATATGCTTAATAAATTGTGTGTTACATTGACATTCTAGTAAGCATTTCACTCATATTTATGAAGAATATGGTAAGCTCTTTAATTAACTTCAAATCAAGACTAGATTTAATTATGACATCAGATCTATGATATAACATGTGTCTTAACGACAATGGAAGATGACATGACACAGCAGGTAGATTATATGATGAATATGTGGTTGACTGGAGCAGAGGCAGAGTGATATTTACGTCTATGATTGGCGGTGCGTTGTGAAAAACAATCTTGCTACCTAACTATGAAATGCATCATGTATATCAAATCACCCAAAATTTCTTTTCTATATGATATGATTTAAATTTTTTAAATAGGATGCAAAAAGAAACAGATACCGATTTTGTGCTCCTTGCTACAACCTGTACAATAAATTTTCTCATCGAAATCTGTGCAAAATGAAAGTCAAAAGGTCTTAACACATTGGAAAATCATCTGGTAGATATACCTAGGTTATCAATACCAGCTGAAATGTATTTAGAAAACATAAATATCAAAACCTACTTCAATGACAATTGGCCATGGACCCAAACTCAGCTTGATAAAAAGATATTGGTATTGTAAATGATATGTCCAATGATTCGGAACAAAATACTATTGACATCGGTAACAAATTCATGATACACAAAATTTTAAAACTAAAAAAAATTATGCAAAAAATAGTTGTTAACCAGGAAGTAAAACAAAAAAATGATGTTTAAATTTATATTTCCCTATATATAAGTGTTTGTTTTTTTTAAAAAAAACGACCAATATAGTTCTTGATATGTTAGATTTCACGTGAAAGACTTATGCTTTATATAAGATAAGAAAATCATCGCAAGACAAATATCTTGACCGATTATCAGTCTTTGGCTTTTCTGTCCAACACAACTAAACTCAAATTTCCATTAAAATTTTACGAGATCGATGAAAAGATAGTTTGTATCGTAAATATATATAAATAGGTAAATGAAGTCACATCAAATATCCAAGGATATTTTGATAAAAATAGAATGGCAACTTCCTTCCACACTCTAACATTACTGCTGATGAAATGTCCAATCCAAACCCTGAACTAGAAAATGTCGGTTCGGTTTGTTTGTAGGTCAGTCGATCACAACCGACTAGAATCTTACCTCCGAACTCCACGTCAACTTTTTCAACTTAAGAGGCTAGATTCACCGGAGTTTCTGTGGAGAGAAATAAACAACAATTGTAACACGGCGGATTCTGACATTTTCTCGGACAGAGTGTCATTCTACTTGCTGTTTGATACAGAAACGAAACATGGAGTCGAAGAAGTTTGCGGGCCCTGTTTATCGCAAAGCAACCGGATTTTAGCAACAAACAAACCACCATTTTTGTCGACATACACATTAATATTGAAATATATATTACTTAAAACATAAATTTCAGTAGATCAATGCGAAGAGTTTATAAAAATAACCAAGCGGTTACTATTTTTACTAACCAGTAGGATCCTCCACTGCAAAAATCCGCAAGTTGTGCTATTTTGGGCATGGAAATTACTTTGGTATTTATAGCAATATCCAATATGGCGATTAGTACGCGGATGGAAATTTGACGTCATAGCTTCGTGAAATTACAATTTTGACTTTAAAATATATATCAAGTAAACGTTTTTGAACATTGATTTCAAATTGAAGAACGCTTAGCAATAAATATGAATTAAATCATTAAATTTGTAATAAATTGTGATTTGGATATAGAACTATGTTTTGTAACATTTGAGGATGTCTTGACAACTTCCGGCGTCGTACTTGGTCACCTGCTCTCAAATAACACTGAGGTAATCGCCATAAATATATATCCAGACGATATACATTATACAGTCCAAAGAAAACTATGTGCATCATTAACTTGTCTTTGGGTGTTATATTGAAACAATATTATTAGGGTTTGAACGTTTCATGTGTTCATTTGTATTATTTTTTGACAAGAAATAGAAAAGTAATAATTGACGGGAGGCAACTCGTGGAACTGACGTCAAACTTGTCTGGACATGAAACTAGTATGTCTGCTGTTGTCGGAGAAAAAGATACTCACGTCTCTCTAATTTTGAAATTTCCGTTAACTATTGACTATGTTGTTTTTGAAAAGAAAATAACCATAAACATCAATAATAGTATTTCGTAAGAAAGCAAAATTTTGAGGTTGCATTTATAGGTGTTATATTCCCCATGCTTTGCATGTCGTCAGGATGGCCGAGCGGTCTAAGGCGCTGCGTTCAGGTCGCAGTCTGGTTCTCCAGGCGTGGGTTCGAATCCCACTTCTGACACTCTCTTTTATTTTTTTAACATGTAAATTAAACAGTACGCTATGTTGTTGCATGAGTGCTTGATTCAAATTATTCTGAAATCCATTTTACATAATAATAACGATCTGACACCGATGGACATGGACGATGGAAAAAAATAAAAGAGTAGAATAACAGTATTTAAGTTAGACCTTCTGCAGCTTCATTACTTAAAATAAGAAAATGTACATGTATACTCTATAACCCTGTTGTAAAGCCTGAATTTGATGTGCCATACATTACGGCATCTTCTTGTACTGGCTTCGGTGTAGGTTGTTACCGCGCATTTTGTATTTGTTCATGGTGTATGAGGAATGCCACATTCATTTGAACTCTGCCGGGAAAAGACTTCAATGATTAAAATTTCAAAGATTTTATAGGAATGTTTTTACAAGATATTTATAGATATCCTTGGTATTTTCAGACCGCAACAATTCGCTCTATGAATATTTCGAGAACTGGTGTGCATTGTTCGATTTCTACGCGGGATGATTTGTTTAGCTTTTTCTTTTTTACTTCTCTTTAACTGGAATCTGAGTTCAAGGAAGTCCATAGACAATCAATTGTTCTGGATAATACGGCAGCTTCCTCCCGCATGATTTTATATGAGGCTTATCATCGGCTGAGGAAGCTGCATTCAGAGATCATGTGTTGTCTAGGATATAATCTTAGGCAAGGCTGGACTCAAATCATTGCATAGGAAAGCAAGGGTAGATGCGATATGCTGCATACTAATGCCAGGTTCCTCTGCATAATTTATGGAATAAAGTTGTACAGTTGTATTCTAAACTACTGTACAGTTAATGCTTTCCACTCTCCGCATGTTAGTCTACCGAGGACGAGAGCTATAACGAACACTAATAAGTGACAGTGATAATAGGACTTTGTTGGGAAAGTTTGTATGTTTATTGGGCTTATAGTATCGTCCGTAGTTAGTTACTGCCTTCCTGAACGAGATACAGGGCCCATTTCATGCAATCCAGAGCATTAGGTGTATAATCGCCGACCAAAAGATACATTCACGATAGTCCACACCGTTTTTCATGTTGTTTCCTGAGAAACACAAGTCGTCAGAGGTAGGGAAGGTTAACAGCAACTAAGTAAAGGCCAGCCAACCGAGTCGGAAATTTATCGACCAATGTAAGAAATAATCATAACAGTTCAAAAAATAATACTGGTAACAAATCAAATAAACCAATTAAATAAAAATAAAATTAACTGGAAATAAGAATTTAACAGCAATTTATTAACAAGTTAGAGTTTATTGTAAAAAACGATCGGTCAGAAACTAAGCATCTGTTAGAATTCAGGGGGCGTAGCTAGCCCAGCAGAAATGTTAAGCCCAGGCGAGGGGTCTGAATTTCATGATTTCACAAATGTTTTGAATCGTTTTCTGAGACCGTTCTTTTTTTATTTATTCAACAACAATCTTCAACCCCTGATATTTATTTTCAACCTCAGTTTGTAATTTTGTCCGACATACTCTATCCATGGATTTTTTTTATGTGTAAGCCCGGGCTTTTTCTTTCTAGGGAAGCTACACCACTGAAATTTAAGCGACCAAACACAACTGACCAAACGCTTAGATGTAAATAGATTTAACCGTTTCCATACAGGTCAGACTTTTTTTGATCGTCAGGAAAAAGACAAGAACAACACATTCGTCACCAAATTTATTGTAAATAGTTGCTCATTCGTGAGACAATCGTCTCCAGCAAATAACAGAAAAATAGGAATAGTGATAACTATAACAACAACAAATTATGTTTTTTAGAAAGATTTTCATATTTTCATGTTTGCGGATAGCAATGGTATTATAACATTTCAATAATGTACACAAAAAAATAATGAAAGACATATAATTGGATTTAAATCGTTGGTTCTGTCGGCTTAACCACTATGGTACAATAATCAAGCAATTTAGAACAACTTGGTACTACAAACAGTGGAAAAAGTTGATCGGTTATAACATTCGTAATATATAAATACACATACACATCAACACTACAAATAACTATAACATATGTATGGGTAATGCTTTCAAGCAATAGTGGTTTAAAATATAAGTAAACAAAAGTCGAACATGGATTTGTTACACATGCGGGCAAAGTTACCAAACGATAATATCTTTAGATATCAGAAAGAACTCGATTTTGGATTTGTTCATGTGTTAGTTATAAATGAGAGAAGACGCTTTGTATAAGCTAGATTACCTTAGAACGAAACATCACAGTTGAGTGTATATCAAGTTTGTCCGACTCACTGGCTCTGTTTCATCGTCCCGTGAGTTTTTCAACATTTACAGACCACGAAGACGGGGGAAGACAACCGCTGTAGTGTATGTTCCAAAAATGTATTTGATATTGGCCACGGAAGAGGAGAGGCATGCATGTACCCCGCCCTTATATACAGCACCACTTGACCAGTTCCTGTAAATATCGATGGCATTGTCATCTTCTCACACAAATCTGAATATGTTGAAGGCGATAAAAGAACAAAGTCATAACATTTTTGATAAGTGAGTTAGTAGAAACATTTACAGTGGATGTCATGTGAAGATTGCCTCGTAAAGCGTCGCTTTCCGACATTTTGTGATTCCCTGTATCGCCTCCTGGCACAGAGCCAAGGATCGCTTTCGTACTCCTCCATCATAGATTCTTCATCCTTTGACAGGTACATGCTTTTGAGATCTTTTATGAACGTATTCCATTCGTTTTCCGATTCAAAGTGATCCTTTAACACGGGGGATTCCGCATCGATAAGCCTTTTAGCAACTCCTAAAAGAGGGCTGTTGCCTTCATCGGCCATCTTGCTGACCGGTTTCAGGAGTTGCAACAAGTATTCTGTTCTGGTGCTATTTTCATTCAAAAGTTCTGTGAACAGCTCGCGTCTTAGACGATCCTGGTCATTAGAAATTGACCCCTCAAAGTACATTGTGTCAAGTCTAGCAAGGAGATGTACAGCTCTTCCCTGAACAGACTTCGATGCTTCGTCTCGGCTCTTCAGTATTTTGGGAATGTTCTCTTCCATATACGGTCCGTGCATACCAGTTTGACTGTCCATGAACCGCAGCACTTGCGCGCCACCGATGCCAATTCCGTCTACGCCGGCATACACTGCCAATTTGATTTCGTTAAATTTGAACCCTGCAGAAAAATAGGTAACGAGTCCTCTCATGTGTGCTTCATGTACAACGGTAAGAGCTTCCGGAACAGTGAATTGGTACATGATGCATTTGGACGGGTATGTGTCGCTGGCTCCATCCCATGTAATTTTGTTGAAGCCTCCACAGTATGTAATCTCTATGGCTCGTAATGCAATGCTCATTCTGTCTTTGAGCAATTCAGACTGACTTTGCTCGAAGTCGTCTGTTATAACTTGGTTGAGGTTCCATGCCGCCGACAAGAACTGTTTCCGGTTTCTCTGAATCTGTCCTCTGAGCGCTTGCATGTATTGGACAGCCTGTGACGTGCTCAATCCCTCCATCGACACTTTGCACTCTGCTGCTCCCTGGTAGAACGCCGCTGTAGCAGATGCTGCCGTAATATTAACCAACTTCAGAAAGTCTTCCCTGAAGTTTCCAGAATCTTTTATGCGTCGGCCAACAAAGTATGTTGTAGGTGCTTGAGGTCCCACATGAAGACGAACTTTTGAAAAGTCCAAGATAGATGGGATTCGATATGACTCGATTTTTTCACGGGGCAGATGCCTTGGTCTTTCCAAATGTTCCACGTGTACAATGGCGCCTTTCATCCAGTCATTCGATTTGGTGGTACCAAGTACATGTCCGTCACCAGGATCGGTCAAAGACATGTATGTCTGTGTGTAAGGACGGAACCCTGGCGTCCCTAAACAGCGGGCATTGTCTTGTCGTACCAGCACCCCGTTAGACAAACTGTAGTACGCCAGCTGGAAGCCGAGGTATTCCATGGGTGTCGGCTGTCTTCCTTCATTTCTAAGTATCTGAGCGAGCTGAGTGACAGCCGCGATAAGTTTATCAGAGAGACTGTTGTCCCAATGTAAGTACAGACGATCTCTGTCTACATCCGCTGTGGCATCAAACATGGGTTTGACCTTATCACTGGCTGCTGTGGGAATGATTCCGACGTAGAGTTCATTTTCCACTCCCCAGGCTTTGACGATGTTCATGGCCTCCTCTCCAATCTTCTCAAGTTGTTTCATCAAGTGTTGTACACACTTGCATTCAATAATGTCTCCACAGATTTCCTCAAACTCCTCCATTTTTTTCATCTGTATAGGGAAAATGAGCTGCAGTCTTTTGCATATATGGCTCTTCGCGCCTTGCATGTCTGTGGCACGGGTAGTTGGGAGCTCTTCGTCCGATTGGAACTTGTTACTGTCACTTTCCATCTTGACTTTGACATTGTACAGATTCAGGAGCACATCCTGTAGATACGCCATACTGAGCTTCCTCATCTTGCCCAGTCCGAGACTATATGTGTTCTTATTCTGAAAGAAATGGTTTTGATATCAGTTGTAAATAAATAGATAAATAAATACATTCAAGCATCACAAAATCAGACATAATTTCTGTTTTCCAATTCTTCATTGCTTTTTGTTCTCGCCTCTGATGATTCCACGTCCTAAGGATTTATAGACGGTGTACATGTATAATTCATTGAGTTTCTCTATTTTGTAAAGTTCTTGAAATACAAACCATTTCACGAACCATTTCAGAACAAAATAATAAATATTAGATAATTCAAAGTTTAAAACAGCAATGAAATTTCAAACTCGCAAACAACTACAAAGGTAGAACGTATACGTAACTGAAAATCTAAATACAGCTTGTGCTTTCTCCTTCACCAGCCGTTAGGCATTTTGACGGACAGATGTCAAATATGGACCCGTCTGTCAAAGTGTCTTAGTCTGGTGTACGGGGTCAGAGGAAATTCGCTCTTATAAATACCGTAAACAATTTTATAGATAAATTAAGATAATTATAAACACATGTACTAGATTAATGTATGTGGAAGTACCTGGATAGGCAGGTTTTATTACAATATTTACATTTACAAAAAAATAAAAGTGGGAGTGTTCTTATTTCTACGATAGGCTAAACAACATAGTAGGAAACAGATTTCTCCTTGCATTATAAAATGTTGTTGTATGACATCAGATACTGATTTATTACTAAACCATGCACTGAAAATCAATTCCCAGCGTACACACTGTATTCACCTCCTCTCCCTTAAAACGAGTCATCTTAACCACAGATCTATCCAAAGTTTCCAACATATGACAATGAAAATCTGTAAGCTTTACATTAATTGTAAAATAAGTTATATCAATTTAATTGAATTACTCTTGTTGGCCCGGGTAGAAGTGATTAAATGATGTTGTCTTGTAAAAAGTAAATAGATACATTAATATGAGAAAAAAATATAAATAATTGCATAAAAATGATAGAATGGTCAAAAGATTAGTTAATATCATAATACATGTGTATTGTAGCTGTTATAAAACATAATAAATAAAACAGTAGTCAATTTTAATACATATTATACAATCAAGACTACTTACCATTGTTAGGATTTTTGTAGGCTGTTTGCAGGTTAAATGTCCGTTAATGTTGTCGAACTGTTGATTCGATCTGACTTAAATACCTGTCCAAGCTCGACCAGAAATACCCACGTTTCCATGGGAATGGTGTAAATCTGTTGAAACCCGGATGTTTTCCCGGATTCTGTCCTTCATGACTATGTGGGATGGTGTGGTCAATTTTACCTGTACGTGCCAACCTTCAACCAGGATCTCTCGTATTTACACAAATATGATTGATTTTCACTTTTTGAACTCTACTCTCTGTTATCATGTTGATCTGGAGTTTAAGGTTTTGATCTGACACTTGATAAACATCACGTACTTAAAAAATTACATTTTTAGAATTTGTCATAAAAACATTCTCGAATTCATAATGAATTAGTTGCTAGCGTAAAATTAATGCTGAATAAGATTCGTCTACATTTATGAAATGAATGTCTATATCATACGAAATATATATATTTCCATATCTGATTATAAATTACGTGTATTGAAATGTATTTACTATCTCTTCACAATCTAATTCTTTTATAGATATACGTAAACTACGTCGCCTGCAGACGAAAGTCTCCTCATTATTTTTATAAATCTCACACTGTGCAACGGCATTGTAGACGATAAACAACAAGTCAATGATATAATCACTGAAAACAATGAAGAAATATTACAAATTACTTCCGGTATAATTTAACTATACAGAGTCGTATACTAGAAGTAAATTGCGAACATCAGTAAGTCTTTTAACTCGTTTATTTATTTCATTCTTTATTGTATCTAATAAGGTTTTTTTTTATCACAGTTTGTTTACATAGACATCGGTAGATTTTAATGTTTTAGATACACTTGAACTGAAATAATTTCACGTGTAACGACATTGTTTCCATAGTGATCACATACTTTAATAATCCAAGTCTTGATATTCCATTATCTTAGGCGAGGACAAAATATATCATGACCTTGAAAAAAAATATAGAAGCTTAATAATGGAATGAAACGGTAATATCTCATTAGTTTGATTTAAAACCTTAATACATTTGATAGTTTATTTGAACATTAAATTAGACATGGTATGTATCTAAGTGCGTGATTTTAACAATATCCTAAAATCCGTTGGTTTTTAAATCGATTTTTTTTACCACAGCCATCAAATTAATGAAGAAATGCTCCGATATAACAAACTTAAAGCTAAGTGAAACAAGCAATTTTAATTGATAAATATTACTAAATATTATTATCCGAATTTCTGATATAAATGAATGCTAAGTAATGACAAACGATGGAATTGTTTTTTCTTTCTAGCTACCTTATAGTTTTAAAGTACACGAGTATTAATGAAGATTTTGGACGTATTTTCTACAAGCAATGTTCCCCCATCCCACCTCACCCCCACCCTCCACCCCTCAAAAAAAAGAAAAAATACATAAAAGAACAAAATGGAATATCAACAAATTCTTGCGTGCTTATTCAATATATTTATTTAAATCAAAGCATTTTTTCAATGAATCAGCGATTATGTTAATATCTGATGTCACGCCCTGGTGCAAGACAAGTCGAGCAATGTTATGTTATGCACGCACGACCAATCAGCAGTTGTCCGTCGTGAAGGTCCGGTTGAGACCAGGAACCTTGTAGATCAGAGGCGTGCCACACATGACAAGGATGTCACTAAACTTGCTAGCTTACCAAGGTTAAGTGGCTGGATCATCGAGAGCTTGGTGCAGATGCACTTGGTGCTGTAATCAGCTGTCAGAGCCTTTCGTATGTTTTTGGATTGATCTGGTTCGCTGCTATTACTGTGGTTTAAGGTTTATCTAAAAAATTATATAAAACCAATTTGCGATAAATGATAAATTCTATCCACTTCAGCTTAAAATACATTTCTTACCTTAAACAAATTAGTTTTTAAATCAAAAGTCCCTTGAAATTAAGAACATTTGTTCTATAGTTCTAAAAATACTGTTTTTTCAATCTCACCGTGGTATTATTGGCGTGTGTTTATTTGTGTGTTTTGTTTTTGTTTTTAGATAAACAAGAGTGAGGGAAGGATACAGCTTACCAAACTAAAAACGGACCATGGAAGCCATGGTATCCGAGACCACGTGCCCTTGAAGATGGAAGCCGTGGAATCGGAGACCATGTGCTCTGGAAGATGGAAGGCGTGGTATTCGAGACCACGTGCCCTTGAAGATGGAAGCCGTGGTATCTGAGACCACGTGCCCTTGAAGATGGAAGCCATGGTATCCATCTTGAGTGTTGCACGGTTTTACAACACGTAAGTGAAAATTCTGTCTCGATACAACTTTCTGTTATGGAAGGGTAGCAATAACAAATTGTTGTAAGCAGGCGGCCATCTTGGATGCAGCATGGGTCTTAATGTGACCCATGCACAACCCTTTATAGGAAGTTCCTTTTAAATTCTACTTTCCGTACAGAAGGACTAGCGATAACAAGATTTTCAAGATGATTGCCCTGTCGGCCATCTTAATTATCACACCAAGCTGTCACGTGATTTCGTTTAGGACAGTGTCCGCATCACGAATGGATGTCTCTTCGTATCTGCAAACATACAGACGGACGGACGGACGACCAGAAATAAATCAGTGAAGTCTAATTAATATGTTGGATTCATTGACTAAAAAAAACACGTCTTCTTCAGGGTTTAGGAAAAATATTTTTTTATCAAATTAACTGTGATAACGCTAATCCTACAAACATGTTACGCACGCGAACATTGCTATGCAATGGCCAACGCGACGCGTGTTCTTTTACGTAAAACAGCTTTAAGTTAAACCACTAAAAACACAAGTTCTGTTTTCGTCTTGTTTCATTTACAAATGAACGTATATTGAAACACGCAGACAGGCTAATCACAGGTATGCGTTTAAAGTTTAAATCGATAAAAAATGTTGAGTTACAGAGTACTTATGATAAACTTGACGTAAAGGATTGTGAAATTCAGTGGAATTGAGAGCCGGTTAGGTACGCGTTTATTTTGACAGGTTTGATAACTTTATCTCGGTCACCTAAAAGTGCATCTCGGATATTCTCACTGTACTGAAACCCTTCCTGGTTCAGACTAGACTCACTGTCCGCATTGATTGTTAAAGGTCGCTACCTCGTACGAAAATGTTTAGATGAATCTGATTTCTATTTAGTCCCGAATTTATTTTCGTTTACAAAAAAAAATCTTATTTTATATTATAAAACTACAAACCTTAAGGTTTTTTTTTCTACAAATGCAAAACAAGCTGTGTTTACTTAAACTTATCATTCTTTTTGACCGCAATGACGTGCGCATGTGTTATTACTGTAGGAGAAAACCACACAGTAAAAACTCACGTGTACGGACAGGAGACCCATTTTAGCCCCCAAACTAAACTGAACTACATATTAGAATTGAGTGACAAAATACGAGACACCAGTCTTCGGAAATCCTTCCTAGCCTAACTAGAGTACAAGTTTCTCCCTCTAACAGCGAAACTTTGGGCCATTCAGTGGAAAAACTGGAAAACGGTAGCCAAAAACAGATCGGATTCTCTCTTCATTCCAGGTCTCAAGTCTTACATACAGTGCTGTTTTATATAATAACATCTTTTTACGTTACAGAAACGTTCTCGGTGGATTTGAAAAAAAAAATCCCTTTTTAACAATTATTTTTTCATAGCCTCAACACTAGAATAAAACATTGAAAAAAAACCCCAGAAGCTAACGGAAAGAACAAACCTTTACATTGTGTAGCTTGCCAGTTAAACACATTTTCCACCAGTCATTTAGTGAACGCATATGAAGCAGGTGTTTGAGAGGAAACTTGTGGATATATTTTGTTGTTGTTTGTTTTGTCTTATGGGTTTTCAAGTCTTTCCAAGCATCTGTTTATATGGGAATAACAACAAACTAAACTGAACTTTTTTCTTCTTCTTGTTTTTTCTTCTTTCTTTTTGTAAATTGGCCACATACAGTAAAAGTTTTATATATGTGAAAATTCAAATCGGTAAAGATTGAAGTACAAACAAAATATGACATAGTATGCAACCTTGCCGACTCCAATTTCCTGAAATATGCCCTGCAGGTAGGACAACATCGAAAGTTTTTTCCTCATGTCTCCCTTGACTTTGCCTCAATGGCCTCTGTGTCTTTGTCCTGCAGGTAGGATATAAACATTGTACCTGCTGTCCCCATTATCGTAGGAGGCGACTTAACTTGAGATATGTATCTCTCTTTTTCTTACAGACCTTGTTTTTATTAACTACTCGATATCGATTTTGGCTTAGGTTTCTCTTAAACGACGAAAGATACTTGTTCTGTATCTTGTCCGAGGACGACCAAACTCGATATAGTCGGTACTTCAATGCAGCTACCTGCCCAGCAGAACCAAGTTGAAAATATAATGACGGTCATGCACGATCATACATCGGAAAACTTTTGTCTTAAATTTAGCCATTGGTCCAAACTAGCAGTATGCGCAGACTGTGGTAAATAATTTCAGATGCGGCCATCAAGAAACGGTACATTATACGCACGTTTCTTAGAATATGAATATTCCTGTGATAAACATTTATTTCTTGGGAAATTATTATAAGGAATAATTAGTTTAGAAACGATACGACGCACAATTATAACGTAAAAATTCAGAACTGGCCTGATGTATGATTGGAAAAAAGGGAAGCGACTGGTGAACGTCTGTACTGTGTCTGCCATGTTTACACACGCAGAATATGCGCATGCGCAATGTCATCGCTACGAGCGGTAATGTATGAATTATTGTGGGTCCCACATTGTTTATTTTCCGATTTTTTCAATTTTTATTTAAATTGAAAACAGTCAGTTTTATTTTCTTTAATTAAAGGAAAATATTTGTTTTGTTACATATATTACGGGGAAAATAAGATAAAGTTTGTTTTTTATAGTGATTTTTACGTATATTGGGGCTTTAATATGTTATGTACAAACAAACGGAGTAATAACGACAATGCAGATTAGTGAATAAATGGTGCTTTTAACAAATTTCTAATTTCTAAACGGTTGTTTAACAGATTAGTTAAAATTTATGAAATAGTCCGACTACTATCAAGACGGTACAAGTCAGCTAACAAAGGAAAACAGAGAAACGTTGCTGGACTGGGTGTCCAATATTGAGTACAAAAAAAAACAACCCAAGTTTAGATGAAAATAAATACGACGAAAAATAACTACGTTTCTAATAGAAATATTTGTGTAATTAAATTAGGCGATATTCAATATCAAGATCATATTCAATATATGCATATTAACTAAGACAGACATTAAACATGCTACACATATTGATTTGGTTTATAAACTGTGATGAGTCAGGTAGGGTGTCCTTAGTACAAGTTTGCTTTGTATACTAGACAGTGAAGAGGTACAGTGTAGTATTTACATGTCCCCACATAACTTCCCGGTTCACGGTACCACTCCCACTATGTCTTATCTGTAAAATAAAGTTCAATAGTTATCATTTGATTTTCTGATGTTTAAAAGAAACGGTCTGATTGACTTATCACATCACAAACTTTGACTTTGTACAAATTAATCATCACAGAGAAATTACAAAACGACACAAAGCATGGCATCGTGTCTGCTTCTGTAGGGAACATATCCCAACAGTGCTTCGATATTTTAAGGTATACCACGTTGCATAAATCTATTGATGTTTTTGAACAAAGCTTGCCTTACCAAACTAGATGATAACTGAAAAATATTAATACAACAATTTATCTTTTAGATGACATTAATGGGTATAAATACCAACTGAACATGAAAAGCCCAGTCAATTAATTACTATCATATTTACTGTCGCCACACAGTATCATGCAGCGCTGAGTAACTTTTTCCAATAACTGATTTTCACATTCATATAGGCCTACTGCTAAAATAGGCCCGGGCAGAAGATGGCGAAAACACTTTCACTCATTATTTCATCGTGACCATTTTGTCCTATATAAAGAACCACCCAACAAATTTACCAATTATATTATTAATAATAATTTATCATTAAATTTGACGAATGAATTAATTCAAACATTTTGTCATTTGGACATAGTGTTTTCGCACTGATTTCCGTTTCTACACATTGATTTATGTAAAACAGGAGAAATTCCCTTGTGTTTGATGTTCATGCATTCTCCAATGGTTTTGTTAGATTCACTGGGTCCCAGAAGAATAATTATTTCAATGGTATAAAGGTACCACACATTTATTTATGTGTGGGTTAGCCTGTGATCTTGTATGTTTTTCAAAGAACTCATGAATGCCATATATGTGCAGTAGGTATATAGATGCATGTGTTCATGTGTAACTGTGAATTCCTTAGCCCAGATGGTGCAGCTGAACTGTAATTATTAAGATGGTAGTGAATGAACTGGTGGATGCATACGTAGGGACGGAATGTCATGAACTTTTTGATCTGCTGTGAGTATTGAACAGAGGAACCGTTTGCTGATGCCGTCTGGGTCTAAAGTGTAAATTAAATTTTATGTACAGTATATGTTACAAGACTACCAATATTTGTGCATGTATTATATGTACATATGCATGAGCTATTATACAGTTATAGAGTGTGAAAATTTTTCATGTGTGATTGAATATATATCCTAGCTGTTTATGTATATGTGTGTTATGAATGTATGCACACATGTGAGGGTCTACTATTGTGAGTCAATTATGCATGAGTATATGGATATGCATGCATATGTGTGTTATAAATGTATGCATGCATGTGAAGGTTTACTATTGACAGTCAATAATGCATGAGTGTATGGATGTGCATGTATATGTGTGATATGAATGTATGCATGCATGTGAGGGTTTACAACCGAGAGTCAACTATGCATGAGTGTATGGATATGCATGCATATGTGTGATATGAATGTATTCATGCATTTAGGTTTACTTTTATGAGTCAATCAAGCATAAGTGTATGGATGTGTGCAGTCATTGAATCTGAGTTTATCTTATGTTACTCTGGATATGTAGTATAATCTACTTATGAATTTTTATGATGATCATATCCCTGCCATATATTGTTCTACCATCTTTGGTTATCAATTGACTCAAACTGTGATTATTGTTCACTACTCTTGTGCAAGTGGATCATTGTCTGCTATCTATTATTTTTTATAAGTTTACCAATATATAAATAATGAAATATATATCAATGCTATCATATTAGCCCTGGTATCTATCTTTGTCTACTCTATTTAAATCTCTAATAATTCACCAAACTCTTATTCCCTACTGGTATATTTTAAATCATAGATCCCCTAAAATGTTTATTTCTCTGTCACTCCCTTTCCTGTTTCTTTTACACTGCCTCTTGCTCAATCTTTACTCTTTTTGTTACTTGACCTATCCTGCATAGCCAGAATAGTCACAGGTTTACCTATTTACACAAAAATAGATTTTCTATATAGAGAAACAGGATGGTTACCTCTTTCAAAAAGAAGAGAAGCTAGGAAGCTCTCCCTCTTTTACTCGATAGTTAACAACTTGGCACCTGATTTCCTTATTGATTTATTACCTGATATTGTTGGTAACTTAGTCCCCTATAATTTAAGACGAGCCCATTTAATGAGAGATCAACAATTCCGTTTACAAATATCTCATAATTCTTTTTTTCCTTCTGCAACTAATCTTTGGAACAACCTGAACAATGATATTAGAAATTCACCCACTTTAAATTCTTTCAAGCTAAATCTTAAAAAATCTATGTCTGTGAATAGTACTCTCCACAAGCGATTTATTAGTTATGGCTCCAGAAAATTAAATATCATCCACTGTTTTCTCCAAAACCGTGCAAGTCCACTCAATTATGATCTTTTTAGGGCTAATCTTGTAAATTCACCAAAGTGTCAATGTGGGCACCCGTGTGAAGATTCTTATCATCATTTTTTTAATTGTCCTTTATATGCTGATCAACGTAGAGTACTATACCAAGAATTAATATGGTATGACGGTATTGTTAATGTAAATATTCTTTGCAATGGTGACTCTAATATCTCTGTGGATGATAACCTAAAATGGCCAAATCGGTCCAAACATTCCTAGGAAGGTCAGGAAGATTCACTTAAATTCTCTCTCCTCCTCCACCCCCCCCCCTTTTTTTTTTTCTCTTTCTCTCTCTCCCATTCTACATCCCTCTTTCTATCACTCTTTCTCTATGCCACACCCTGTTCTTATCTCTCTGTCTGTTTCTTTATTTTTTGTCCACTTATACATTTTACATAAAAAGACTATTATAATAGTTTCATGTCACCATGTGACCATATTTATGTAAATGTTTATGTGTATGTTGTAGGAGAAGTCATTTATAAGTTGGTAAAACTTACTGACTAATCCTATTGTCAATGTCATTGTCAATAAAATATGTTTAAACTAAACCACACATTTGTAGGTGTTAATCATGCATTTTGTTCAACTAGTGGTTATCACAGAGTTTCACACCATTTCAGATTATGAATATCTGTATTGATAAGTATTGATAAAAAATAAATTCATCATCAATTTTGTAACTGTTTTATTCATTTTGGCAAATTATTTCAATAAGTGCAAAGAGCATATATAAAAGTATATATAATCTAACTTAAAAAGAAATATATAACAGCACAAATGACATGTATGCGGACAATGACAGTTTACAGAACAATTAGTTAACAAAATAGGGAGAGGACAGGATAATACCACTAAATCCTCCACACAGACCAGAACAGATCTCTTGGGACAGGTAAATATGGTTTTAATATCATAACGTCATAGTTCATCATTATATAATAAATGTAGCAATGCGACATGGATAAAGAGTAGTATTAACCAGCATGTAGGAATTAAGCACCAGGAATCACAATACAGAAATTAATTGCAAAATAAGACAACATCTTCATAATTAACAGAAGCTGATACAGCTGAATAGATCCTAGAACCGGTAAAATATTGTGTAGAATAGTTGTTTTAAAACTCCACATATAAATCTGTACAAGGTACAATGGTTACAATATTAACAAGATTTCTAATATTTCTACTGTAAAAATTTTTTTTTTTATTTTTAGTGATATCAAAATGATATTACATCCAACTATCAACAGAATGGTTTTATTTGTTTAAAAATTCTCATTTTTACTCCTATTTTGTTTTGTCTGAACTTAAAATGATATTACTCAGGAATTAAAACAAGCACTAGCAACTGTTTCGCCATTACAAATTAGAAATTCCTTACTTACATTTGATAGTACATAATGATGCAGTGAAACTAGTCATCTATTTTACTAAAATCATTTCATCTGATAAAAGAAAAATGAACATATTTACTATTCCTCTGAAATTAAAATGATAGACATGTTCGCAAATACAGGGAAGACAGTATTTGGTGGTAAAACGCTTGTTTGAACTGCCTACCAAACAGTAAATACCACAGCTGTTAAGATGTCGCGAGCATTATGAACTAAACTAAGAGTCACCACAAACATCGTGTTTACAAGAAACAATGTTATAATGACTCAGCTAAGTAACAGGACTTCTCCATGTTAATTTATGAGTAATAAAGTGATCAAGATATCTAAAACCTTAAGTCCATCCAGTATCTTGATATAAAATGTGAAACTGTGATGCTATTCTCCCACATGTAAAATGAATTAAGACCTGTATACTGAACATGAGAAATCGCATTCTAGTGCATGTAAGATTTTGTTGACTGTTTGTTTCTGATATTTTTTTCCATCTATGCTTCGCACGTGATACTGACTTTACGAAAACTTTATTATGAAACATCACAGTGAATTTTTCTGCTGTGTTAAGTGCCACCATATTTATTTTTTTATTTTCTTTTATGTTTGAACATTTTCCAATGAATTTCAAGAATAACATTGAAGAGCAATAAAATATATCTAACCTAGTCTTGCCAGACATGCGTAGATGTACACACTAAATCAATTGAGCAAACATCTTTATTTAAAGCACTTAGTTGACCGCATATCATAAACAATGACACCCATTGCGGTGTCACCGTATCCTTGTGCACTATCTGCCGAACGTATGACGAGGCCAGAGTACGAGTTTTCACATTACTCAGCATTCTTTATACACTACATGAATTTCTTAGAACTACCTTCCCCCAAAGAAAATGTAAACTGTACATAGAAAACCGAAATTACCTGAAAGTAAGGTTCACTGCCTTGTACCCATCCCAATTGTACAGGAGTGGTCAGGATCACTGTTAAGTGATAATTGACTTGGACAATAAAATTTATCAGCAATGACATTGATTATCAACAATGTGAACAGGGATATTTATTTCATCTGCACACTTTATCATGTCACTATGTTATCAGAGGTTTGAACCCCCCTCCCAGGTAAGTAATATGGTAAGACTACCCCACCCATCCCCCAAGTGGTTTGACCCTCAGGTAATCAGAATAATATGGTGACAGTGGTTTGAGTGGTTTGACCCACAGGTTTGGCAATGTCATACAAAATGTAGATCTAAAAAAACAGCAGTTTTACTCAAAATATTTGCCAGATATTGTGTACGTCGTGTCAGCTTGCTAAATTTGATTGAGTAAATAGATATGGTACAATTTAGGTATAACAAATACAAGATGCTGAATGACCTAAGAGCAGAAAGGACAGGTCACCTGCCTCCCTTTGACTAGAGGGAATTTTCCTCAAGTCAAGCAGAATGATGTCCAACTACAAAAGCAAGCTGTGGAGTCAGGGTGTTTTTCAACTGAAGTGTAAAATTCACCTGTTACAGATGTACAACTTGACATTATAGTCTAGTGTTATTTGATTGGATAATGTAATGGTCAGGTGATATTCTGAGGTCATAAGACAGATGCTGATTTTTTTGTCATGATACTGGCTTTGTTCACTAAATGATAATGATTTTGGTCATGTCAAGTTTGAGGTATTTTGATTAGTACAAATAGAGCCATAACTGTGCTCTGTTAGATCAGGATACTTAACATACCTGTCACAAAAGCACAGGGTTAGAAAACTATTGTTGATATATATTTACATGAAGAGAATCTATCTCTAATATTCTTAGACGTGAAATGATTAACATATATGAAGGTTTCAAATAAAATAAGTTTTCATGAATGAAGTAGTTATTAAACGCTTACCATATACAGGTATAAAACAAAATTTCAATTCATTGCTAGATATTCATTTAATTCAAAAGTGTATCATTTATTAAAAGAAAAGTAAAACAAGCTAGTTGAAATACCTGATTAGGCATACTTAATGCGAGACTTTCTAATCTTGAAAAATGAAGCATTCCGGGTCCTTATCAGACAACAGTTATGAAATCAATATCATTCTCAGTAAACATGGAATTATCAACAATATTGGAGTTTGTAGTTGTTATTCATAAGTTTTAATTAAAACAATTGACACCTATTTGTAAAAATGATGTAATAATTAGGTTAAACTGTAATGCCCAAACCACTAAAATAATTGAACCATATCTGTTTTCTCTGTGATAAAAATGATATTTTAGATACTTTCCAGGTATTGGCCTCCACTATAATCATCCCTAATAAACCTGCCGTTTATCCTTATATGGAGAAAAACGAATACATGTGATGAAAAGTACACTATAAATAGAGAAAACAAGTAGGTACAAGTAATTTTATTTAACTTTGATTTAAGAGTTTTAAGAACAAGAGGCCCATGGGCCTTAATGGTCATCTGACATAAAATACAAGATTTCAAATTTTGAACTTGAGAAGAAGTCGAAAATGGGTTTTCAAGATGGCGGCCATGTTGGATTTCGGACCAACCCGAAATTAAAAAACTTTGGTCAGGATCATGTCACGATCATTTCAGGTAAGTTTCAGCTCAATGAGATATGTAGAAAGGCGATTGCAATAGGTCATCAGACCCTTCAGTCAGTTGACCTAAAAATACCATTCTGACCCTCAGTAATAATGTTTTCAAATCTTTCATGGCATTTATAAGGTGTATACCAGATACACTGTATATCTGTAATATTGGAAAACTAACTAACCATTCAGGGAATATCGTATTTGAAATCTACTTGCCTTACAAACTAATGCATGATAAAAATATCTGAACATCCAAGTAATTTACATAAGTTACAAATCATCAATAAAGCAAGTTCATGTGGAATAAAAAATGCACAAATAATGTTAATTTAAATACATTTATCAGCACAAATATTATCTCTCAATTCTCCCTCATATCACATATGCTTGCAAAATCTGGAGTTTGAAAAAAAACACTTTAATATAACGTGATACAGTATCAGATAATTGCTTCAAATTTAATTGGTAATCAATTAATGTAAAAAGCTATCATCTCCACACGATGTGTTAGAGGTGTGCTAATTGCACCATCTTTTAGATCACTGAAACTTTCCAGCTTTAAATCATGTCAAGAGAAATATTCAATTTGATTGAGACCTGTAATATCATTAGATTCATATCCAGTGAAGTATCACAGAAAAGTCTTTTGGGTTTGTTCTGTTAAATATCTCTTAGTCCCTTGAAACATTTACTTTGAACCGATACACAAAGGCTAGTCTATGTCTCCTGGAGAGGTTGGAGAATCTAACTCTATACCAGTAACACTCGACCAGTCTATGTCACCTGGAGAGGTTGGAGAATCTAACTCTATACCAGTAACACTCGACCAGTCTGTGTCACCTGGAGAGGTTGGAGAATCTAACTCTATACCAGTAACACTCGACCAGTCTATGTCACCTGGAGAGGTTGGAGAATCTAACTACCAGTAACACTCGACCAGTCTATGTACCTGGAGAGTAACACTCGTAACACTAGGCCAGTCTATGTCACCTGGAGAGGTTGGAGAATCTAACTCTATACCAGTAACACTAGGCCAGTCTGTGTCACCTGGAGAGGTTGGAGAATCTAACTCTATACCAGTAACACTCGACCAGTCTGTGTCACCTGGAGAGGTTGGAGAATCTAACTCTATACCAGTAACACTCGACCAGTCTATGTCACCTGGAGAGGTTGGAGAATCTAACTCTATACCAGTAACACTCGACCAGTCTATGTCACCTGGAGAGGTTGGAGAATCTAACTCTATACCAGTAACACTCGACCAGTCTATGTCACCTGGAGAGGTTGGAGAATCTAACTCTATACCAGTAACACTCGACCAGTCTATGTCACCTGGAGAGGTTGGAGAATCTAACTCTATACCAGTAACACTCGACCAGTCTATGTCACCTGGAGAGGTTGGAGAATCTAACTCTATACCAGTAACACTAGGCCAGTCTGTGTCACCTGGAGAGGTTGGAGAATCTAACTCTATACCAGTAACACTCGACCAGTCTATGTCACCTGGAGAGGTTGGAGAATCTAACTCTATACCAGTAACACTAGGCCAGTCTGTGTCACCTGGAGAGGTTGGAGAATCTAACTCTATACCAGTAACACTAGGCCAGTCTATGTCACCTGGAGAGGTTGGAGAATCTAACTCTATACCAGTAACACTAGGCCAGTCTATGTCACCTGGAGAGGTTGGAGAATCTAACTCTATACCAGTAACACTAGGCCAGTCTATGTCACCTGGAGAGGTTGGAGAATCTAACTCTATACCAGTAACACTAGGCCAGTCTATGTCACCTGGAGAGGTTGGAGAATCTAACTCTATACCAGTAACACTAGGCCAGTCTATGTCACCTGGAGAGGTTGGAGAATCTAACTCTATACCAGTAACACTAGGCCAGTCTGTGTCACCTGGAGAGGTTGGAGAATCTAACTCTATACCAGTAACACTAGGCCAGTCTATGTCACCTGGAGAGGTTGGAGAATCTAACTCTATACCAGTAACACTAGGCCAGTCTGTGTCACCTGGAGAGGTTGGAAATCCAACTAAACTCTATATCAGTCATACTAGGCCAGTCTGTGTCACCTGGAGAGGTTGGAGAGCGTGTTGGTGGAGGCAGTGGTAGGGGGAGGGATGGTGCTGTCGTCAGTGCTGTGATCTTCGTACATCATCACTTTGAACATTGGGCTGGTCTGTAGCACCATCTCAACCACATCCTCACGATTAAATTCCAGCAACTTTCCCACAAGCTGGCCAATGGTACATTGTGGGGCTACTTTTGACCACTCTAATAGTACACGGTCAGTTTTACTCTCACCACTGTTGACACGGGTAATGTTATTGTCCAGGCCTGGTAAAAGATTCTGTAGCCCCAGAGTCACAGCCAGTAAACACCAGTCACGCCCCATTGGTTCGGGTGGGTCTAACATATTACTAAGGGTACGCCTGGTGTGAACAGTCAAGTGTGATATAGGCAGATCTATTCCTAGAGTTACATTTTGGACGACCTCTAAGGATCCTAAGAACATGAGGTCAGCAAGGTCTTCAGATCGGGCATCTGGAAGCTGAACACAATTAGTCTTATTTCGCTGTGCACGCATTATGTGGAGTGGAGAAAAAGTGTGCACATTTTTGGAATGGTCTTTGAGATGCAGACAGCTTGACAAATGTCTTTCTAAACAAAGACCGGGACATACACTTAAAGTTGTCTGTTCTACTACATGTATAAAATCCTCGAGGAAATAAAATAACTGAGTTCGTCCATCTGCTGGTCCACGAACTTTTATTTCTAAGTGTTGTTCATGTCTGTCCATTCCCAGAATTCCTTCCATCTCTCCACAACAGTACTTAGATCCATGGTGCCACTGGTACAACTCAGCATCTGGGTCCTCTGATTCCTGAAGTACGTTGTGGCGGAGTGACACCTGGATACGTGCAAACAGATGTTTAAGCTGTCCTCCAAGTTCTGGGTCTGTCTGCATACGGACCCCACCATACACAGCACTTCCGAATCTCTTCGAATCCTTCTGCCATAGACCATTCAATGTCTCTATGAAATTTAAACATGGAAATTCATACTCAATCTCTCCTTCATTGTCACATTGTGTACACACTTCTAAGGCCTCTAGAACCTGTAGTAAGTCAAGTGCATCTGTCTCAGGGTACATTAACTGGAAATCATCCACTGTGAAGCAGCCGGTAATACGAGACTGGATTATCTTCTCCTGGCTGATGAGGTTGCCGATGATGTCTTCACACAACCACTTGGGGTGAAGTATTACAAGATCCTGTGAGGTATCACATTCCAGGTACACAATCTATAAAACAAAACACTCTTATATTTCAGTGGAAAATTTTACCATGTTAGTAATTTTTGTTGGATGAAAATGATCAAACCAACACAAATATTTTGTATAAATGAAAATACTACAGAAATACTATATTGTTTGTTCCTTGGGGATTTGTTTTGCTATATTCACTGTCATCAAAGATAGCACAAAATTAAATACCTAGCAAATATTTAGCAGTGAACCCAAATATATGGATAACAAAATCTATATGGTAAGCTTGTAGACATGGATACATTGTTTAGACATGTGTGAAATTTAATCACCATGGAATAGTCCAAACTGAGATGACTGAAATATTAGCCCTGTAAAACAACTAAACAGTAATACACCCAACCATATACAACACTAATGATTTGCAAAAGGAAATGACAAGTAGGCTTTGGATTTGAATAGAAATAAAGATAATAACACACATTAAATTGGTTTAAAAATCTTAAAAAACTAATAAAGTTTTTTAGATTATCAATTCCCACAACAAAATCATCTTGTTGGAAGTCACTGTTTGAAGAGCCCTCTATGTACCTCTCCTATGAGCTGAAGTTCCTCTACTAAAATCTTCATGTGGTCATCTCCGGCCAGCGGATTGATCTTAGCTCGTACATATTCCACAAACTGTTGCCATGACAACACTGGGAAGGAGGAAGAAGACCGTCTCCAGGACGGTAGTTGTGTTACCATGGCATCTAGGAAACCGTTACTACGGGGAAGGTGCTGAAAGAAAAAAAGGATTTCTAAATAAAGGAAATTGTACATAACATCTTTTGATTTTTCCTTTTTTAGTTCAAATCTAGACAAAACAAAACAATTATTATGAAATTTTTATGTTTTTTTTTTTTGCAAACCTGACTCACCCCAATTATCTGTGTTCGCATATCACTGATTTGTTGTTTCAAGGCTTTGATATCATTTGACATAGCAACATTGGCATCCAATATGAAGACCCGCTCCACAAAATTGATGTCAGATGAGAATTTGAGTTGGGCCTTTGCAAGGACCCGACTGGCAGTGGGACACACATACTCTCCCCTGGCGTTCTTGTGGCATCCCACCTTATCAGCATGCGTGGCCACCAGGAGGACCCTTGGACAGTTGGGCAGTCGACCACAATGACCTGGGCAAGTAAGGATCATAATTAATAAATAAATGTGATATCGAAAGCTTATCTACCTGCCACTATATGTCAAATTTCATGAAACTTAATGTCATTGCTACTAATTGTAATACTAAATTTTTTGGAAGTTAGACACAAGAAGATGTTGTAGATATAAAGTCAAACTCTCTGGCTATAAAGGCCACCTGTATATAACAAATGTCTGGTCCTAAACGCCACCTGTATATAACAAATGTCTAGTGATAAAGGCCATCTCTATATAACAAATGTCTAGTGATAAAGGCCACCTCTATATAACAAATGTCTGTCTATAAAGGCCATCTATATATAATAGATGTCTAGTGATAAAGGCCACCTCTATATAACAAATGTCTAGTGATAAAGGCCACCTCTATATAACAAATGTCTAGTGATAAAGACCACCTCTATATAACAAATGTCTGTCTATATAGGTCACCTCTATATAACAAATGTCTAGTGATAAAGGCCACCTCTATATAACAAATGTCTAGTGATAAAGACCACCTCTATATAACAAATGTCTAGTGATAAAGGCCACCTCTATATAACAAATGTCTGTCTATAAAGGCCATCTATATATAATAGATGTCTAGTGATAAAGGCCACCTCTATATAACAAATGTCTAGTGATAAAGGCCACCTCTATATAACAAATGTCTAGTGATAAAGGTCACCTATATATAACAAATGTCTAGTGATAAAGACCACCTCTATGTAACAAAATGTCTAGTGATAAAGGCCTCCTCTATATAACAAATGTCTAGTGATAAAGACCACCTCTATATAACAAATGTCAAGTGATAAAGACCACCTATATATAACAAATGTCTAGTGATAAAGGCCACCTCTATATAACAAATGTCAAGTGATAAAGACCACCTCTATATAACAAAAGTCAAGTGATAAAGGCCACCTCTATATAACAAATGTCTAGTGATAAAGGCCACCTCTATATAACTAATGTCTGGTGATAAAGACCACCTCTATGTAACAAAATGTCTAGTGATAAAGGCCACCTCTATATAACAAATGTCTAGTGATAAAGGCCACCTCTATATAACAAATGTCTATATAACAAAATGTCTAGTGATAAAGGCCTATATAACAAATGTCTATATATCTATATAACAAATGTCAAGTGATAAAGGCCACCTCTATATAACAAATATCTAGTGATAAAGGCCACCTCTATATAACAAATGTCTGTCTATAAAGGCCACCTATATATAATAGATGTCTAGTGATAAAGGCCACCTCTATATAACAAATGTCTAGTGATAAAGGCCACCTCTATATAACAAATGTCTAGTGATAAAGGCCACCTCTATATAACAAAAGTCAAGTGATAAAGGCCACCTCTATATAACAAATGTCTAGTGATAAAGGCCACCTCTATATAACAAATGTCTAGTGATAAAGGCCACCTCTATATAACAAATGTCTGTCTATAAAGGCCACCTCTATATAACAAATGTCTAGTGATAAAGGCCACCTATATATAATAGATGTCTAGTGATAAAGACCACCTCTATATAACAAAAGTCAAGTGATAAAGGCCACCTCTATATAACAAATGTCTAGTGATAAAGGCCACCTCTATATAACAAATGTCTGTCTATAAAGGCCACCTCTATATAACAAATGTCTAGTGATAAAGGCCACCTATATATAATAGATGTCTAGTGATAAAGGCCACCTGTATATAACAAATGTCTAGTGATAAAGGCCACCTCTATATAACAAATGTCTAGTGATAAAGGCCACCTCTATATAACAAATGTCTAGTGATAAATGCCACCTCTATATAACAAATATCCATAAAGGCTACTGGATTCAATCCCACTGTAGCATAATTCATAGCATTTGAATCTCTAAAAGAAAAAGCTACATGTACTTTCCTTTAAAGACTTTGTTTTGCGCTATTACTTAAAGTGGCATTTACAGGCATTTACTCTGCATACATTTTTTATGTAATATTTCCACAAATTATATGTGCAAGTTCATGGATGAGCTTACCTATAGGGACATGCGGAGGCACACGAGACTTAAGGAAGCCAAGCCAAAACTGAACTTGTGCAATCTGCTCGTCATATGTATCTGTGAGACTGAACACAATCAGGTGTATACAGTTAGAATCACCAAGGAAGTGATCATACAGCATGTAGTAAGGCTCATATCCGGAGAAGTCCCATACACTTACATCTCCTATACCTGTTAAAACACATTTGAAGGGACAAATAAATATGTTCAAAGGTTTAGACTGACATTCTGTGAACCTACCTAATATCGAGACAAGGTAGATATTGACATTCTGGTACTCTGTGAACCTACCTAATATCGAGACAAGGTAGATATTGACATTCTGGTACTCTGTGTGAGACAAGGTAGATATTGACATTCTGGTACTCTGTGAACCTATTCAATATTGAGACAAGGTAGATATTGACATTCTGGTACTCTGTGAACCTATTTAACATTGAGACAAGGTAGATATTGACATTCTGGTACTCTGTGAACCTATTTAACATTGAGACAAGGTAGATATTGACATTCTGGTACTCTGTGAACCTATTTAACATTGAGACAAGGTAGATATTGACATTCTGGTACTCTGTGAACCTACCTAATATCGAGACAAGGTAGATATTGACATTGTGGTACTCTGTGAACCTATTTAACATTGAGACAAGGTAGATATTGACATTCTGGTACTCTGTGAACCTACCTAATATCGAGACAAGGTAGATATTGACATTCTGGTACTCTGTGAACCTATTCAATATTGAGACAAGGTAGATATTGACATTCTGGTACTCTGTGAACCTACCTAATATTGAGATAAGAAAGATACAAAGTTGTCTTGATATTCTGGTACTCAGTAAACTTACCTGATATTGAAACCTGTTGTACATTAATACCCTTGGTATAGATTGGGTTACTAACACTGTAACACAGGGGTGTTGGCAAACTGTACTGACGTGGCAGGCGTGGTCGACCTAAAACATTACATTTACGCACATCATCAAAACTACTTTACAAATAACAAGATGCAATTACCAGATATATGAGTACAATGATTTAAACAAAGAGGAAGTCATCACTAAGGTTTACAAGCCTGGCGATGTTTACCTTTCCCAGAATCAGTGGAAGCTTGACTGGTGAGGCGCGACCGACGAAATAGCCCACTGAACAGGCCACATTTGAGAGTCTCCACTAGGGTAGACTTTCCCACACCAGTTGATCCCAGCAGCTTTAACTTGATCCTAGAGAGAGGCTGGGAGGAGGGGATCAGCTGGGTCACAAAGTTACCAGCCCTGTCCTGTAAATATCAAAATACAGGTTTGATGTTACTGACCTTGGGTAAATGTTGAAACATATAACAATAACCACATACTGTTGAAACTTTGACATATGTATTACACCTTGTATGCTTTATTTATCCAATAATAAGCCAGTGTCTTGTATTAACACCATCCATACAAATTTCAGTTCTATAATTATGTGAATAAAAGATCCTAGCTGTTGATGGTTAGTAAACCTTGTAAACAAATCCTTAGTACATTGTGTTTACTGTGTAATAACTTACTCGTTTCACCTTGTTGACAAGCTCTGCTATGTCGGTGAATCCCTGGGCTAGAGCCATGATCTCTGACGTCACACCATCCTGTAAAATTATGTGTAATGCTCAGCAAGTATAGATATTCCATTATTCGTCTAGGAAAAGTGTGGAGCTCCGGATCATTTTAATTGAATGCATAAATCATGTAAAATTGTATGGTGGAAATCTGTTGTCTAGGTTTTTCAGTATACAAGTAACTTCAAACTGAACATTCTGTCATAAAAACTTTTATTATATACAGAAATATTCCTAGATACCATGGTAACTTACTTTCTTGATTAAATGCACAGGAGATATTTGCTGTTGTATTGTAGGAAAATCAGTAGAACAGAACCATATTAGGTAGGAGCTTACTTTGTTTGTGATCTCTGGCCGAGCCCCAGACAAAAGCAGGCATCGTACAATCTCAGTGTGACCATGCTTACATGATAGATGTAAGGGTGTAAAACCGTCCTGGAGAAATAATTACATTCAATTACATTATAAAGTGACATGTATCAGTACTTTTTAAAAAATATATTTTTCTTAATGTTTTAAAATTTGATTTTGTCTCCCAAACCATGGGGGAGTAAAGACATTAATTACCTCCCTTTTGCTATGCAGTACAGTTAGATTTTGTATTTTCTAGCTGATGTTTCACCCTAGTCCTAGTATCAAACATCACTCCAGGTGTCGTATACCTCGGAGATTCACCCTATGTAATCAGGGTAACTGTAAGTGAGGGGCAGACTAATATTGTATAGACCACGTGCCCTTCACCTCTAAAGAGCAGGAGGTTAAATCCATGAAGGTTCCCTTGCACTAAATATAGACTCAATATTCTGAGATCATTTCATTGCAGAAAAAATCTATCCTTTGACATCGGTGTGATCTACAGATGAATTTACTACTTTACCTGACTGATAATGTCCACCTGACAACCAAAGGCACACATGGTCTGGACGACAGCTGACAGCCCCTCTCTAGCAGCACAATGTAGGGCACACTCACCACTCTCCTGATGACAAAACATTAGATATATATTACCCCAACCCTTCTTCGCACACCATCTTATTTCTATCTGAAAATTTGCAATGGAAAATTCAAACTCTTTTAATTCTGTTATCCAACTGATGCATTAGCAAAAACTGTCTGTTATTTGCAAAAAGATAGTGATATAACAAGTACATTTTACAAGTATATTCCTTCTTAAATCAGAGAGAAAAACTTTAGAAACTCAGAGCACAATAAAAAAAGCTTAGACAACACAAAGAACATGGTGAAATATGTACCCTGACATTTCAGTTGAGACTGACAAAGATACATACGACAGAACTACATTAGATACAATAGAATTTTGTCTCAATTTAGGAAGTGCACCTTATCAATAATGTCCATTTCACAGCCAGCATGCAGAAGAACCATTGCTATGTTGCTGTGGCGACGGTTACAAGCCAAATACAAGGCTGTGCCTCCTCTCTGCAAAAATAAAATCAAAGAAAAAAAAATTCAAACAAAATGAAAATTTAAAGCACAAAAAAAAGCAAAAAGAAGATAGATAGAGAAGAAAAAGATTTTCTTCACAGTAAAATATACTTCAATTCAGAATACTTGAACATACACAAACATCAGCACACTGCAAGTGTTAATAATTTCATAGCAGACATTAAACTTTTTTCCTTAGATATACTTTCCTTGTGTACAGTTAAAAATAAATACTTGTGCATCAATTTAGCTGAAAATTTTAGTTGTTTCCACATAGTTCATAGTTTTTGCTTAAAATGTAGAGTGTAAGAATCATGATAATGACAGTAACACAGGATAACAACAGAGAAAGTTATCAAGATGTCTTACATATACCATCAGCGATGTTATCATTTCACACAAAATATGGAAATGAGACAAAAATTTAAAATAATGCACATGCATTTTTACAAGCATTCAAACTATAATTCAGAATCAAAAAAGGCAAGTTGCACTGGTTTGAACACACAGAGGCTGTATGTCCTAAACAATACATAGTATATACGGTGTTCACACAGAGGCTGTATGTCCTAAACAATACATAGTATATACGGTGTTATCACAGAGGCTGTATGTCCTAAACAATACATAGTATATACAGTGTTATCACAGAGGCTGTATGTCCTAAACAATACATAGTATATACAGTTTTCACACAAAGGCTGTATGTCCTAAACAATACAGAGTATATACAGTGTTCACACAGAGGCTGTATGTCCTAAACAATACATAGTATATACGGTGTTATCACAGAGGCTGTATGTCCTAAACAATACATAGTATAAACAGTGTTATCACAGAGGCTGTACGTCCTAAACAATACATAGTATATACAGTTTTCACACAAAGGCTGTATGTCCTAAACAATACAGAGTATATACAGTGTTCACACAGAGGCTGTATGTCCTAAACAATACATAGTATATACGGTGTTATCACAGAGGCTGTATGTCCTAAACAATACATAGTATATACAGTGTTATCACAGAGGCTGTATGTCCTAAACAATACATAGTATATACAGTTTTCACACAAAGGCTGTATGTCCTAAACAATACAGAGTATATACAGTGTTCACACAGAGGCTGTATGTCCTAAACAATACATAGTATATACGGTGTTATCACAGAGGCTGTATGTCCTAAACAATACATAGTATATACAGTGTTCACACAGAGGCTGTATGTCCTAAACAATACATAGTATATACGGTGTTATCACAGAGGCTGTATGTCCTAAACAATACATAGTATATACAGTGTTCACACAGAGGCTGTATGTCCTAAACAATACATAGTATATACGGTGTTATCACAGAGGCTGTATGTCCTAAACAAATACATAGTATATACAGTGTTATCACAGAGGCTGTATGTCCTAAACAATACATAGTATATACAGTTTTCACACAAAGGCTGTATGTCCTAAACAATACAGAGTATATACAGTGTTCACACAGAGGCTGTATGTCCTAAACAATACATAGTATATACGGTGTTATCACAGAGGCTGTATGTCCTAAACAATACATAGTATATACAGTGCTATCACAGAGGCTGTATGTCCTAAACAATACATAGTATATACAGTGTTCACACAAAGGCTGTATGTCCTAAACAATACATAGTATATACGGTGTTCACACAGAGGCTGTATGTCCTAAACAATACATAGTATATACGGTGTTCACAAAGAGGCTGTATGTCCTAAACAATACATAGTATATACAGTGTTATCACATGACAGACTGGCACTTACTTTATCCATCTGGTTGACAGGAGCTCCATAGTCAAGGAGAATCTTAACAACGTCCAGGTATCCTCGGGCTGAAGCATTGTGTAGAGCAGTCTCACCTTCCTTTAGAAAGAACAACAGGTATTACTACTCAAACATTGCATTGTTTTAAATAATTAATAGGTAGAATGTAAGTACATGTATATATGTTTAATATTATTCTGTACTGGTTTTAAGTAAATGAATAGCATGTGCTATGGAAGTAACTTTTCATGGATCTGTTTGTATTCACAACTTGAAAAAAATACAACCCCCATCCATCCAGTAAATATGATATTCTATAGAATTGGAATAAAATTAAAAGGGAGACAACTCAAATCAATGCTTGAATTTATAAGTGGCTTTGAAACATGATTACGGTCTATATTGTACACAAATATTGACTAATATTTATTCAATTAAAACAAAAAACAAAAATGGGAAAGAAAAAAATTTTATACTTCAGGGACCAGTTAATGTTAATTCAATAAACAAGATGTTAAAAAGCAAAATTAAAATTGTAATTAAACATTATCTACAGAAACCCACTCTAAATATTACCAAAACCTAACCTTGATATTAGTAACAATCAACACATGATAGATTTGTGAATCATCATTTGATATCATTGTTGCTTATGCTTCATTTAAGTTTTTTCAAATGAAGCCCATAAACATGAACCAAGGGCAAATTTACCGACATCCTATTTGTGTAAGATGGTAAAGACTGAAGAAATGATTACACTCTGCTTCAAAGTATTGACACATTGGTTTTACATTGCCATATGCTTCTTGCTTTCACTTACTGCATATGTTTCTGAAATTTTATTTATGGCCTGGAATTATTTCTAAAAACATAAGTTTAAGTCTCATGAGATTTTGTTTCTTACTCCTTAACATTGCCATGCTTTACAATAGAGTTGTAACAAGTAAAATATTGGGTTACTAGTTCATTGCATTGGGTACAAAGTAAGTTAGTACCTTGTTCTCTGCATCTATCTTAGCCCCTGAGGAACAGAGAGAGGTTACGATCCGGAGGAAGCCGTGCCAGGAGGCACTGTGTAAAGCTGTCTCACCGAGCTGTAGGCACACAGGATAGAAGCCACTAAAGTGTTAGCTGTTAAAATGCTCATCTTCCCACATCAAATATTCATATCTTCAATTAAACTTCAAATTCTTTAAATAAGAAATATTTATTTTGTCCATTTATGTATAGCATGTGTTTAGAACAAATTTAAAATTCAAGAATATTTCTATCAAACTTATTGTCCACAAAAATAATTCTTTATTATTTTCAAGTGTGATATGCAGTTAAGAAGTCATATCACATGTAAAATTGGTTTGTGAAATTCACAAAAAATTCAATTCAAAAGACCCTAACATTTGTACAGACACATTGGTACCTAATTCAATAACAGAAACACAGTATATCTGAGTATGTGTTAGCAAGCTCTAAATTCTGATTGGCTGTTAATATCTTTTTTTAGAATTGAAACAAGCAAAATGTTAGACTGCAAGATCAAGACACAAAGAAGACGTTTACAAAATATGTTCTCCTGAATATGAATGAAGATAAGGAGTCAAAGTTCAGGGATGAAAGGTCATGCTTACATTATCCTGCAGGTTGACATTAGTTCCAGCAGAGCACAAAAAATCTACAACTGCAGCATGTCCATATCTTGCAGCAACATGGAGAGCAGATTCACCTGACTGGAATAAGATATAAACATGACATACTCAACATTCTTAAAATCAAACTTCTTATTCCAACTCATTACTTGTCTGTATGGTGCCCATACAGGTGATAAAGAGATGCACAAATCATTTTCTGGTGGCTGGTGATGCTGTTTAAGACTCCAGAATTCTCCAACTTGAAAAATAAAGAAGCCAAAAGCAGTATCAAAGAAATATTTACAATCTCTACATTTATAGGCGACATATTTCCTGAAAAATATAGGAATATTTTTCAAAAAATAGGAAAATAAAGGAAATATAGGTCTTTCAAAATATAGGTTTTTGAACCAAAATATAGGAATATAGCGATCGGTTGACAGTCTGCCTTTGGTGGCAGCCTCAGTTGTCGGGATTGTTTATTTTCTGGACTGATGTACAAAGTCAGACTTAACTTATGTTCCTACAGCAATGAAGATATCTAGGTATATATAAAGTAATAGTAGTTGATAGAGACAACTGAGTATCAGATTTATCATTAGAATGTCACTAGGACTAGGAAAATAGCACAGGAATCCCCTTACTTCTATGTTAACCAGAACATGATCAGGGGTAGAACTTGATGTTAAGACACTATGGGGTAATATGATCAGGAGTAGAACTTGATGTTAAGACACTATGGGGTAATATGATCAGGGGTAGAACTTGATGTTAAGACACTATGGGGTAATATGATCAGGAGTAGAACTTGATGTTAAGACACTATGGGGTAATATGATCAGGAGTAGAACTTGATGTTAAGATACTATGGGGTAATATGATCAGGGGTAGAACTTGATGTTAAGACACTATGGGGTAATATGATCAGGGGTAGAACTTGATGTTAAGACACTATGGGGTAATATGATCAGGAGTAGAACTTGATGTTAAGACACTATGGGGTAATATGATCAGGGGTAGAACTTGATGTTAAGATACTATGGGGTAATATGATCAGGGGTAGAACTTGATGTTAAGATACTATGGGGTAATATGATCAGGGGTAGAACTTGATGTTAAGATACTATGGGGTAATATGATCAGGGGTAGAACTTGATGTTAAGACACTATGGGGTAATATGATCAGGAGTAGAACTTGATGTTAAGACACTATGGGGTAATATGATCAGGGGTAGAACTTGATGTTAAGACACTATGGGGTAATATGATCAGGGGTAGAACTTGATGTTAAGACACTATGGGGTAATATGATCAGGAGTAGAACTTGATGTTAAGACACTATTGGGTAATATGATCAGGGGTAGAACTTGATGTTAAGACACTATGGGGTAATATGATCAGGAGTAGAACTTGATGTTAAGACACTATTGGGTAATATGATCAGGGGTAGAACTTGATGTTAAGACACTATGGGGTAATATGATCAGGGGTAGAACTTGATGTTAAGACACTATGGGGTAATATGATCAGGGGTAGAACTTGATGTTAAGACACTATGGGGTAATATGATCAGGGGTAGAACTTGATGTTAAGACACTATGGGGTAATATGATCAGGGGTAGAACTTGATGTTAAAATACTATAGGACTGATGTGAACCAAATCTGTTTGATGTTTGAGATGTGATTCAATGTGACATCACATGACAGAATGGATAGATATTGGAAACCCTGTTATGCCCCCTTTTATTTCCTGTTTCATTCCTGAAAAAACATCCATAACAGTAATTCAAGTTTCCAGACAGGTGTGTATAGGTTACAATTACTGAAATACATTTCCATATGTCTGTGTAAAGATTGTGTTTGTGCATTTTATTTGATAGTAATGATGATGTATGTATGTAATTGTAATAAAAAAAACCCTTTTTGAATTTGCTAAAATAGGAAATGATAACAATGACTATTGACAAACCTTGTTTTGGGAGTCAAGAGGGACATTCTCATCCTTTAAATGCCGTAAAACATCTAGGTGACCCTGGCGAGCTGCCCAGTAAACTGCACTGTCACCATTCTGTAACATGGAAAAATTATGTAAACCACCACAGTTTACCTTGCAGAGTTCTAGTTCACTATATAACATTAGATACATTGCAAGTAAATCTCCACTCTAGTGATGTTTGTGAAACATATATGTCCCCCTTTGACGGAAACACCAATTTCTACATGCAAAGCATAATCACAACCTGTAAGTCTACAAAATCTTCTTATCTTGTCCTGTCCCCAAATATACACTCCCTGGGTATGTAGAATCTGTAGAACTTCACGCCTCACCTTGTCCTGTATCCCAATATCCACTCCCTGAGCCTGTAGAACTTAACCTCTCACCTTCTCCTGTATCCTAATATCCACTCCCTGGGCCTGTAGAACTTAACCCTTCACCTTGTCCTGTATCCCAATATCCACTCCCTGAGCCTGTAGAACTTAACCCCTCACCTTGTCCTGTATCCCAATATCAACCCCCTGAGTCTGTAGAACTTAACCCCTCACCTTGTCCTGTATCCCAATACCCACTCCCTGAGCCTGTAGAACTAAACCCCTCACCTTGTCCTGTATCCCAATACCCACTCCCTGAGCCTGTAGAACTAATCCCCTCACCTTGTCCTGTATCCCAATATCCACTCCCTGAGCCTGTAGAACTTAACCTCTCACCTTCTCCTGTATCCCAATATCCACTCCCTGAGCCTGTAGAACTAAACCCCTCACCTTGTCCTGTATCCCAATATCCACTCCCTGAGCCTGTAGAACTTAACCCCTCACCTTGTCCTGTATCCCAATATCAACTCGCTTAGGCTGTAGATCTTTTTGCCCCACCTTGTCCTGTATCCCAATACCCACTCCCTGAGCCTGTAGAACTAAACCCCTCACCTTGTCCTGTATCCCAATACCCACTCCCTGAGCCTGTAGAACTAATCCCCTCACCTTGTCCTGTATCCCAATATCCACTCCCTGAGCCTGTAGAACTTAACCTCTCACCTTGTCCTGTATCCTAATATCCACTCCCTGAGCCTGTAGAACTTAACCTCTCACCTTGTCCTGTATCCCAATATCCACTCCCTGAGCCTGTAGAACTAAACCCCTCACCTTGTCCTGTATCCCAATATCCACTCCCTGAGCCTGTAGAACTAAACGCCTCACCTTGTCCTGTTCCCCAATATCCACTCCCTGAGCCTGTAGAACTTAACCCCTCACCTTGTCCTGTATCCCAATATCCACTCCCTGAGCCTGTAGAACTTAACCCCTCACCTTGTCCTGTATCCCAATACCCACTCCCTGAGCCTGTAGAACTAAACCCCTCACCTTGTCCTGTATCCCAATATCCACTCCCTGAGCCTGTAGAACTTAACCCCTCACCTTGTCCTGTATCCCAATATCCACTCCCTGAGCCTGTAGAACTTAACCCCTCACCTTGTCCTGTATCCCAATATCCACTCCCTGAGCCTGTAGAACTTAACCCCTCACCTTGTCCTGTATCCCAATATCCACTCCCTGAGCCTGTAGAAATTTCAGCACTTCTGTGTGTCCACCACTTGCTGCCATATGTACTGCAGTTTCTCCATGCTGAAATAAAAGTAGTAGAAGATGTCAAATTCTACTTGTTCACTAACTATAATACCAAGTTAAGAGTCTCTAACAGAGATATATCAAACTAACTTGTAATCACTGATTTCTGATAAGTTTTTTCTAAGAAGATTACAAGTCCTAGGCTTATGCTTCAATCTTCGTTAGCATTGAAGCTAAGAGGCTAAATGTATATTAGGTAGCATTTACATCTCTGACACCACATATAACCATTAAATGATTCATGCAGACTTTATCAAATTACCCAGAAATCAAGTCAACTCTCATCTAATTATTCCTAGCAAAACTGATGCCTCTGGTTCACAGAGTCCACCAAACACAATGTTAAACATACACCACAAACCAAGACATGCAATAATATGAAGTTATATAACCTTTTTTTTTACAGAAGATTTTCCCAAGCTGTGAACTTTTATGATGCATCATATGGTTATACTTAGCAGGACTACTGTGTCACATTCTATAGAAGGCTCATCTACATTTCTACCTTTTAAAATAATATGCATTAAAAAGAAGAAGCCTACAGGCCTTAACAGTCATTTGACTATAAAGACCTGTATATGAAAGAGGCCAAATTGGCCTGAATAAATTGCTCAATTACTCTACAGCTTACAAAAAAGACATTGCTGGTCAATAAAACATTTTCTGCAAACTTGAAATAATATTCTTTATACATACTACTACACAAATGCTGTTACTCTGAACCTATTGCTAGTTGAAAAAGAAATCTTAAGATCTTAATTCAGGTCAGATAATGTAATAAAAACTGCTATTCTGTTTTTGCTTGTTGGTTTGGTGATGTATGTATACTGGTTGTATGGTAACACAAGATATAGTAAGACTAGAAATATTTAATTTGAAATTGTGAGGTGGTAGGTAGGTGATGTTGGTGTTATTGGATTAGAAATATTTAATTTGAAATTGTGAGGTTGTGGGTAGGTGATGTTGGTGTTACTGGATTAGAAATATTTAATTTGAAATTGTGAGGTTGTGGGTAGGTGATGTTGGTGTTACTGGATTAGAAATATTTAATTTGAAATTGTGAGGTTGTGGGTAGGTGATGTTGGTGTTACCGGATTAGAAATATTTAATTTGAAATTGTGAGGTTGTGGGTAGGTGATGTTGGTGTTACCGGATTAGAAATATTTAATTTGAAATTGTGAGGTTGTGGGTAGGTGATGTTGGTGTTACCGGATTAGAAATATTTAATTTGAAATTGTGAGGTTGTGGGTAGGTTGTTGTTGGTGTTACATGTACCTGGATTGTTCCCCTCTTATACCAAGATCTAATTATTGCTCCTGTACATTGACAAATGTAACATTTTTTCCATCCATAATCAATGTAGATGTCATAATGGGATTTACATAGTAACAATACTCTATATGCTTCTGAGCAACCATGAACTTGATTGACTGACAGAATTTCCATCTCTGTGACTCCTTCCGTGTCCGGGTATAGTCTCATCTATGAATGTTGGTGTTCTGGCAACAAGAACCATGTACCAATATACACACCACTCATCAGAGATATCTCCTTCCTTAAAGTTAGACACTCCTACACTAAACCAAAAATTAAGGCTCACAAGCTGAGTAATCAAACAAAATTTTTGACACTCCTGCAAATTACATGTGACTTTTTATGTCATAATGCGCCTTAATTATAATGACACAAGTTTCATTTTTTATTTTTATTTTTTGTTAATTACTAGATAAGTAAGTCATGAATTAAGAATGAACCAGACACAGGAAAAAGTGATGTAACACATTTCTAGATAATTGGTTATTAGCATCACCTGCTTTTTGGATTTTTTACTGACATCTTCTCCCAATGCATTAGGCCTATGTCACAGCAAATATTCAGCAGCAAGCTGAGATGAGACTTTCCAGTTGTTCAACGGAATGATACCTTCAAAACACTTTACCCTAATAACTAATGAGTTTATGGTAAAAGGTCAGAATCATGCTTGGACAATGTGGAATTAAGCTTGCTAAATTGAACTATATCGGCTTAGAACTTCCATTGTTACAAATATCACGATAAAATGAAGTAAATAGGGGTTCATATTTTCATTCTTACCCTCTGATAAGGAAATAATACTAATGTGATTTTTCTGAGAATTTTTGAAACTATTATCTCACAAGTGGTCAAGTGTGATCTTTGACCACTTAACGTAAACCGTTGACCACTAAAATATGACTGAGTGTGGAACTTAATGTTGTGATACTAAAGTGTTATTATGAGCCGAATCTGTTGTTGGGTTCATGAGATATCTTGTACATAAGCGTTTTGCTTGTTAAGACTTACTCAACCACCAGATTACTACCGTATATATTCAAGGTTTCTTTTTTTTTACGCTGATGACCTTAACCTTAAGAAATTTGAAAAATTAAATTTGAACAGAATTTGTCAAAAAATGAATACAGGCAGCAAGAAGATATCTATTATATCATTATACAAAGGAAAGTGTGTACATTTTGAGTTTGATTGGTCCTAGGTCCTCAGGTATTGAGCAAATTAGCTATTTATAGTAACAGTGACCTTTAACTTTGGACCTTTAGAATAAACAAGAGATCCCAGAGGGATCCTGGCGCCCACCATTTGAGGATCTGTTTTCAGTTCTTGAAGATTTGTTTATTTTTGTTTGTTTGTTACAGGTGTTGTAAATGTTCATGAACTGGTCTTCATTGAATGTACTCAATGATGGCACAAGATATTTTTATTAAGCACCTATTAGCAAATATCATTTGAAAAAGATCCCAAAGTATTATTAGATAGCAGTCAGTTACAGGTGGATAATGGACAATATGCTTGTGCTGTATTACTGTCAACATCCAAGATGGCTGCCTGTGGGCCACATTGATTTCAAATCAGTCCAAAAAAGGTACAATGCACAACTAGGGACCAAGGGAAACCAATATCTATGAAATATCAGAAGGATCCATCCAGTACTTCCTCAGAAATAGCAGTAACAAGATTTTACTCTCAAAATCCAAGATGGCTGCCTGTCAGCCATCTTGATTTCGGATCAGTCCAAAAAGGTATAATGCACAACTTGGAACCATAGGGAACTTGCATATGAAATTTGAGAAAGATCCATCCAGTACTTTCCAAGAAATAGCAGAAACAAACTTTTACATTCAAAATCCAAGATGGCCACCTGTCGGCCATCTTGAATTCGAATCAGTCCAAAAAAGGTACAATGCACAACTAGGGACCAAGGGGAAACTGCATATGAAATTTGAGAAAGATCCATCCAGTACTTTCCAAGAAATAGCAGTAACAAACTTTTACTTCCAAAATCCAAGATGGCTGCCTGTCGGCCATCTTGAATTCGCATCAGTCCAAAAATGGTACAATGCACAACTAGGGACCAAGGGGAAACTGCATATGGAATTTGAGAAAGATCCATCCAGTACTTTTCCAGAAATAGCAGCAACAAACTTTTACTTCCAAAATCCAAGATGGCTGCCTGTCAGCCATCTTGAATGCGAATCAGTTCAAAAAAGGTACAATGCACAACTAGGGACCAAGGGGAACCTGCATATGAAATTTGAGAAAGATCCATCCAGTACTTTTCCAGAAATAGCGGTAACAAGAATTGTTTATGGACGGACGGACGCCTAGACGGACGGACGACGGACCACGGACGCAGGGCGATTTGAATAGCCCACCATCTATTAGATGGTGGGCTAAAAAGCAATCCCATGCAGGCTCTGCCAGAAGGAATGCAATGTGTGCAGTTTCAGTTTATTTGGTTCAAAGGAACTTGAGACATTGGGCAGAAACCAATTTTCTATTTATAGTAACAAAGACCAAAAAAGCAACATCATGCAAGCACTCTGTATAAAAAAGTTGTGGGTGAGGTTTGATCTTGATCGATCCACTTGACCTTACGCTATTGTTATTGTGAAATAGTGATATAGACGGAGGGACAGAATGACAAACAGCAGCACTGCAATATATCCTTCCAACCTGCGATCTAACACAATGTAGACCGACGATAACTTGCCTCAGATAAATCATTCCTCGGTATCATTATTCAATATAATCAGTTCTAATGGTTTCAAATAAAAATTTTAAAGAAAGGCAACAGAAATTTTAGGGACTTTACTCCATTACTATTAGACAAGACTGATGTATGCTTGGTTGTGGCACCAATCTCATACTCCACTTACACTTACCCTGTTTGCAGTAGTGAGATCAATATTCTGTGCCATGTTGACAAGTTCCTTTAGACCTTCTACATTGCCTTCCTCTGATGCACAAAACAAGGCTGCCATCACAAAGTTCTCTGCCTTCTCCTGTTAAATACAAAACATCCATATAGGTCACAGTGTAAGACAAGGTTTAAGTGAATAGGCTCCAACTCGAATGTCTGATTATGTGTACAATTCTGATATAGTTAAGTGCAATTTATAGAAACTCACATGAATAGCTATCAGCTCTTCTGTGTACAGACATGAACGATTTTTATACCTTTGGGAGATGTGGCAACACAGACCTTGATGAAAAATTCCAGTTTTCTATGCAGCAGCTGTGTTGGTAGAAGATTGCACAACCTTGAACACAACAGACACCAGGTTACCTATCAGACAACTAATACATTATGAACTCCCTGACCTGAGTCCCTGTCTATTCCGGTCACAACATACAAAGAGCTAAAAAGAAGATGTGACTTAATGGCAGCAAAGTAAGGCCTCTGCAGCAAGCTTGGAACTCCACACACGAAAATCACACACTGCTTTTTTCTCTCTCCATTTCAAGCGGCAATGTCAAGTGACTGAGAGAGTAGACAATCTCCTGTAAAATCTCCAGAGAGTTCATTTCAAAGAAACCAAAAAAAATCAATGCAAAATTGTCCACCTAAGGTAGTCCTGACTTAGACAATGGCAAAAATTAAGCAATATCACAGATCAGGTGATTATGCATGTACAATGTTCCTAACGTGTCGCAGACAAAAGTGCAGATATATCAAACCACTATACGCATACAAGTCTGGTGCAGTCTTCAAACCACACATATGTTATGGAAGTGATGACGAAAACAATACAGCACATGTCACACATTTGGTTAAATACAATAATGTTATAAGTGTAAATGGTATAATTCTGTAATTTGCCGCAAGTGTTGTAACAAACTAGAACTATTGATTACCATAAACGTGTAGAGACACTATGGAGGGAAGTTTTTAGATAATATCACAACAGCCTCATCAGTTACCGTAAATACCAACTACCTTCACAACAAACAATGGACCTAATCAGTTACCGTAAATACCAACTACCTTCACAACAAACAATCGGCCTCATTAGTTACCGTACATACCAACTACCTTCACAACAAACAATAGGCCTCATTAGTTACCGTACACACCAACTACCTTCACAACAAACAATAGGCCTTATCAGTTACCGTAAATACCAACTATCTTCACAACAACCAATGGACTTGATCAGTTACCGTAAATACCAACTACCTTCACAACAAACAATAGGCCTTATCAGTTACCGTAAATACCAACTATCTTCACAACAACCAATGGACTTGATCAGTTACCGTAAATACCAACTACCTTCACAACAAACAATAGGCCTCATTAGTTACCATAAATACCAACTACCTTCACAACAAACAATGGACCTGATCAGTTACCGTCAATACCAACTACCTTCACAACAAACAATAGGCCTCATTAATTACCGTACACACCAACTACCTTCACAGCAAACAAAAGGCCTTATCAGTTACCGTAAATACCAACTATCTTCACAACAAACAATGGACCTGATCAGTTACCGTAAATACCAACTACCTTCACAACAAACAATAGGCCACATTAGTTACCATAAATACCAACTACCTTCACAACAAACAATGGGCCTCAATAGTTACTGTAAATACCAACTACCTTCACAACAAACAATAGGCCTATCAGTTACCGTAAATACCAACTATCTTCACAACAACCAATGGACCTGATCAGTTACCGTAAATACCAACTACCTTCACAACAAACAATAGGCCTCATTAGTTACCATAAATACCAACTACCTTCACAACAAACAATGGACCTGATCAGTTACCGTAAATACCAACTACCTTCACAACAAACAATAGGCCTCATTAGTTACCGTACACACCAACTACCTTCACAACAAACAATGGACCTGATCAGTTATCGTAAATAACAACTACCTTCACAACAAACAATAGGCCTCATTAGTTACCGTAAATACCAACTACCTTCACAACAAACAATAGGCCTCATTAGTTACCATAAATACCAACTATCTTCACAACAAACAATGGACCTGATCAGTTACCGTAAATACCAACTACCTTCACAACAAACAATAGGCCTCATTAGTTACCGTAAATACCAACTACCTTCACAACAAACAATAGGCCTCATTAGTTACCATAAATACCAACTATCTTCACAACAAACAATGGACCTGATCAGTTACCGTAAATACCAACTACCTTCACAACAAACAATGGACCTGATCAGTTACCGTAAATACCAACTACCTTCACAACAAACAATAGGCCTCATTAGTTACTATAAATACCAACTATCTTCACAACAAACAATAGGCCTCATTAGTTACCGTAAATAACAACTACCTTCACAACAAACAATAGGCCTCATTAGTTACCATAAATACCAACTATCTTCACAACAAACAATAGGCCTCATTAGTTACCGTACACACCAACTACCTTCACAACAAACAATAGGCCTCATTAGTTACCGTACACACCAACTACCTTCACAACAAACAATAGGCCTTATCAGTTACCGTAAATACCAACTACTTCACAACAACCAATAGGCCTCATTAGTTACAGTACACACCAACTACCTTCACAACAAACAATAGGCCTTATCAGTTACCGTAAATACCAACTATCTTCACAACAACCAATGGACCTGATCAGTTACCATAAATACCAACTATCTTCACAACAACCAATAGGCCTCATTAGTCAATAATTAAGTACACACATACTGACAGCTGTATAACCAACAACAGTGTGATATAATCCGTGATTAAGTACACATGTATTGACAGCTGTATAACCAACAACAGTGTGATATAATCCGTGATTAAGTACACACATACTGACAGCTGTATAACCAACAACAGTGTGATATAATCCGTGATTAAGTACACATATACTGACAGCTGTATAACCAACAACAGTGTGATATAATCCATCAATAATTAAGTACACATGTACTGACAGCTGTATAACCAACAACAGTGTGATATAATCCATCAATAATTAAGTACACATGTACTGACAGCTGTATAACCAACAACAGTGTGATATAATCCATGATTAAGTACACACATACTGACAGCTGTATAACCAACAACAGTGTGATATAATCCGTGATTAAGTACACACATACTGACAGCTGTATAACCAACAACAGTGTGATATAATCCGTGATTAAGTACACACATACTGACAGCTGTATAACCAACAACAGTGTGATATAATCCGTGATTAAGTACACATGTACTGACAGCTGTATAACCAACAACAGTGTGATATAATCCGTGATTAAGTACACACATACTGACAGCTGTATAACCAACAACAGTGTGATATAATCCATCAATAATTAAGTACACACATACTGACAGCTGTATAACCAACAACAGTGTGATATAATCCATCAATAATTAAGTACACACGTACTGACAGCTGTATAACCAACAACAGTGTGATATAATCCGTGATTAAGTACACATATACTGACAGCTGTATAACCAACAACAGTGTGATATAATCCATCAATAATTAAGTACACATGTACTGACAGCTGTATAACCAACAACAGTGTGATATAATCCATCAATAATTAAGTACACATGTACTGACAGCTGTATAACCAACAACAGTGTGATATAATCCGTGAATACTGACAGCTGTATAACCAACAACAGTGTGATATAATCCATGATTAAGTACACACATACTGACAGCTGTATAACCAACAACAGTGTGATATAATCCATCAATAATTAAGTACACATGTACTGACAGCTGTATAACCAACAACAGTGTGATATAATCCGTGATTAAGTACACATATACTGACAGCTGTATAACCAACAACAGTGTGATATAATCCATCAATAATTAAGTACACATGTACTGACAGCTGTATAACCAACAACAGTGTGATATAATCCGTGATTAAGTACACACGTACTGACAGCTGTATAACCAACAACAGTGTGATATAATCCATCAATAATTAAGTACACATGTACTGACAGCTGTATAACCAACAACAGTGTGATATAATCCGTGATTAAGTACACATATACTGACAGCTGTATAACCAACAACAGTGTGATATAATCCATCAATAATTAAGTACACATGTACTGACAGCTGTATAACCAACAACAGTGTGATATAATCCGTGATTAAGTACACATGTACTGACAGCTGTATAACCAACAACAGTGTGATATAATCCATCAATAATTAAGTACACATATACTGACAGCTGTATAACCAACAACAGTGTGATATAATCCGTGATTAAGTACACACATACTGACAGCTGTATAACCAACAACAGTGTGATATAATCCATCAATAATTAAGTACACACATACTGACAGCTGTATAACCAACAACAGTGTGATATAATCCGTGATTAAGTACACACATACTGACAGCTGTATAACCAACAACAGTGTGATATAATCCGTGATTAAGTACACACATACTGACAGCTGTATAACCAACAACAGTGTGATATAATCCATCAATAATTAAGTACACATGTACTGACAGCTGTATAACCAACAACAGTGTGATATAATCCGTGATTAAGTACACACATACTGACAGCTGTATAACCAACAACAGTGTGATATAATCCGTGATTAAGTACACACATACTGACAGCTGTATAACCAACAACAGTGTGATATAATCCATCAATAATTAAGTACACACATACTGACAGCTGTATAACCAACAACAGTGTGATATAATCCCTGATTAAGTACACACATATGACAGCTGTATAACCAACAACAGTGTGATATAATCCGTACACACATGATTAAGTACACACATACTGACAGCTGTATAACCAACAACAGTGTGATATAATCCATCAATAATTAAGTACACACATACTGACAGCTGTATAACCAACAACAGTGTGATATAATCCATGATTAAGTACACACATACTGACAGCTGTATAACCAACAACAGTGTGATATAATCCATCAATAATTAAGTACACATGTACTGACAG